GACGAAATCAGATAATGTTGAACACGCCATGCTATTAGTCTATTTTGGCTATTCAGCAATACCGGAAACAGAAGCGGCGCGGGAATGCTTTAGCCGCAACCAGTCTCAGTCTTCCGGCTCACTAAACAACCCATTCAATTTAGCGTAAATCTGCTTATCTTTTGAGGTCTCTGCAGATAAATCGTCGTCATCGTCATTTGGATCCTGCATCCAAAACAAGTTCTTTGCACCCGAACTCAGAAACGTCAGCTTGTACACTCTTCCTGTTTTGCAAGCCTCAACGCGTTTCCAAGTGACATCTCCGGGAATTACCAACAATACCTCATCGGAAACACCAGGCGTCTTGTCCACCGGGGACCACGTGAAATCGTAGAAGTCCTCTCCCTCCTCGCTCTGCTTCACTGTTATTTCGCCCTTGATCGGCTGGGGAGTACACACCCGCGACGAATCATCGAATTGCACTTTACCAGCCCTGAACTTTAGAATTGCAGACATCTCACAGCAAAAATCAGTTTAATCTTGGTGTTGTATTGAGTTCACGCTAACGAACAGGACATCACCCACTGTTAGGATTTGGCCACCTGGGGTTTAGTTACCCAATGTCCGTTTGGCAGATGCCTGGATCTGATTAATGACCCGTAGGAACAGCGGCAGAGTTCATCAGTGGCTTTCTCCACGAAGTTGAAAGCTTTAGACAACACGGAATTCTGCCGAAACTGCTAAGTTTGGACTCCTCAGACCATTTCACAATGAGCTTCCCACCGGATGACCTCAAGGAGTTGCTGGAGCGCATCTCTAATATCCTAATACGGAGAAATGAAACCATAGCCGTTTCGGAGGGCGCGTGTGGAGGACTACTCGCTGCGTACCTGGTATCGATTCCAGGCGCCTCGAAGTTTTTTGATGGAGGGAGACTTCTATATAGTCTTAAATCGCGACTCAGACTTAGCGGATGGGACTCCAAGGATATTTCTCTATACACTGTGCCCAGCGAATCTGGGGCTTTGAAAATGGCCAGGAATCTGCGGATCGAGCTCGGTTCCACCTACGTTTTGTCAGAGACAGGCATTGCTGGGCCATCTCATTCGATGGCTGGGGATGGCGATGGGAGTTTGAGCCAGAATTCAATAGATCTGGGGACAGTGTACTTTGGATTCTGGGGCCCCAACGGTGAGGAGTCTTGCACGATGCACACGGGGCTTTCGGAAAGATCTCAGAATATGCAGCAGTTTGCACGACTTGGCTTGCAGTTCTTGTTGAGCGTTTTGGAGAAGCAGTAAAACTCGCGAGGAAATGGAGAGAGGCAAGCAGGCAATAATGCCAGAGTCCAACAGGCCTTAGCATCTTTTGGGATATTATAGCCAGTTATGACCAAAGTGTATAGACGAACGGATCTGGAAAACATGAAGAGTATGTGGTTTCTGCTGAGCGTGGATTTGAGTGTAGCAATGAGGACGCTTTTGAGACTCACATGCGGCTCATTGCAGATTATGGCAGATCATGCAAATCAAGACAGACTCAAGGTTAATTAGACAAGTTGGCCATAATGAGGTTGAATTCCACGATTCAATTGATCAGAAATGAATCTTAAAATTCTACCACAATACAAATGGAAGAACTCATTCTGGCATGCCTTTTACAGTCTCTTTCAGTGGGTCTTCGGAGGCAGTCTCGAGTCTCTGATTTCTCACCACAAACGCCCTTTCGCCTACAATCCCCATAAAACCACACAACCACCTGTAACTAATGCTTTAAAAAGTTTCCACCAATTTTCTAACAAAAACGGCCCAAAAGAGTAACACTACTTGGGTTCGGATAAATTGCCTGCAGACGACTCGGAAAAAACCGTTGAGACACGCGTCGACGGGCTATTGTGCTTTACAAGCTGTAATTTCACTGTTACACAAACGCGTTCATCTTTCCACATTCACCTCCAGGAAACCCGCAATTCATAGACAAGATGCTTATAGGAATTTCTGGAACTCCTTTCTCGGGAAAAACGGAGATAATCAAGTATCTCCAGAAACTGGGCTTTGAATTCGTGGATTTCAAGGCCAAGCACGAGACTAAGGACAAGCTGCATAACAACGCTCATACTCTCGCTAGAGACACCGTTTTTTCGACAATTGAAGAGCTAATGGATCATGTGACGTTAAATTGGAGGAAAAACTTCGTGATGGTCAGTATCAAGGGTTTGAACGATCTGGAGCTCTTGGCAAAAAGGCCGTTCTTCCTACACATCTCTATTGATGCTCCTTCGAAAACGAGGTATTCTAGGTATCTGGCTCAAAAGGGCGAGAGTACATTTGAGGATTTCATGGAAAAGTCAGATAACGAGACGTTTCTGACCGAGCTCAGCCAAGTCATGGAAAGAAGCCAGATCAAGCTGATCAACAATGGCGTTCTGCTGAAACAACTGAACGATCGACTTGATGCGTTGAATTTGACAGACATAACCAGACTGAGACCCTCGTGGGATTCATATTTCATGAAATTGGCAGATTTGGCGGCACTTCGGTCCAATTGTATGAAGAGAAGAGTGGGATGCGTCATCATGAGAGAGTCCAGAGTGATAGCTACGGGCTATAACGGCACACCAAGACATATGACCAATTGTAACGAGGGAGGATGTAGTCGATGCAACACGAATTCTACCGGATTATCGACTTGTCTGTGTCTGCATGCGGAGGAAAACGCTCTTCTCGAGTCTGGCAGGGACCGCATTGGAACGAATGCCACTCTGTACTGCAATACTTGCCCATGCCTCACGTGCTCTATCAAGATTGTACAGAGCGGTATAAAGGAAGTGGTTTATTCACAGAGCTACAACATGGACGAGTTGTCAGCTGCTGTTTTCAAAGAGGCTGGGGTTCAATTGCGTCAGTTCACCCCGCCAACTACAGGTACATTTGTATTATGAGATACTAAATTAATCTTTCTATGAACATCTCACGTTTCTTGGAATGCATATGGACCAGGCTTCTGCTCCACGTCAAACTCAAGATTGGCTTCTTCAATGCGCTTTCCGTCGTAGCTTAGCGAAGCAGTCACTTTGTCCCCAGGAACAATGGCACTCACACCCTTGGGGGTTCCAGTCAAAATGACATCGCCCTTTTGTATAGTCATTACTGAAGACATGGTGGACAGGATCTTGTGGATTGGGAAAATCATCAAGTTTGTAGAGTCGTTCTGCTTGACTGTGCCGTTCACACTCAAGCTCAAGTCGACCTTGTAGGGGTCAGGAATAGCGGACTTTGGAATAAATGGCGACAATGGCAAAAAAGTGTCAAATCCTTTACCGATGGTCCAAGGAAGACCCTCTTTCTTGGCCTCTTCCTGAACGTTTCTGGCGGTGAGATCAATGGCAAGTGCGTAACCGTCAATGGCATCTAAAGCTTGCTCATTGGTGAAAGTCTCTGGGTCCAAGTTCTTCAACTCCTTTCCAACAACGAAAGCCAGCTCGACCTCATGATGGACTGAGACACCTTTTGGAACGAGAATGGGGCCTTGCTTTGGCAACAGCACAGACGAGGAAGGCTTCAGGAAGAAGAACGGCTGCGAGGGCTGCTTGTTGTTCAGCTCCTTGATATGGGCCACATAGTTACGACCAATGCACAAGAATTTTCCCGCGTTTTTCACGTAATTGAAAGACATTTTGAGGTGTAATTACGGTAGTTCTTCCGTCGTTTGGAAGAGTCATTCATCGATCAAGTATGCTATCCGAATTCGGATGAACCTTGACATTTGCCAAACACGGTAAAAACACGACAGATCAAAGAATTACTCTCTACAGTGCGGCTTTGAAGTGGCATAATAATTATACATAATCGCTCTAATATCACGTAGCACAACGAGAGGGAGAGCTCCAGCTCACTCTCAGTACCCATTGCTAGGTGGAAGGTTTTGCTGCTGCTGCTGGCCCTCCAAAATGTCATTAGTGGTCGAAGCAACGGCAGTTGCAGTGGCCACTTGAGGAGGTGTGTTTGTTCCAACATCTGCCGCATAATTCGTGGCATTAAGAACTGCATCCAGAGTCTCGTACCCTCCAATGGAGGTGAGCAGGCTGGCACAGTCCTTGTGCGAATGGAGAATTGTCCGTAGCGTCAGGACCTGCTTACGCAACGTGCCAACCTGTTGCGTGAGTCCAGAAAACTGCGAGGCGTAGAACTGCAGATCCTCCTGCATCTTGTTCATCTGCTGCTTTTTGCGCTGTCTGCACTTCGCTGCAGCAGCCTTGTTCCTTTCCAGAAAGTTCTTTCTCTTCTCATCATCAGTAAGTTGTTGACTGGAACGTTTGTTTGACGAGACATCGGATTCTTCAGCAGCTTCTTGGGCCTTGGAGTGTTGCTGCTTCTCAGCATCGTAACCGTTGGGCTTGAACTTCTTAGACTTCTTGGATGAACCCTCGGTTTTTGGAACGTTCGCCATCATGGGCTGCGAGATCGAGTTCACCATGTTAGTTGCGGCACCTGGGGTCATTCCCAGAAGCGAGCTGAGCCCTCCAGGCGTGAGAGCCCCTGAAGGCAGGTTCAACATCATCGGGTATTGACCATTCTGCTGGACCTGATTGCCGCTGGCAAGTCCGGAACGTAATGAGGACTCGTTCGGGGTCAGTCCAGATCTTCTGGCTCCCATACTGAATTGAGACATGATGCCATTCCCGTTTGACATCCCCATAGGCGGACTGAAAGCAAAGTGCTGTTGCTGCTGTTGCTGTTGTTGTTGCTGCTGCTGCTGAGATTGAAGCTGCTGAAGTGACTGGGTTTGCTGCATTTGCTGTTGATTCTGAAGTGGCTGGTTGATTTGCTGAGGCACCTGGAGCTGCTGCTGACCTTGTTGCAGCTGACCTTGAGAATTGGGATAACCTTGAGGAGTGGTTCCGTTCATCAACGTACTCCACATCAAACCAGGCGTCCCTGGCAAAGAGTTTGGCCCCGAAGTAAGACCTGGAAGATGTGGCAGAAGACTTGCGGAGGCCAATCTTCCTCCTGGAGTCAGAATGGGGGGTGACACCTGTGAAGCTATACCTGCAGGCACGGATCGATTGGAGTTGTTTGCAATAACAGCCCCAGGATCATTTTCATCCTTTGCATCCTTCGAAGCAAAAGATTGCTCAAATGGATTGGGTTCAAGATCAAATGCCCGCTTGGATGTATTGGTGGCTATCGAGGATGTGTTTGTTGCGGATGACTGGAGTGACGTCAGAGATGGATTAGGTGGTAGCGAGCCTCCGGCGGTATCTGGCTGGCCCTCTATAGTGGACGCCATTATAATCGACAGGAGAAATCCTGGAAGCGGGCTGAAACTAGCGAGAAGGGCCAAGATTCACCAGAGATACTAACTGGACGACGTGGTCAGGACGTCCAGTACCATCTTGGTGGCCTAAATTTTTTCTACCGCCTCCTTAGGAATCGGGTAATAGGCGGAGTGTGGCAACCAAATAACTGACGTCACCACCTGCTCTGGCACGTGACAGAAAGTGGGTCCCTGGTTCTACTTTCGGTTCCTACTTTCAGCAATAACCTCTCAAGGATTCATATGAACACATTATAAGGGGTGGCTAGATATTACACTGAGACCAGGCATGGCGTGTCCGTCTCGCAACTTCAAACAGTTTTGTCCGACGGTTTCGTGAGGCCAGTAAGCGGACTGTTCTCTGGTTCTTTCACTCTTCGATCTCGGTTCAGCATCTCGTCTCCGGCTGAAATTCTAGGACTCTTTTGAACAAGGCATGAGCTTTACGCTCCTCCGAAAAAAGGAAGCTCTCGGGATCTTACCTAGCTTCAAATTGCACTGTATCTTGATTAGTAACACGCCTTTGTCTGTGTCTGGCACATAGACATCTGAATCACCACCAAACATGGTCATCAGACATGATCACAGTCTAAAAACTTACCCATTCTCTTAGTTCTCGCCTTGTACAACACACGGTGTCCACACTCCTTGCATCTGACAGCATCATTCTTATTCAAGGAGAATGTGTGGGCACAAGAAGCACACACATACTTCACTCCCATTCCCTTCAACGAGGAGATACCAGAAGCAGCAGCACCAAGGTTTCCCGAGGTGGGTGGAACGAAACCTTCTCTACTCATGATGATCTGTGGTTGTATGGATCAAAGAAGAGTGCTCCATAGGTAAGACGGTTCTTCAAGCAGAAGACGATATACTCCTCAAAATTTTCAGAAACCAATTGGTACACTACCCCAAATAATGCTAGCAGAGTTTCTTAGCGAAAGTTTCAAACAAGACAAGTACCTTCATTTCCTTCTCTCTGAGGTATTTTAAAAGAATATTTTACGTCATGTTGAGGATAAGACGGCCGTGCGTACCGAGGGTGATAGTGTCCTTTGGTCGCCGCAGTTTTGTGGGCAAAGAGTTGCCAAGCGAGACTTCAACAGCACCAACGACCCCAAAGACCGCAATGGGTATACATCTTTCAGTGAACAGGCTTGTGATACCTGAAATTGCAGCATTTGACGTGAGGAGGACTGTCGTCACAGACCAGGGAGTTCTTGAAGCGAAAATGCTACCGAAGAAGCTATCAGATGACCAGATCCACGATAGGAATCAGACGTACATCAATGACATCTTCAACCACCTCTCCAATATTTCCACCAATGCCGTGGACAGTCGACCGGAAGTGACAAGAAGCTTCTTTGTGGCTTCGAAACCTCTCCGTAAGGATGATATTTCACTATCGCAGGCGGTAGTGAGCAGTCGAGATTTGAATCAGCTGGTGATAGACTTGGCTCATTGTGACACTCCAAAGACGCCTATCTCTACATCAGTATTGCCATATTTTTTCAAGTTGATGATGAGAACTGGGAACCCGACGAATTTTCATTCTGTGAAACTTTTCAATAGCTTGATCAAGTATTTTTTGGACCTGAGAGAGCTGGAGTACTCTCTGGCACTCTTCTATAAGATGAAGGAGGGCCAACATCGTCCAAATACAACGACCTACAACCTGTTCTTGCACAACTTGGTTACTGTGGAAACACATGGGGTAAATCCATTGAAGACAACTAGACGAATGCTAAGGGACATGGAAGCAAATAACATAGCTGCGGACCTGGTGACATGGATTTTAGTGTTTCGAGTCTTGCCAGACAGTATCTCCAAACAGACTTTAATTCAGATGGTGAAGGACAGAAATATTCCTCTCGATGAAAGATTTACACAGACCATTTTGACAGGTCTAGAAGGTCAACCAGGTGAGAAGCTTGTTGAATTTCTTGATGCTTATCCTGAGTTGAACAGCTCGAACAACCTGGTGCAGGACTACGTGATATCGAGATATTTAGTTGTGAATGACGACCCTCGTCTAGCATGGGAATATCTGAACTCCAAAGACATGCGGGCGACCACTCGTACAATGAACTTGTTTGTTCAGCATTCTGCCAATGTTGGAGCGATTGCAAATGCCTTGGGCTACATGAGTCTTTTCAACCAGGAGTTTGGACTTAAGCCTGATAAGCAAACTTTTCGAATTCTTTTCAGTGGGGTATTGAAACTTGGATACTATCAGCACTGGAGGACTATGCTTCGTGTCATTTTTAACCGAGCTGATAATGTGTTTGGAAATGCTGAGAGGTTATTGTCAACTCAGATCACCAAGGCAAATGCGCGAGCATTGCGCGAAAGGAAAAACCCAAATCTGTTAGATTTAGATTCAAAACTGTCTCCTGACGAGTTCAAGCTATTGAAGACATTGTTCCTGACAGAAATAAAAATAGATAACGACAAACAGATGAAGCTGCTCCGAGGTCTTTTCCAATCACCAAAGGGAAGAAGACCACTCAACAGAAAGGTTGATAAGAGCAAATCTGTCGAGTATCTGAATCAACGTCGCAACGATTGGCTCGAAAAACGAGTTGAGTTCGAACGATACATCAAAGAAAACGGTCTGGCTGCTCTGGTTAGAAGAGAACTGGCAGCTCAAGATTTTGTCCAGGGTCAGTTGTTAGACCAGCTGACTGGAGGCAACCAAGGTGATGACAGCAAGCATGAACCAAGGGAAACGAACAACTAGGCAACAAATGTCCCAGCCAATAACGCCTGTATATAATCAGCTGACGCCCAAGCTTTTGTTTTCGAACTTCTTTGTTCGTCATATGAAACGCACGAATACATATGAATGCACTCTTATTTTTTACTCATCTTCTATGATATCTCTCCTGTGAGCACTGCGCAAGCGGGACACCAGCTCTTGACTAACATTGGAAGCAAATGGGGAAAAAGCATAACCTTTACCTCCCCATTTAGACAATAGAACGGGCAATAACACTAGACTATGCAGCGATGCAATCAGAACCAGAGAAAGCCACATTCTAAAGTAATAGATCTCGAATATCTTGGATCTAGTGAACGCCAAGACACAAACTCCAATAAGTTTTGTCAAGGTGATCCCACCGAGAACAGAACCTCCAATAGTTTCAAGAGACTGAGCGGCCCTTCCAACTCTGTTGTCTGGATCAATAAATCTCGGCCTCAGTCTTGCTAATGTGGTGTGGTCTGAAATCGTAAACGATCTGGTAATGTGAGTGCAGAATTCCACGCTTAATCCGATGCAAATCACCAGATTCACCAGACTTACAGCATTGAGAGAAATTCCCCACATTGCCATCACACCTGCGATGTCAGTTAGGATGAAGACAACTGTCAGCAACATCAACAAAGCTGCTTTGAAGGTACCCAAAAACAGTGTGGCTACTCCTAGAATAAGACCAAGTGCGACGAGCATGAGCGTGCAAGTAAGCCTCACTATTGAGACATACTGGACAAAGAAGATGTAGAAAGGAGAGTATGCAAAAACCTCACCTTCTCCCAGCGATTCATTAATCTCTTCAGTAAGTCTCAAAGATGCCTTGTAAGCGTTGATAAAGTCATTTTGGGACTTAAGAGGTTCGTGAGATGTTCTGAAAACATAGCTGTCTATACCAGTCCCATTAGCAGTCCTCTTGACAGAAGACGAGTATGGTGCTTTTCCAGCAAGTGGACATGGGTCACTGGGAGAGTCAATCCAGATTTCAAAAAACTTCATGAATTCTTCACCCTCAGGGAAACCATTCATAGCGATGTCCCATTGTCTGTCCGCATAGCAAACTTCACATTGTCGATCGGGCGCCCACGATGGACATGTCTCTGTTCCATTGGTATTTTTCTTGAAACGACAGCAATCAGATAACTGCGGGTTGAGCCAAAGAAAGAAATCGTCAATCCAACTTGCTGCAGGTTCAATAATCGAGGAAACTTCCGGTCTCTTGCGTTCCTGTTCCAGGACATTTACCAATGAGAACTCATCGCAAGTAGAAAAGCGGCCACAAATCTTCTGCTGGTTAGCTCTTTGAGTGACATCCAGATTCTGAACCACAAAGTAAACGGGCGGTCCCACGTCAAGGTAACTATACACGTCGTTGAAGTAATCAATCATGTATGAGCCTGTTGGTATGGCAATTCTTTGATCCAGACCAAACTCGATCTTTGGAATCCAGGCCAAAGAGAAACCAAACCAAGCTAGGAAAATCACCAACACCATGTTGCGCAACTTGTCTCTTAGGAGAAAGGGCACATAGTAATTCCTCATGAACTTCGAAAAAAAGTTCCCCGTAGATTCGCCTATCATCTGTGAAAGAGACCCATCCTCCTCATCAGCAGGAAGTGAGATAATACTAAGCCTAGATACTTTGATGAACGGCAAGACATCCAGCCGATTCTCCTCTACCCTCTGCTGGTCCAAGGCAAGGATCGAGACAAAGCACGTCATTTGAAGCAAAGCGTTGAACAGAACTGCCACAGCCGAATAAAGTGCAAAGTTTCTGACTGCTGGCATGCTAACCACTGACGCAAGCAGAAAACACAGGAACTGTGATGACGCGGAGAGAAGAATGCTAGGACCTATTTTGCCCATGGTTTTAGCTACTCTCTCTGGAATGGACTCATCCGGAAAAGCAGAATTGAACCCCTCCATTTCATGGGAGATTAGGAAGATATTGTCCACACCCACTGCAAGAACGAGAAATGGAATCACCTCTGCAATAATCAGCGTTGACTTCAATCCAAATATCGCCCAAAACCCAGCAGAAGAGCTCACAGAGAGAAGCACTATAACGATTCCCATGAGACCCAGCAGAAACCTTGAGTGCACAAGATTTGACATTCCTGATCCAAAAGAGAACGGGTTACCTCCCAAGGCAAGTGAAGCGTAGGCAAACATCACCAGATAGGATGTCGCAATGATTTTAATATCTGTGTTTGTGGATTTGTTGAGTTCTTTCTCGAGAGAGATCTCGGTGCTGAAACTGAGATCTAACCCTTTGTCATGTGCAATATCCCTGATATGAAGCAGATATTCTTCCAGGTGGTGTTCCCAAATCTGAGCACGATTGAGATCTGTAGAAGAATCATTGTTGTAGTTGTTCAGCAAAATCGTCACTACAATTGCACCCGAGTCCAGAACATTAGAAGTTGGCGAACCACCAAATAGCAGCTCCTTCTTCAAAGGCTGCTGAAAAGGAGGTAGACAATTCACTGGAGTATCCACACATCCTTTGAGATCTGATTTCCACGAAGCCCTATCAAATGCATCTATGTCTCCCGAGAAATACTGTGTAAATGATTCAATCACGCAGTAGTCTCCAGTTGGCTTGAAACAGAGATCATCCAAGGTGATAGGTCCATCCGCACTGGATACCACAGAAGAAGTGATGTTTTGCTCAACTTCAAACCACCACTTTAAAGTTTCATATTCGATCACGGGGGAAGAGGAGCTAGACAAAAATATCTGCTCGATACGGTACATCGGACCGAATTTTTCGTCAAATACCAATTTTTGTTTGTAAGATTCAGCAGCTGGACTCACCCAAAGATTCACAGGGTTCCGTTCTAGCTGGGTGAAAAATATGAACCCAGAAAGGACCAAAGTTATTGCCAGAGAGCTACCGATCACAATCTTAGGGAACAGAGAGCAATATAGTCCCAACTTGCTGAAATGGCCTTCTAGCCAGTTGTTGAAAGAGTATGACTCAGCCAACTGGATATCGTCATCTTTCAAACTATCATCATCTCCCTGCAAGACGTCTTCTGAAAAGGCATCCGTGTTGTCGTCGTGAAGCAGTTCGTTATTGCGCGCTTCTACCTTCGCAATAACCACTCTCACATGTACCAGGATCACCAGCAGAAGCAGCACAGAATAAACGATTATCACAGAAAACGACAGACACGGCAACACTCCCACTTTGCATTGAGACGGAACACGGATCTCAGGCAGTACAGGACACGAGGAAGGACAATCCGTACACGCGCATTTGTAATCTGGATCGCTGCAGCCTCTAACTGTACCATTAGACGATGAATAGCCTTCTGGGAACGACTCAAACTGAGAGGGATACTTGAAGTTGATTTGGAAAGGCGAACCTCCCAAAAGTGGCTTCTCATCACCCAAGAATTTGAGAAAAGCCTGGTAACTCTTGGCCCCACCACCAATCAGGTCCATAGCATAGCCATTGGTCGCGGAAAATTTGATATTCTTGCATGAATCAAAGAAGCCAGTAGCATATTCATCGGCAACATACTGATCGAGAACCGTAACGATGTCCTTACCAGAAGACATAGACTTTTCTGTTCCCGTCACATTCACAAATAGCGACTGATCCGGCGAACATGTGAATCGGCAAAACAGCTGATAGAAGTTCTCTCGGCATGCTGGACAAGATGATATTAGTGGATCCGCTTTGAGCAGGTTTGCCTGTAAGTTCTTCAACTGAGCTGTATCGCAGCAGGTTTCATCTACATCTCTCCATGAATCGCCACATATTTCAACCAGCAAATCGTGATCGGCAGGAGAGGCCTCAATTGCAGGCCCATTATATGGACATGGCAATTCAGATCCAAAGAAAGAGCGTTTTCCGCACTTTTAAATGGTCAGTATACTCTATCGCATCTTTCGGATAGCTCATCCTGGGGTAACAAAGGAACCACAACAACTCACATTTCCGCGAATCGAGCAAAACCCAGATTGGTGAATCTCGGTGCTGCCAACAATGTGACAGATAATAGCTAGCGAAAGCCAAAATCCCGAGTACAAAATCATGGCAATCGCTCAATTATTGCCTAGTAGCAAGTCTTAACAAGACGTTAACACTACCCCTAACAGAACTCCTTTTGGCGTGGCCGGATTCACATGCACCCGCGCACACGACCTTTTGCACGCACACATCAAAAACTTCCAACAAGTTTGTGTGTATACTCTCTATGTACCTTGAAACGACCAGCCACACAAATTTCAACCGGTTTAAACAGCAATGGTTTTCAGACCGTTTGGAGCAGTTAAAGGATCCATGGACAGGTCCAAAAGGAGAGCAATTTGCTCTGCTTCGCACATGCCAATTGGTCAACCCCTGACTAGGGCGACCAACGCTGCCGCCCAGCTCAGGGTAGACAGGAGTAACGGCAGAGCTCTCAGCACCTACTACTACCAATTCCCAAAAATACCCAGACCAAAGCGGAATATTGCGTACTACAAGTCGTGGTCTCCCGGGCCGATCAAGAATTTTGGCTCCCGGTTCGGGAGAATGCGGGTTACACCAAGGAGCTTTTCGACTATGTCTTTGAGAAGGAGACCGCATCTGCCAACAAGACTTTTTCGTGTTAGCGGCCGTAGAAGACGGATGTTTTCCAGTGGATCTAAGCAACAGTCCACCAAGTCGTTGAGGAATTGGTTTACGCTTTCATCCATTGGTGTGATTTTGTATGGGGTGGTTTCCAAGATCAACCACGACAACCGTGTGGTGGATGACGGCCAGGAAGTGAGACCAACCTCATGGTCCTTATACGCGTACAGCACGCTCCCTTTGAAGGCGTTGTCTCGTTTATGGGGTAAGGTCAACAGTGTGACTCTTCCTGTTTGGTTAAGGGCTCCTGGATACAGGCTGTATGCGTATGTGTTTGGTGCCAATCTTGATGATATGGCCGAGCCGGACTTGACATCGTACGAAAACCTTGGCCAGTTCTTTTACCGAAGTATCAAACCGGAAGTGAGACCTATTGCCTATGATGCCGAGCTGAACTCGCCGTGCGATGGACGCGTTTTGAAGTACGGCACCATAGAGGATGGTGAGATAGAACAGGTCAAGGGAATGACCTATTCGTTGGATGCTCTTTTGGGAAAAACAGGCAAAACGAAGCTGGCTGCTCCAGTGCATGATGTGGCTTTCCCAAACTCGAACGATGAAACGGTTTACAAAAGACACGAGGAGTTCGCTACCCTCAACGGTATCTCCTACACCGTCGACGATATCATTGGAGGAGAAGGAAAACACGCCCACCACATGAACAAGTTCAAATACAAAGATGAAGGTGATGCCTCCGTTGCAGCTTCATCCACTCCAAATGTTCTCAAAGTTTCGAACGAGGTCAACAAGAGAACCGGCTCTGCCAGTAAAACGAAAGAACTTTTCTTCGCGGTCATATACCTGGCTCCGGGCGACTATCACCGGTTTCATTCTCCAACCAACTGGGTCTGCACGCTAAGGAGGCACTTTGTTGGTGAACTGTATAGTGTTGCCCCATATTTCCAGAGGACGTTGAGCGGACTGTTTGTTTTGAATGAGCGCGTTGCTCTGTTGGGCTACTGGAAACACGGCTTTTTCAGTATGACACCGGTGGGGGCCACTAACGTTGGCTCCATCAAGATCAACTTTGACAAGGACCTCACTACGAATTCTGTCTACGAGAGTACGATGTATTCGGATTCCGCGTCCACGATTGTTGGGGAAGCTTCAGAGAAATCTTCCCTCTTGAGTGGTAACTCTTCCAAATACTCCTCAATACCAAACAGTGGTACCGAAACTTTGGGAGCACATGCCTCGGACAGAAAAAAAGTGAGGAAGAATACGTGCTACGAGGCTACGTACAAAGGTGCTAGCAAGATACTGGGAGGTCAGCCATTATCCAAGGGTCAAGAGGTTGGTGGATTCAAGCTCGGTTCCACAGTGGTATTGGTGTTTGAAGCTCCACAAAACTTCAGATTCAAACTTGAAGAGGGCCAGTATGTGAAGATGGGCCAGGCCATTGGTGAAATTGAAAGGAAAAGGAAAGTGTGAGTGCAAGCGCTCATGCCAATCGTCAAATAGATATACCATGACACAAGTTCGTCAATTGAAAATCATTCATGATAGAAATTCCATTCGTTAACGTTACAAGCTAGCCTATTTATCCGATGTTATTTTCTTTTCAAATTCCCCTAGTTAGGTGCCAGAGCCTCGTCTTGAGACTCTCGATGAACTTTATATTTAAAAACATCCCTCCCTCGCTCATTATCCTATCCGTGTAGTTGAATATCACCTTCATGTTCCACAGATCGTCCACAGTCCGAGGATCTACATTGCGGACAAGCTCTAGTTTGAAATCCGATACTGTAGATTCTGCGCCTCTAAGCTCACGAAGCTTCGGCTGCTCATCACCGCACTGCAAAACCATACTCTGTTCAAAGGGAGTCAGAGGTTGGAGAACTTGTAAATCTTTGAATGGGGCCAACCCCAGAACAACACCTTCTTTCTCGGCCTCTTTCAGTAATGCCTGAAATGGTAGCTTCAAGTCTTTATATTCTCTTTTGCTGTAAACATAGATGGCGAGCTCTTTCAGGAAAAGCTCTTTGTGTCGAGGATTTGCTTCGAAATCGAGTAGAGTTGGAAAATAGCCATCCGATATGGTTCTAAGTTGGGCTATTTGGTCGACATCGGGAAGAAGACAGGGAGCTGTGAGATTTATGGTTTTTCCATTTGTGGAGACAATCTCAATGGCGATCTGTACCGGTTGGTCTGTCTCAACATCCCTCACAACCAGACATCTCGGAACAACAGATAAACACCAGAAATGCCTGAGAGCTTGGAGATGAACATCAACACTTTGCAAGCTGCCTCGAGGGAAAACAGGATAGATTGATGTCAGAAGCATTGCAACACCAGTGCTTGTTGCGACATCAAACGCCTGCTGACCTCCTCCCAAAAACAGGAAACCCAGTGCCATGTTTGTGCTCATAAAAACGGCATATCCTGTATCCTTATCTGTCTGATCATGTATGACCCTCGCTCTGCGAAACACATCCAAATCTCCAGTCGCTGCCATAACCAGAGAGCAACTAATCAGTACAATGTCTCTGACGTTGTTTACACCCGAAATGGTGGTGATTTCGTCAAAGGTTGAGCCAGGTAGATCGGAAAGTCTCATCATTTGGTCAAGCACATGAAGTAGAACCGACTTTGCTTGCGCATTGCCACTGGAAGCATACTTAACACCCAGAGACATACATGCACCAGCTAGAATGTTTAGATAAGCGAGGATATCGCTGTCTAAAGTGTTGATAGACTCCAGGTCCCACTCAGAAGACAAATATGATGGCACATGCGAGAAGATCCATGTCAGGGATGGAGTGATAGATTTCCACAAAATCATGTTTTGGGCCAAGCATCTCAGCAGCAAAATGTCGGGTCTGATGTAGTCTAACAGCTGAGCAGTTGGTGGAGCCCCGAGTTTTTCGGCAATGGCCATGTTTTCAGTTTTCATGAACATAAACATAAGGGCCATCATAGCACCTCCAGCAGACTTGTCAAGCTTCTGTTCTGTTTGAATATCTTTCAAAGACAGTCCCACAGAAAGAAGCTTGTCAACTATTGAGGAATCACCGCTTTTGAGAAGGTCGCCCTTTCCCAGGTTAACAAATCCTAGAGCAATACCAGCAGCAAGACGATAAGCTTCAAAAGCGAGTTCCTGCTCTCCAGTCACGGTCGTGGCTACCAATTGACTAAGCAGCACAGTGGTTATGCGTCTGTGTTGACTTTCCAAGTAAAGCAGACCAATGCCAACGAGACCAGCAATTTGAACAGGCAATGCAACATTGAGATTTGTGGAGCCTTCTGGTAACAGTGCAACAATATGAACAGACAATACTTTGGTCAATTTCGTATCCATTGTACCTTTCAAACTCGCTGACATACCCAGGAGCAAGCCAATACTCGTGTGGTTATGCTTCGCACCCAGGTAGTTATATATTTGCCATTCTTGCAAACTTTTTAAATGCCCATTCAAGCCGAGACCGAGCAAAAATCCAGCATGCTGGGAGTTCAAGGACCGGGGCTTATTGAAGACAATCCAACCTTCGGATATGTCTGCAACATCACGAGCGACGGTCATTCCTGAAGATGCTCCATTGTGAAAGTGGCCCCAGTCCATCAGCTCTCCCGACAAAGGATTGCTGTCCAACGTAACCGTGGTTCCAGCCGGTTTGATCATGCAACTAAAGTTCATTTTGGGGATCGGAAACTTCTCCGTAGTCAAAGGTCGTCTGCTGTTGAAGAACAAAGCAGCTCTTCCAATGGGTGCGGTAAGTGTCCTCAGAGCGATTATAGCACATATTCTGCGGATATCCATGAGGTGAGCATGCTCTGATACTTCAGCAGAAGGCACGTAGTTCTTCACTTGCACCCTGGAAGATTGGAGGAGCCTAGTGATCTCATAGAACCTTCTGTCTTCGCTGAAAATCAGCTTAGTCACCGCCAGCCTGTCGGCCTCAGCTTGGTTATCCCAAGCCAAAACAGATTCCAATTCGGGACCACTCTGAAGAAGTTGATGAACATCCTTCTTGCTTCTTTGTTCGCCCATTTCTGCATTTGAGATGGTGATCAAGAAGCTGTTTCCACTGGCGAACCGGCATATATCTTTTCTTCCAATGACTCGAAGCTCGTCACCCAGCCAGTCCAGCGGTGGTTCGTTCTGACACTCAGAAATCGCATTTTGCAACACAAAGTAAATTCCTGCAGGGTAGGTTTCCAAGTCTGCGGCGGTGATACCATACTCTACCATCATCTTTATCACCTGGTCGTAACCAAAGTCAGCAGAGACAACTATCTCAAGTAGTCGAAGAACATAGAATGTCCTTGGAGTTATGAGTTCATCAACAGAGTAATCCTCCTCTGCTACCTGTGAAAAGGAAACATATGGAACAATATGGCTCGTGAAAAGACTTGCTAGTGAAGCGAGCAGTTGTGGTGGTTTCTGTAATGGTTCAGGCAGAACTTCGAAACGCGTTTTGGTGTCAAACCTTTCATTATTGACATAATGGTTTCTCCAATTATTCGACCATCCCATCCATATTGTCATCTGCTTCAGGAAAACACCAAGCTTGGTCAAAGATTGGTCCTGCAATATGTTCAACTTCAGATCCTCGTGGATGAGGTGGAATGCCAGAATTAGCGTAGGTGCTAGCTGTTGGAGAGGATAGCGGCTTGGCTCACATTCCAGACTAGCCGTCCTCGCAAACAAAAGACATCTGGTCACCAGATTGACGTCCAAGAGTTCCTCATCAAAGTTAGCCTCCTCGGGTGTCAGCAGAGAAAGCATTGTCGACACAAATGCAGTCCAGTCATCACATCCTGGGACAGAAGAAACCACCGAACACCATCTCAACCACACAAATTCATGCACATAATCGTTCGCGGCGTATTTCAAAGATTTCAGAAGAGTCATCACCAGCGTGTCAGTTGGGACCACAAGCAGATTGGCGGTGTATGTCTTTCCCTCGGAAGTACTATAGACAAACCTATCAGCATATCCAGATACTAATCTCTGGATAGGAGCCTTGTACTGATGAGAAGAAGAACTCGAAAGTTTCAAGAAAGGATTAACCAGAGTCAAAGCAGAATCCTGTTTCAACACCAAGAGAGTGCCTGTATGACCAGTCTCTTTCGTCAATGCAAGATAGTCTAAAGCATTGAAGTCAAAGACGGTCTTCTGGGAAGGCAGTCCTACCTGGCCAGTAGATGTCTCAAAAATTAGAACTGCAAGTTTCTGGAGCGTCGAGTTTAAGAAAACCAGAGCCTCTTGGTCTTCGTATTTCATTGAGTCAACTTTCAAAGGCTGGGACCGAGACTGGCTGAAAGAGTGAAGCTTGGTCAAAATCACATCTTTTCGTAATTTGGATGAGTCAAAAGATGAAGATGATGTGCCTTTCGAGTCCGATATGCTCTCAGCACCAGAAGCCATTCTGTCCATAGATAGCATCAAATGTGATGATATGCGTTTTTTTGATGTGTACTGGATGCTGCTCTCTGCGTCAACAACCTTGGGTGTATTTGGCGTTGCTAGATTACCCGAGTTGACGCTTGAACGGCGGCGAAGTGAACTTCTTTGGGCAGCATCCAAAGGCGAATTGGTCTTATAGCTATGGCTCAAGTATCGCACATGGTATATGGTGACTGTCGAATCAACAGCCTTGAAGGTAGCACACAGTGTGCTTTCAGCACTTGGTGGAAAGTACAACAATGATTCTGTGGGATCAAATGATGAAGTTGAAGATGAAGCAACAAGGCCAAGTTCACCAAGCGGATCCAATAACGTATAGAAATTTATACCCTTGGGGTACTTATGGACATTTGTGAAACGTGATTCCACGTCCTCTTCAACAATATTGTCATTTGTCTCACCACTAGTCAAATCATCTCGCTGAATTATAATCCCTTTTTCAAAAGGAAACGCACCTTTAACAACGAACGGAAAGCTGATTATATGCTGAGATCCGTTATCATAGTACACTTTGGCGTACTCCTTCAAAACCACAGTGAGAGCTCTTTGTATTTCTCCAGAAGAGCTCGAGTCTCCAAAGCATGTAAAGAATGCCGTTATCACAGGGTCGGCAAAGGACATTTTTTTTATTACAGAACCCCCGCGAATGAGTTCCACCTTGTCATTGTCGATTTTAAGTGCTTCGTTAGGAGCAGTGTAGACCAGCCGGGTACCCTCCTTCGGAAGAGATGCTAACCACCCATTGAAGGGAAGCGCCAAGAGAGTAAGCTTCACCGGACCAGGTTCAAAGAGAGACATTCTATCAACAAGGCCTTTGAGCCCTAAACGGTCAATTAGCCTTGTTGTAATCCGCGTAGACTGACACATAGGACGCGCACGAGGTGCAAACATGACCGGATATCACGCGACTTCCGGGTTTTAATTTGTTCCCCGATATGGCCTCGGATATCACGTGGTTATCGTGAATCGTGTTTCTCAACCTGACGTTGTTGTTTTGAGAATCAATCGATCTAGTTTCCACCTGTTTCCAGCTGGCTTACATCTGTCCCATATCCAAAGGACAATCATCAAGACATGTCAAATTTGAACATATTCAAGTGAGTGTTTACTGGATTTTTCTGGCTATTCTCATATACTCTACTAACACTTTTGATCAGAGGTTTCAAGCGTAGTTCGAAGAAGAACCGCAAGGAGACAGAGGCTTCGGGCCTGAACTTACAGAACAACGGATCGAACATATCGCTTGGCTATGGACAATCGCTATACTCCAACCACAACGGCTCTGCCCTTTCACTTAGAAGGACTGTATCGCCTAGTAAGCAATCGATCAAATCACAGAAATTTCAACAACAACAACAACAACAACAACAGACACAACAGCAGCCAGTGCAGCCCCCCAAGCCTCCGCTATTTATGTGCGAGCCTTTTGTGGAGACTGCTTTGGTGAAGGGCTCTTTCAAGACCATCGTTCAGTTGCCTAAGTACGTGGACTACTGCGAATGGTTGGCACTCAGCGTGTTTGAAACATTCAATCATTTAAACAAGTTTTATGGGATAATATCGGAATATATTACGCCAGACAAGTATCCAACCATGACTGCCGATCCTGGAACGGAATATTTATGGGTTACTGCCAATCAAAAGACGGTTTCTCTACCAGCACACCAGTATATCGACTTTGCTCTGACCTGGATCAGCAACAAAATCAACGACCAAACGGCATTTCCCACGAAAAGTGGCACGTCGTTTCCAAAAACCTTCATCAGGGACGTTAAGAACATTTGCAGGCAAATGTTCAGGATTTTTGCCCATATATATCACAATCATTTTGACAAGATCGTTCATCTTTCTTTGGAAGCCCACTGGAACTCTTTCTTCGCACACTTTATATCGTTTATGGCAGAATTTGACCTGATAGAGCGGAAAGAGCTGGCTCCGCTCTTGCCTCTCATAGAGGTGTTTGAGTCGCAGGGCAAGATTATCAAGATGGAAAAGTGACTTGACGAGTCTGTGGCGAACAGCCAACAATAAAGGTTTTATGTTACCACCCTGGATGTATAAACTAGTTGTCATCATGCCAAAGTTTTATATACAAGTTTTTCAGTTTATGTGTAATATCTATCCTACCTCAGGAGAAGAAGTAGGTACTGTTCATCACCTCGCTGGCTTTGAAGTCTCCTCTTGGGGGAATGTCGTCCAGCTTGAATGGAACTAACACATTGACTCCACCAACTTTAATTGGAACAATCTCTTCATCTCCAGCAACCTGAATTGTAGTCAACCATGACCTGGCGGATTCGCGAACCTTTGGATCTGGGTCCTTCAAAAACTGTCTGCGCTTACGCTCGAGATTGATCTCATCCTCAAACGTGCAAGGTCTTCCAAGCTCCTCGCTCAGCTTCTCTCTCAATCTAGCAACTTTTTTAGCCAGAGGAGACTGTTTGGTGATCCTCTGCCAGTATACAAAACCTTCATATCTCACCTCAAACTCTTTTTTGAGTCCAGCAACCAAATTGGTCTCATGCATACTGCTGAATTCCTCTCTGATGGCCTTGTTCATGACGTCGACATCAGCAGCATGTGTCCAGAAAGAGTCATGAACAGACGCGAAACTTATATTCTTCTCGGCACAAGCAACAGCGGTTTTCAGCATGTGCGTGGCATCCAGAGAGTGGACAAAATTTGGAGGAAACGCAGCAATCTGCTTTCTGCGATCCACCTCGTGGATTTCATAGGGGTCGGTGATGTAAACTGTTTGCAAATTGGTTTCAACTTGCTTCTTTCTCTTTTGACGATATGGCTGCACAATTGGCAAACCCAATGGAGAAGTCCAGATTACACTCGACCGACAAATCTGATTGTCGCTCAGGATCTCGTCGTCATTCATGTCAACCCTGATGAGCTTGGATATCCTGTCTGCACTGGCAGCCAACCAGTCTTGAATCAGATGGGCACCATGGAAAAGCTGTCTAACGGCATCGAAAACTCTTCTGGCCAGATATCTGGAATGTAACTTGGCATCATCTTTGGAAAACCCCAAATCTTCTAGTCTCCTGGCGATCTGCTGGGAAGCACCCATGTAGGTGACTCCATAGACGTTCGTCATCACAGTTTGTTTGACCACTTTTCTCGCAATAAGATCCTTTAGAATATTGGCCACTTCATCTCCTTCGGCTGCCTCCTTTTTAAGTCTTTCGGTCACTTGATGTGCCACATGGGTGTAGATGTCCTTTGGTCTGTCAGCAGGTATAAGGTTCACTTGAGCCGCACCCTCATAATCACCACCCAGAGCTGCATAATGCTGCAGGCCATTGCAGGTACCATCCTGGTGGACCGGTTGATGCGAAATAAATTGAGTAGGATCTTCCAGATTGAATGCTGCTTCCAGCTCAAAACACGTAGCCAATGCTTGCCATGGTTTGTCAGCCTTCATCCACCACCGCTGGCCTCCAAGTGGATCTCTTGCAGAATCTCTAATATCCTCAAGATGCTTCTCGGTGAACTCAGCTCTTTCTTGGAGAGAAACCTTATCAAGACCAAACATGTTCGCCAGGTGGATCTTCAACCATCTCAGGCCATTATCACCCAGCTTTCTACCCTTCCAGAAAATGAGTAGTCCTCTTGACAAATCGTTTCCCAAATGGTTGAAATGAGGCGACAATGGGTAAGTTCTTCCTCTAAAATCCAGAGAATGAGGGAAATAAATGCGCTCGCCCAAAAATCCCCGTGCAATCTCGAGGCGGTAGTTCAAGTCACAACGCATACTCCTATTCGAAGCAAATCTATTTGCTGCTTCTACTCGTTTTGCTCTCCAATCAGCAGCTTCACGAGGATCCATAACAGTCCCTTCAGGTAATTTTGGAGGATCAGGCAATTTGAGTTCAGAGATATGGGCTGGAATTTCCAGCATCTCCTCGCCTGAATTCCACACCTGGGTGACGATCTCCAGAATACGTTTGTTTGGAGTCCATTGCGTATTTCCCAAAACATTCAACCCTTTGAAGACCTTATCAAGATCGCCTCTTTTGCTAGCCGCTTTCACGTAGGCATACTGTTCGTGAGAATTTTTGGTGCGAAGAATGGAGGATCTGGAAAACAGATATCCTCCAGAAGCATGAGTAGTCCATGGACGAGGCTGAACGAGCATCGGCAATTGTTGTGGTGAGATGGCTTCTCTGATATTCTCCTGACTAAGACTATCTGTTATTTGACTGTGACATCTAATCAGACCAACCTTCAACCCTCCAACGTATTCGTAGGTATGGTAAAAGGCCGGAATAACACCCTTCTTCACCTCGTTCGTCAAAGGGTCTTTTCCCGTGACAACAATCTTGGCCACTTCGATCAAAGGCGTTATGAGAGCTGACCCAACTTGACATCTGATTTCCTGGGTCCAGAACATCTTCTCGTCTTCATCGAAATGGTTCCCACTGGCTCTCAGTCTCTTCAACACACGAGGCATACTTTTTGTCACAAGCTTTTTAAAATCCTGACTGTTCTTGCTCATATTAAACCCTTGTGGCTGCAATACCTTCTGCAGCTGTTCAGACCTAAATTCCAACTCCACTGCACGTCCTACCTGGACCACAGCTCGGGATGTATGAACACCCTGCTCCAGACCAACACTTGCAGTCAATTTTACCAGCTCCAAGATAGCAATAGTTGCCAACTTTTCAGGCTTGAGCAAACACAGGTAGGGCCCAAATGCCCTTTCCAATCTGTTCTTTCTGTGAGAAGGACCCGAGCTCTTAAAGTTGTTTTCCATGTCATCAAGAGTCATCTTCTTGTATGCCTCAATTTCTTGCTTGATAAGAGGAACTAGCTTAGTGTGCCATTCCCAGAGGTAGCTACTCAGTTCCTTGGGAACGGCTGCATTGGCGCCTCTGAGTTGATCGTAACTATGCTTCCACTTCTGCTGAGAACTATCCAGCACGCGCAGCTCTAACAACTGCTCTCTGCGTTGATTGTGATACTCTAACACCTCGTCAAATTTTTGTTGTGCATCTTCTGGTAACGAGTTCCTCAGCTCGAAGAAGTTGATATTTTGGTTCTCATTCTGCATGAAGGGAACGGCGTCCTCGTTCGTGAGTTGGGACATCAACTCCTTTGCAAAAGACTCCGTGCCTTTGCCTTCCAAAGCTTCTAAAGATCTCTTGATAAACTTGAGGTTTGCTGAAGACACTGGATTGAGTTCAGCGGGAGAAGAGGAGTCTGCGTTTGGTTCCCCTTCCAACTTCTCCTCGGCTTTCATCGTGATTGGCTGCTCCTCCGCAGCCTGCTTTTCCAGTCCTTCGGCCTCTGAAAGAGCTTGCATCAAAAACGGTTGGTCGTCCGTGGAAAAAAACGTTACGTATTGCCTTTTGTGTTTCACCAAGGCCAGAATGTTCGCTGCCCCAATCACATCCGGAAATTTGAACACACTGCTGATGTGACCATGGTAACTGGACAGTAGCTGATCGCAATGATTCAGAGGCGCTTCTCTGTCCATATAAGCCCGCAGCAACACAGCATAAGCCTTCGCATTTCTGTAGTAGGATGGGAAATTCGATTTTATGGAGGAAACAGCGGTATCAATCTCCTGGAGAGTGCGGTCCTGATTTTCACTGAAGGCATTCAAGTACTGGAATATAGCTTCGTCTGTGAGCTGTGGGGCTTCATCTCTGATCGCTTTCATCAACTGAAAGGCTCTGGGAAGATCTGTCACAACACAAGCTTCAAACAAGACCCAAAGTCTAGCGCTTAGTCCTTCGGTCACATCCCTGGGCACATTGTCATGAGGCGTCGAGAAGTAGTTTGTGGGATCCTTTCCTATGCTCACCTTTTTGCGTGGAAGCCTCAGTCCACTCACTATCTGCCTATATAACGGATCATCTGTGGTTTTGAACAAAGCCTGAGCCTCGCTTTCTCGATGTACCGAAAAGTCCGTTCCTTTCAAGGCCTCGGTATGAGCAAGCCGGCTCCTCGACTTGGTGGCGAGGTTTTGGCCCACCACCCGCGCACTTTTTGCAAGCATTCTGCTCATGCTGCCCTATATACAAAATCGACCTGAAAAAGCCGAGAAAAACTGCGCTGCAAAATGTTTGTAGAACTCGATAACACTACAACATGCATCTGAGTATGCCTGAAAAAAAAATTGGGATGAGGAGGTCGTGTGCAGTTGCGAAAAAGAGAAAGAAGAAATTTGATCTCTGAAAGGGCTGCGTAACCACCTTCATCCCCAGGCTGTTGCCTCTGCTAACAGACCGCCCCTTCCATCAAGGGGAAGTAGAGGCTGGTTGTCCGACATTGACGACTACAAGTGCTCGTTTGCATTGTGGAAGGCAAGCTTAAGAGGAAGCAAATTTTGGGATACAACACTGCGATTGGTGGAGTTTCTGTCGATTGATATTTCATAGACTCCTTACGCCAGCACATAAACACAGCTAGGCATCATCAGCCATGTGGAACTACATGTTTGGCGGAAGCCAGACCCAGAAGAAGGAGCTGCCCAAAAAGGCGATAGTGGAACTCCGTGAGCATATCGCTATGCTCAACAAGAAGGAGGCTCATTTGGAACAACAGATCTCGGAGCAGGACGGAATAGCACGTAAGAACGTCTCCACCAACAAGGCCGTGGCCAAGAATGCCATCAAGAGAAAGAAGACCTTTGAGGCTAATCTCGTGAAGATCCAGGCCCAGATAGACTCCCTGGAATCGCAGTTGACTGCGATTGAATCGGCCAACCTGAATCTGGAGACCATGCGTGCGATGAAACAGGGAGCCAAGGCTATGAAGCAAATACACGGCGATTTCAACGTTGACAAGGTGGATGCTACAATGGATGAAATCAGAGAGCAAGTCGAGCTCAGTGAGGAAATTTCGGATGCAATTTCGAGACCTCTCGGTGCTGAGGTTGATGAGGACGAACTGGATGAAGAATTGGCTGCTCTGCAGCAGGAGGAGTTGGACAACAAGATGATCGACTCGGTGTCTACGCCAGCCAAGAAGCTGCCAGATGTCAGCGGAGTGCCCAAATTGCCTGCAGTGGCTACAAAGGTTGAGGAGGACGACGAGGACGAGGAGGCACTACGGGCTCTACAGGCGGAAATGGGGTTGTGACTGTTAGGCTATCATATCTTGCGCATTAATATAACTTGTTTTTTTGATATTTGGTTCTTTCGGGAGGTTTGTGCGGTAAAAATTGTACCCGTTTTGGAAAAGAACGTAACCGTCTATAAACACAAGTCACCGTTCAGACAGTATATAATGAGAGCTGGCACGAAATTATGACCTCCGAATCGTCTCTCTAGTAGCATTTTCAATCAGATATTGGGTATTGTCTCTTTTGTAGGGGTTCTCATCAACTCACCAACACCCACAACAAAAAGAACAAGATCAACACCCCGAACATTTTCGCTATCAGCCATCTATTATTCGAAACATTATGGTAATATTTCAACAACTCTCTTTGTGCTCCAGTTATATTCACACTGATATCTTCAACGTTGTTGTCGATTCTCTGTATCACTTCGCCCTGTTCGTTGACCATCGTGGCCAGCTGCTGAAACAGAGAACCAACCTCGTTGATCGTTTTCTCAATGGCCTCAACAGCCCGGTTTCTATCTTGTAGATATACATTGTTCTGTTCTTCCAGCAACAGTAACTGATTGGTCTGGTCGGGTATGCTTAAGAAGTCCTGTTCTTGAGGGGCCAGCTGGTTGTGGACGTTGCTGGAGGTGATCATCGGCACAGAGGTCTCTGGGTCGTCTGCCGAGTTGTTTAGCGAAGTCAGAAATGGATTGTCTGACGCCACCTGCTTATTCCTAAGCCCGTATGGAACTGTTGCCGAGGCCGGCGACATGAAGCCTTTTCTTGGAGGAGACGCGGCGCTCATTCCCACTGGGGTAGCAGCACCACTATTATCATTGGAGCCCATACCGTTTGAAGAAATCGCAAGTAACTGCTCCTGCCTCGACCTGTAGGCCAGTTCGTTGCGCTGTCTCGCCTCCAAAACAGTCTTGAACTCTTCACTCACATTTTTTATCTTCGTATTCAACAATTGTATCACATTCTTGCTAAAACCGTTCACCTGTGGATCCGAGGAGGACAATATCGAACCGCCACCGGCTATTGAATGTTGCAGATCCTTCAACTGTCTTTCGATTTTGAAGATGTCCTGCTTTATCACATACGTGAGCTCAACCATATCCGTAGGCCTATCAGAGAAGATCTGCTTCTGCATCGCAAGAACTGCCAACTTGCTCAGACTGTTGGTTACGCGCGCAATATCCTTGGCAATGGCGCTTGCTTTCTGGGAGAACTGGCTCTTGCTCGTCTGGGGAATCGTAGGTGAATTCGCACCTCCATTGCCGATCTTCGAATGCTTGTTTTGCTGCTTGTTGAACGTGGACACGCACTGCTGGAACTCCAGCGTTCTGTCCTGAATTGACACTGGCTTTGATGCGTGTAAACTCATCATTACCCTTTGAACGATGGAATCTTTAGGACAGGAAGAAAAGCTGACTTGTAACAGAATCAACGAAGTCGATAGTTGCCCCTGTGGCCTTTGCAAGCTAACGTGGCTTGATACGGTTGTTTTTCCTGGGCTATTGGGAGAAGTACACGACCTTGGGAGACTGGCGCTACAAATTTCCTGTCTGGGACACTGTATTGAATGGCTTTATTGCAAAGGGATGTACAGGAACTTAATAGATATTTAGCAGAAAAACACAGCAGCAGTTGTTTGACACGATTCGGCGAGCCGGTGGCTATTTTTGGGAACTCTTTCGGTTGCAACTTCGGAAGTATGCTGTGCCGCTCTAGCTGAAATCTATCCTCGTGAACTGGAAATCCTGGCCAATTGCCGATGAAATCTCCTCCTCAAGAATATCCACCAGCTTTAGTCCATCTCTAAGGCTGATCCATTCTCCTCCAGTGAAATCAAACCTCTTGGGTCCGGAGATCGGACTGCTCAGCCAAAGCTGTTTGTTAGGAGGCTGTTTGTTGATCACGTAAGACCCGTTCACAGGTAATGTCAGCGACAAAATTCCAGACTGACAGGGTTAGTATCCTTATTATTTTGATCAAGTTTGAGATCAAATACTCACATTTTCCTCAACGTCTGCACCGGGCACTTCCCTACTATCGAGAAGCTCCTCCAAATCCTGTAACATAGACTCTAGTGTGAGCTCTGCAGTACGGTGATACTCATCCACAGAAAGTCTCTCAACGTCTTCTGGAATAACGGTTCCAGTGGTGGTGGCTTCGCTGTATCTGCGGAGAGATATTGTGGAGGGGCGGGTGCACATCATTTGGGGCCGGGGGACCCTGGCAATGCTCACCAGTCGTCTCTGCGCTTGTATGCTCTTGAGAGCAGCAAAAATGCCAGTTCTGGTACTTCTCAGAGCAAATGACATAATCAACAAGCAGAGTTGTAACAGAACAATGTAAATTAAAAACACTTTTTGACGGAGGACTGATGATGGAGGGCCAATAAATGGCGTCTTTCCACGACTTTTGTAATACGAGCCACGCGATTGACTGGCCAGCACTATTGTTTAGTTGATTATACAAAGACAAATATTTTGTTCATTTGTTGTTTAGAGATATATCACTGTCTCTGCGAATTGATTATATTAGTTGCGAAAGCTCATCATCATATATTGGTTTATTATGGTTTGGTGCGGCGCTAGCGACCTTCCTCGACTTCCACGACACCGTCACAGTGCAAGCACTTGTACGCCAACATGGATCCCGTCTTGACTCCCTCGTCATCGTACAAAATGGCATTGGTCTTTCCCTTGGACTTCATGAAAGACCATTCTCCCTTGGCTGGGATCCTCAAACACTTTCTGTTCAAGCACCTGGCTCCAGTCTTTTTGTACCTCAAACCACAAGAATTGCAAAGCTGGCCCTCGACCACAGACCAGCTGGGTCTCCAGCAAGGCGATTGGTTGGACTGGCACGAGATACACACACGAGTGGAGGAGGTGGGCGAAGAGTGTTGTTTGGTTGTTGATGGAGAACCAGAACCCATCTTTGGAGAGGTGACGAATCTGGTGGGAGAACCCATGTGCTCGTGATTGCGCTTGGGAGAGCTCAAAGGAGTCACATGCTGATTGTATACCCGAGGTGTCTGAGGAGGTGGTGAAGCGGTACGGGTCTCAGAGAGTATGGTGGAGAGTGGAACGGCACGCGAGGCAACGAACTGCGAGGGCAGATGCTGCACCTGGTTGTGTGGAAGGATAGGTTGAGATACAGGCGGTATTTGTGGCACGAAACTCTGAGAAGGTGTGTATCCGTGAGGCATGTTGTGAGCAGCCGTGGTGGAGAGCATCTCCAGGTCCTTGAGATAATCGTGTGACTGGTACGTGTAGTTGTTCACGAAAGGGAAGTTCACAATATTGCTGGTGTTGTAGAATCCCTCAGTTGCAGATTCGTTCCTCAGAAGTCTTCTGTCTATCAACTGGGCCAATCTTGGTCTCTCCTGAGTGGCCTTGGAAGACACCTTGGAGTCGAACGACACGCGAGGCTGCTCGTCTTGCCCAGTGAAATTCGTTGTCGCCGCGGATGTGTCTGTCTGTTTGTTGGACTGAAGGCAAAAGTCTTTGAATTCTCTGAACTTCTGACCATCATTTGCCCTTAGACTGTGAACCATCGTTTCTCTCCACTCGTCGTTGTTGTCTTCTCTTGCCTCACGGACATTACTCTCCAGGAAACCACGTGGAAGCGTCGTTCTTCCCGAAAAGTATGAGTAGGATGTATCTGGGAAGTATAACGAAGAGTTCTCAATGATAGATACGGGCTTCACACTAGGACGGATGATAGGTCTCACACGAATTGGAGGAAGCTTTGTCGTCTTGGGAGATGACATAGGCGTTGATAGACTCGTTCCAGAACCATTATCTTGCAATGGACTTTGATCCATTCCCAGAGGATCACTTGGTGGAGGGGTCATCATTCCCGAAGGCTTCTTAGGGGTGGATGTAGACGTTATGATGATATCATTATTGAGCCTGAGATCCTCCACAAGTGTGGTATCGGCACTGGAGCGGTTGATTGGAGATGTCGGAGCTGATCTGGCTCTCTTAGCACAAAAGCTAGTTTCAACGACTGTGTTGTCTTCTTCGTCATCTTCACGTGCTCTCTTACTAGAGCTGACTAGCGGCAATGATCTAACCATAGCAACGTTTTTCTTGCCGGATATAAGACTGTGAGATTCTGCAAAAAAAACTGGGAATTTGGAATTGGAAGAATGCTTTCTGGAGCTAGGCAAATCCATCGTGGAGCTGATTCCTGATCTGGACCGTCTGTCTGTCTGATCGCTCTGGGATCTTCCGTGTTGTTGGTAGCAATTGTGGCTACTCAAATGTGAAGTCAGATGAGTGGCAGCCAAAATTGACATAGTCTTGCTTATAGTAATAGCCTATTCGGTCTGTTCAGTTGCTGGCGTGGAAAACGTCAGCGCAACAGATGAAAGAAGAGAATAGGTCGGGACCGGAACGGATCTGCACTGGTGTGGATCAAGTTCGACTGTCTGTTTGAACACTAAAATATGGCACTTGAAATAGCGTCTCTGAGTGCAAAGCGAATGACTTCTCAAAGGTAGGGCAAAAATATTGTTGGTATGTGATCGATATGACAGGATCAACTAATTGCACGCACGATCTGCAGGATGAGCTTCTCTGAGATTGATCTGTTTGGAAAGAATGGATTCAGTTGGAGATAATCGATGGAAGAGATCAAGAAGGAAGGGTGTTAAAATCAGTTGATAGGAAAAGCGGCGGATCAAATGCGTTATAAACAGTATCTAGATTGAATCCGATCAGAATGGGGAAGGTTGATCTGAGCTATCGCCCTTTTAAGGTCAACCAGATCGCCCTTTCGAGAAATTGCTGGTTACGCGCACTTCCCATTGCGGCAACCTGCCTGTCCCAATCGGGAAAATGCACCTTTTGGGATCATTTGAAATCGGGATTCACAAGCTCACTTTACAAAATTTCTAGTAAAATTATTACTCCAAAAGTATATTACACCTTTTCGCAATTTGTCCTGGCCGGTTAATGAAACGAGATCACCATGGATCCGCTGTCATAGCTGCTTTAGTGTAGGCAGGCCGGCAGCTGCTCATCACAAGCAGCTCCTTTTGGGTCTAATAACGTGCGTCAAGAGGATGCTGTCACCACTCATCCGCGAACACTTACACAAAAAGACACAGATGTGTGGAATTATTTTACACAAAAAGAAGCTTTTGTGTGTTAGAGTTTCATTCTCGTAGTTTGCTTTGCAGGGATTGCTGTTTCATGTAGTTCCCTCGAAGTGCTCGTTTTAGCCACAAGTCACGGGGCAAAAAGAGTTTAATCACATAATTTGTCGTGTCCTGGCTATTATTGATTTGGGTAAAAAACGACTATTGGACCATTCACGACTCTTCAAGATGCTTCTCTGGCAACAAAGGCTTTCAATAAGTTGGGAATCACAAACCTGATCTAGCCAGCTGTTGCATGCCCGCCACGAAATGAACAAACAAGAAGAGGATCCATGTAAGTAGCTCTCTGTTGTCTGTCTCTGCTGTGCATACTAACTTCCTACTTTAGCTGCCAAAATTGAACAGTTCTTGAAGCATATTCTGCTGACGCTAGATACTGATTTTGTCACTTCTTCGCAGAGGTACCAAAACAACCCACAGGCCTTCCAGGCTTCGATTCTTCCACAGTTGAATCCACAATCTGCGGTTATCATCAACGGTCAGCCGTTTGGAGAGAGAGCCGTTTTCCAATCCCTATGGGCAAACCTTCCCGCATCCCAACACACGTTACTATCCTTCGACACGCATCTGATTCCCGCGATTCAGCCTGTGTATGTTATAAACGCACATCTGAAAGTGAGGTTCGATGAGAGTGGGCGAACTAGACTGGGTGATTCTAGCGAAAAAGAAGGCATTATGCCTCCACAACCGGCCACAGCTACGCGACCCATCTGGGGACCTTGGTTCGGTGTCGACCTCAACCTTGCTGTGGACTCAAAGGTCAACCAGAGTTTTGATGGGGAGCTCATAAGCACTTGGAACTGGAGAACAACATCGAAGAGTGAGGGAAGTGCATACAGCATATGAATAGAATAACAATTTCCTTGTACAGCACATCTAATTCATGATAATATTTTTGCCTTTATTCAAATGTATAGCATTGATACTGAGGTTATCACTTTTTGATATCCTTCAAAATTCCAAGTGCTTTTCCAGTTTCAATCATTGGTAATAGAAGCTTGACTCTTAACTGGCAGTCTACTGATGGACATTCCACTGCTAAGTGGAAGAGTTCCTCATAGTCCCAAAACAGCCTTAGCATTTCCTGAGCAATGCGTGTTGCATCAAGTATAGCGATGTTATCTGCGAAATCGGAAGATGCATGAAGTTCATTTCCCAGATGGTTGTAAGCAATATCTGTCAAGAGATCGATCACCTGACTTCTCATCCATCTCTGTCGTTCTATCTCAACTTTGGATTCCATGATGGAATGTAGAACAAACACTCTGAATTCATCTAGCAAAGAGACCTGTGTGGCCGACAAGGGAGACTCGTAAAACTTTTGAAACACCGGTGGATGCCCATTTTTCAGCTTCCGAATAGGTTGAGTCTTTTGGTTTGGATTGCTTGGACTAACGTTGACAATGTACGCCTTGGCTCCAAGCTCACCTATGTTTTTATAGACACGAGCTGTCGACTCAGCATCAGCCATTGTGATATAGCCGTAATTAACAGCCTTGAATATACCCCCAGCACGACTGTTAAAAACCTTCACCTTTAAAACATGACCAAACCGGCAGCAAAACATGAAAAGTTCTCTTTTCCCAAGAGACATATCTAGGTTGTTCACCAGCAACGTCAAAGGAGAGATGGTTTTGGTACTTGAAGACATTATACCATATCTCTTTTCTTCTAGAGGAACAGCCAATTCCACAGTTAGTCGTTTACCACAATATTTGGACCCATCGAGGTGCTTGATTGCGTTCAATGTGCCATTCTTGGAACCAAAAGTAACCAGTGCCCATGTAGCGTCCCGACTCGTAATGTATTTGCTCAAAATAGAGGTCACTGTGTCATATCCAGCCACCAGCACCCTTATCGAGCTTTCACTGGTATGTAAAGGCAGGTTTCTTATAAAGATTGTGAGGTTTTCCTTTGGTTTCCTGTGGTCGTTGATGTTGTGTAAGGAGATTGCCGGTGGTGGTATTACAACAACATCAGATACAGTACGAGGTTTGCTTTGTGTGAATGCAGGTAGATGGCTTCTGTCCGTCTTCGATATGTGAATGGCTGCGGTTGCTGGAGTATCAAATATCGCACCTGAATTGATGAGATCGACAACTTTGTATGCATCTGCTTTGTTCCTGAAATGAACAAATCCATGCCTTTTGACATTATCTGCTTTGCAAGACCATACTCCAAAAGATTCAAACATATCCGAAAGCATTTTTGAGGTGATGTTGCAAGGCAAATCGGATATGAAAACGTTCGCGCCAATAGTACTTCTCTTGGTCTTGTCCCTTATAGATGGAGTAATTCTGATCTCACGCCCCGATACCGTGGAGTAATTCAGTGTGCTCATAATTTTCTCAGCGTAAGCACTATTTGCAACATTGATATATGCGTATCCGAGTGAATCCCCAGAAACTGAATCCTTGCACACTCGGGCTGAAATAATTGGCGCCACGGCAGAGAAAAGATCAAGTATCTGTTGTTCGGTGACGCTCTTGTGCAAATTACCGATATGCAATGGAACCACTTGTGTTGAGTCACTTGATATGAGTTCAAATGCATGCGTGCCGGTGCTTGCGTTTTCTTCCTGGTGATTTTGGATAACTGTTGATGTGGAAGTATCCGAGTTTGAATCCGTGTCGTTCTCAACGGGCGGATCAAAATTAACATTTTCTGGCTCCTTGGGTTCATCAACGCAACTGGTGACCGGCTCGTTAACTTTCTTAGAGTGGTTCCAGTACTTGTTAAACGTAGCTTTTCCAGGCCGGTTCAACGAAAGAGTAGCCAGGATACCACTGTTGTTTTCATTGGATTTTGAACCGTGTCCGTGAGCAGTCAAATTTTCAGGTGACGCACTCTTGATCTCATTTTTTTTCCGGTCGCTGGCAACAGTCTTCTTCGCAATATTACCTTCGGTCTGTCTACTTGGAGACGGCCTCGTAGGAGAATGCCTCGAAGGAGAAAGCCTCGTTGGAGAGAGCCTCATCGTAGAGTCGCGAAGTCTGCGAAGACTCTCCTTGAGTCTGCTATCAAAGGTGTTGGTCAGCTTGAAATAACTCCAGATAGTTTCTGGAATTGGTTTCAGAAAGGAATACAGAAAGGAAAGCGTCCTGGAAAGCCAAAATTGAGGGTGCAACATTCGGTCGTGTTGCACTTGACGTGGGTCAACCCCCTTGAGGTGCACTACTTTAAGCCCATGTGTGCATTTTCACATTCTCATTCTTCATTTACCTTCTAGTGGTCAAGATTTATAAATCAACTGGGAATTATCCCGTCTGTCTATGCTAGGTTCATCTCTGCAAATCAGATACTCAAGATGTCTCTTCCGAATACACCTCTGTTCAACCAGTCCATGAAGAGCAAAACTCTTGTTCTCATGCTAACGGACTGGGTGAAGTAGATACTTCTCCACAGGTACATGGCCATCAATCCACCAACAATCTGGTACCCTGGAAGGTCCAAAACTGCAGAGTTTCCAATATAAGCAAGAGAGCCCAGATGGGTGTACTTGAAGGGCTTGGAGATGGCATTATCGATGTCACCATCCACGATATCGTTGATGGAAAGCGTGATGTGGGTCTTCACCAGCTTGGAGAGCTTCTTTCCGAGATACTTTCCTTGCTGGTGAGCTCTTTGAGCAGTTGCTGGCAAAGAAGTCACCTTTGAGTCCACTTCCTTCAACATGGCCTTAACCTGGTCAAAGGACAGGTGACCCGAGTTTGTAGTGTCGTACTTGGGGATGAACTCGTGCATCAAAGCCAACGCCTCTGTGGCGATTGGGTTCTTGCACTGGATATAACTAGAAAGCTCCTTCAGCTCGGTGTGAGACAAATTCACGTGTCTAATATCGTCATCTGTGATGATGCTGGAATGACGCTGGATGTGGCTGTAATGTTTGCTGTGAATGTATTGACGAACATATTCGGCGGTGTGGTCAGCCAAGTCGGTTCTCACAGTAGAACAATCACCAATAGCATACACATCACCAAGTGGAGCTCCAATTACACGCAACTGGGTGTCCGTCTCTATGGCTCTTCTATTCTGCTGGGAGGACTTCAGCGATTTGACGATATCTTGGGCAAGTGGGTTCTGAGCAACACCCGTTGACCAAAGACAAAGCCCAAAGGGGACAGACTTTCTCTCGATCTCGCCCTTTTCGTTCTTTTGGTCAAAAACCACTTCATCAGGGAGAATCTCCTTGACTCTGGAGTTGGTCAGCAGGTCGATGGAATCGTTTTCGAATCTCTTCATGGCATATTCACTTATAGCCTTGTCGTATGTATTGAGAATGTGCGATCTGGATTGAATGATGTGAATGGAAATCTCTTGTCTGAGGATTTTCGGAAATCCTCGGCACAAGTCCTCGTTCAGTAGATCGAAAATCTCGGCAGCTACTTCAACACCGGTAGGACCGGCTCCGCAGATCACAAATGACAAGAGCTTCTTTCTCTCTTCATCAGAAGTGGTTGGTAAGCATGCACGTTCTAAGTTACAGGCGATTTTCTTTCTAATGGTCAAGGCGTCCTCGGCTGTCTTCAATTGGTGGCTGTATTGCAGGCCTTGAACACCATGGGTGTTGGAGGTGGACCCCACTGCAACAACCAGCTTGTCATATGGAACATAAAACGGGCGGTTCTTGCCCTCGGCATCCTTGACAGACACTTTAATCAATTTCTCGGAAAACAGAATCTTTTCAGCATTTGCCTCGAGATAATGGCCGTTGACTCTTCTGATGATGTTCCTGATGCTTTCGACCAGAGACTTTAGTTCAAGTGTTCCGACCGCAGCGGAAGGAAGCATCGGTGTGAACAGGAAGTAGTTGGTGGGAGATATCACAGTGACGTCGTAATCGTTCGGATCCAAGGTTTCCAGTAACGATACGGAGCCCCAACCTGACCCCAGCACAACCAACTTGGGTCTGTGTCTGAGCTCCTCCTTCTCCTCGTTGTCAAAACTATCCAAGTGCTGTGAAAGAATGGGCAGATTTTCAGGCCCGCCACGAGGAGGGTTCAGCGCCAGTTCAGGCACTAGCAAGTGTTCCACAGCCTCCGTATCTGCGTAAGTGGTGTAATCGTAGATGAAAACCCCACCCACAAATAATAAGATTGAAAAACTGAAGACCGAGCATCCGATGACGGAATACTTCAAGAACTTTCCAATCACGGTGTCATTGAGAAATTTCTTTTCTCTGCGCTTGCACTCTTTTTCCACCTTTACAAGGAGACTAGCATCAGGGGCTTTTTTCGGCACAAGACTCACCTCCTTGATGTCTTTAGGTTCCTCGGAAGGCTTCCCAGAGACGTCAGCGTAGTTTCTTAGACAAACGCCAATTTTCTGGTAACGGAAGGCCATGTTCCTGGGACCCATAAACGCGGGCCGGATCAGGCCCCTAGAGGCTGACAGCAGCACAGGAGTTCGAACTAGCCCGATTGCAAGCATAGCGTTCCGGGGTAATTGATAAATGACAATTAGCTGAGCAAATAATAGCAGCGAAACAAAGGCGAGATTCTCGATCTAGAAGAAAAAAAGTGATGTTGCCAAGAAAGAAACGACATTGAGATACTTAAATTCACAGCTCGGAATCTGGCATGTTGGTTGCCTGCCCTCGGGGCCCTTCGCAGATGGCAGGCCGATGCCATTTGGGTCCACAGAGTAAGCCCAATCCGGCTATTGGCGCGCTGAGAGGGATGAGACAGACATTTACTGAAGATTACGCGATCTGCGGTTGCGGTACAGGTTTATAATCATAATATTTGCATTTAGCTTCTGGTTGAACCCCAGCATACAGTGATTCACGCTGTCTGTAGCACAGGAAGGAGTCGATTTCTACGACTCTCTTCTGGCACATATCGGCACACGGCGGCTTTTTGCATTCGCTCAGCGTGCGCGAATTGAGTGTTCTACCGGTTGAATCGGCATGCTTCAAGTGAAAATATTTATTATTGGTCTCCTCCAACAGCGCATGGCGAATTACCATTTAATCCGAAGTTGATCCGATCTTCGGAGACCGGGGCTTTCGGCTTAAGTTTTTGGTGAATGCACGGCTCTCTTTGCACACGACCTTTCGGTATGGTGTTTCACACGACCCTCAAAACGAGGCTGCGGTCCTAAAAGTCTCGGAGTTTCTGTTCTCTCGCGACCATATCCATTATTGTTTACTGGTGGTTGTCTCGTCTCACCTTTAATGTCTTCGTCTTTCCAGGATGTCGAGCTCGTGAGGTCAAACTTGGAGATTGCTACTCAATTCGTCGAGAGAGCGAGAAGCTGGTTTCTGAACAGATCTCTAACAGCCAAGATAGCAATTGTGTTAGCGTGCTTGTGCGCGGTTGCTGGAGAGGTGGTGATAATAGTGTATCATCACCAGATCATCAAATTGATGGCTTTGGCTGCTCAGGGATGGAGAGAATTGAAGTATGGGTATCTTTTAATGTTCACTCTACTATTTTGCGTTTCATTCCCACCTGTTGTGGGCTACAGCTTTCTTGCGACTTTGAGCGGAATGATTTGGGGATGTCCTGGTGGATATCCTGTTCTCGCTGCTGGAACAGTTTTGGGATCGCTTGCGTCCTTTCTATTATTCAGAAACGTGCTACACGCCAGGGCTGTTCGTATGGTGGAACAGAACAAGACTCTGAAGTCGATTGCCCTGGTTTTGACCGGAAAAAACTGGCCAGAGAGTCTTTTCATACTCACACTATTGAGAATATGCCCACTACCATACTCGTTTTCGAACGGAGCACTTGCTGCTGCACCTGGACTTTCTGCCGTGGTATTCACCTGGGCAAGCATCATATCCTCACCCAAACTTTTCATACATCTCTTTGTGGGGTCGCGACTTCGGGAATTAAGCAAAGAAAAAGATACCAAATCCAAGGTGGTGGACTTTGTGAGCATTTTGATAACTGGGATCTCCTTTGGGATCACCACGTTCTATTTATACGGAAAGGTTAAGAATCGTCTGTCTGAGATGAGTCGGCAGGATGAGAACTTGGACATAGAAGACGAAAGAGTCTTGGGATTAGACGAAATAAATAGCTCTGATTGACTCGTACGACGAATATCAGAAGGACATACATGCATTTATTAGCACTGATCATTTTTTGCGATTTTACCTTAGACCGTTTACTAATGGCCCTTCTCGTCTTCAACTTGGCTCAGCCTTCTATGCTAAGCCGCACGGTCGTGTACCGTGTCTGTTGTCAAATTTCCAAAACTTCGAAAAGCGCAAATTCGGGCTTCGGCACAACTGTAACTTAAAACTCTTCTTACTGTATAATCGCTGGGCTCAATATTTTATTTTTCTTGGTGGATTTCAAAAGGTCACTGGAGCCACACTGAAAAAATCTATAAATTATTGTTTGTTTCGGGGTTGCCGACTTCTGCCACTCTCTTGAACCCAGTACTTTCGCGTGTTTCTTCAACCGCGGGATTGTTTGTTTGTTCCTGAGATTGCCTGCTTGTTTCAAAGCCAAATCGGTAAGAAAGGCTTCTATTTTCGTGTTTTTGTATCATCAAGTGCTTTGCTTGACTGTTTAGTCCACTGGCTGCGGTTTGGACTTTGCCTTCCATTTTAGTTCTCAGTGAAGCCGGTGCTTGACTTTCCAGCAATCTTACAATGGTGGGCACTCCCATGTCATCAACAGATGTCGGGTCGTTTCCGGAGTTTATAAGGTCCAGTAGCTCAGGGGTTAGGTTTGATTCGCCGTTTCCACCTCTCAATCCAAAGGTGAGAGTTAAGGGAGTTTACGAAAGAGCTGGATTCGATGTCTACAAAGGTGATAGACCTCGTGGATCTAGAACGCATAGTTCTTATCAAAGAAACTCCTCAAATTCGTCGCAGTCGCTGTCTGCTTCTGTTTCTGCTTCTGCTAGAAATTTCACTGCTCCTGTGGGGCCGACCTCTAACAAGCAGAAGACCATGAGTGATCCGAGTTTCTCGCTGCGTGATGCTGCCAGTGCGAGATCGAGCGGTGGAAGTAAAATCCGGGACATCTATGAGTCGAGGAATTCACCTGGTCAATTTGCCCGCTCCAAGCTTTCTGAGACGGATTCCTTGAAGAAAGGCTCCTTTTCTTCTGCCGAAAGCGAGCATGAGCCATTGAGGATTCCCAAGTCTCGTCAGGCACAGACTTCTTCTCATAGCCTCCTCAACTCCACAAACACAATTAGCTCAACGAGTACCACACCAGAAGCGGCTGAAAAAGACAAGCTAGATTTTAGCCCAGGACAGAATACTCGTGATGTTCACAGCAACTCCACTATTTTTGAAAAGTCCAGGGAATCGGACACTTTAAGCTTGTATGCTCCAGCATCTTTAACCAATCAAAAAAGGCAAATGGCTATGGGGGAAGACAGTGGTCTACAGATTCACTCTGCGGAGGCTGAGTCCGACGATGACGACTACGTCAAGCAATTGCTAAACATGAAGAAACAGTTCCAGTCAGACGACCTAGACTTACCGAGTATAGTTGTGCAAGATAGCAACGGTGTCTCTTCGAAACCTAGGATCTTCTCCGGTGATTTCAATGTGTACAGCCCTCCTGCTCCAAGCACATTCACTCGATTCCACCGAGACAGCGGTATGTCGATGGCATCATCCGTGTACACTATGGATGCAGGTCAAAAAGTGACGTCTGTGGGGACGATGCATACAGATGATCCAAAGATATATAACCTGGAGGTGAAGCGAGAGCCTTCCTCCAAATCGCGGAATAGCACTGAGGCTGACATGTCAGCCATCCAGGAAGTCACGGAAGAAGATCTGGAGGACTTGCACTCGCACAAAACCAACAAAACTGCTCAAGTTGCCACAGGTTCAATCCTGGATGATTTGAGGCGCATGAGATTGCAGGACTCCCATTCTACTCTGGCCCAGGACTTTGAAGATGCTGAGGAATATCCCTCTGCTTCTATCAACACATCTTCATTCCAGCAAACAGCCAGCGAGTCGACGTTGTATGAAAACGAGTTCCTGCCCAAATCTCAAAACCCAGCAGGTCAAGGTCCGTGTCGTAAATGTGGCCTTGAAATTGAGGGCAACACCAAGTCTATTTGGTCCAAAGACTCACAATTGTCAGGTCAATGGCATCGCAAATGTTTCGGATGCCAAACTTGTGCCAAACCCTTTTCCAAGGGTACTTCCTGTTACGTCTTCAAGGATCAGCCTTACTGCGAACATCACTTTCACGAGGTTAACGGTTCGATATGCAACTCGTGCAGCACTGGAATCGAAGGAAATTGCCTGGAAACAGATAACGGGCTAAAGTTCCATCCTGGATGTCTCGTTTGCTCGGTTTGTCAAACCTCCATCAAGGAAGACTATTACTTACTGGATGACCGGATGATCTGCGAACAGGATGCCATGAGGATGAGATACGAGGGAGACTCCGCTCCGACATCGAGGCTAGAAAGAAGAAGAACTCGAACTGTGCGTGTTTAGTGGATAACTTTTCACTCATGAAAATTCAATCAAGATCAAAGATGCATTATGTAAAGGTCGGCAAAGGAACACCATATCTCCCCCAAAACTGCGGTGAACTCAATGCCTCTGTTTGTATACCATGCTTATCTCATTCAATGTTCCTTTGCAACAATTGCGCCTGATTGCCAGCCACCAGCAGCAATGGCCAACACCTTGCCTTCCACCTTTACCTCAGTCGGAGAATCAATACGCTTAACTCCCAAGTCACCATTTCCCAAGCATCCGCCATTGTTAAGACCCCATGTGAGAACTTTCCCGCTCTTCAGCAGCGCCATGTAGTGCCAATCACCCACTGCAACTGATACACACTCCACATTTTGTAGCTCCTCGTAAATTCTGGGAACTGCATCCTCCATTTCTTGACCATTCTCCTGTCTTAAAACAATCACATGGTCTTCTAGTGTGAATGCAACCAACGTCCTGAACGACCCAGAAAGCCTCGTGATTTTGTCCGTCCTTGAAAGCACTTTCTTCAGCTTGCTGGCCAATGGCAGCAGACGGCCCAGCAAAGTCTCCCCTGACTCAGCATCCCTGTGGACTTTGATACTGAACAGCTTTCCCGAGCCTTTGAGATACACAAGCTCATTATCTAAGCAAACATAGTCAACCACCTTGTCGTCGTCTGAAGTAGAGGCAGTCTCCGGGATAACAACGTAGAGTGCTTCTAATCCTTCAGACCTCTGGCTCGATCGTGACATTTTCTTTCTGCACATCCAGACTACTATTCCAAGGTTCAGCGCATAAACGGAACTCATGTTCCAGCCAGCCCTGATCTTGAGGATAGGGCTAGAAACTGAGAAGATGGAGCCAGACCGAAGTCCTGGAAACTTCAGTTTCACGCCTACGGAGTCCTCTAAAAAGTCCGTGTCCCAAGTCCAAACCTCTCCATCATTGTCCAAAGCAAGCACGTGTTGGCGTCCACTACTGACTGCAATGATCTTGGCAGTACCTTCAGTAAGGAGTTGAAACAGCAATCCCTGTTTGGTATCGACCTTCTTTGCAGTTTTCTTTGTGGCACTTATTTCGTTTGCTCTCTTAACATCTGGCATCATCATGACTCCAGGACGGTGAGGACCTCTCATGTGCGGAATCACAGCTTGTGGAAGTTCCCTTAGCAACCGATGGTCGGCTGATCCAGCTCCATCATCCATTCGTCTAAGACTGTCGCGTTCAATAGGACCAGGTGCACCTTTCCTAAACGCGCTGTGAAAAGATCCAGTACAATATAAGTCACCATCAGATGTCAATACCTGGAATGAAAGCCCACCACAGGTCACATCTGCTAATGGTATGTGAAAAAGTTCCACCGGCCATGGCACAGAGCCGGGCATAATGCCCTCAGGAAAAGCATCCCTGCTCAAACCCAATCTTCCATCAAACTTTCCCCACGTGTACAAATTCGCATCCTTTCGCAGTTTGTAAAGTTGTGGCCATTTGAGCTCGGTCAGAGAGTAGGGTGTGGGTGCCTTTCCAAAGGTCTTGTGGTACATCTCTCTCCACACTATTCCTTGGTTGACAATAGACCGAGCATAGCGACACGTCTGACCCAGATTCTGGATATCTTTAGGTTCCAAAAGTGGGATCAGATTTCCTGTAATAACATCCTCGCCGAGATCAAAGAGGCCGGGCATTTGAAGCTTAGGAGGAGAGTCTTGTCTTTATGTCAACGGAGGCACAGCGATGGTCTGAAAGTTGATCTGGGTGATCTGCGATAGAGAAAGGAGGTACTGGAGAAATTGACTTGACTCAATTAACTCTGTCTGAATTTCAAATACAACAAAAGAACCAATGGAGAAAAATCTGGCTAATCAAAAGTCAGTTAAGTGTGGCAAATACGGGGAGACAGTGCATACGATATCTCATCCTGAACTGTTATCAATGATGGACCACGTGACTCGCGGCGCAGTAAAAGATAATGACGGTATCCTGTTTCTGACGAGTCAACGCTATGATTTGAAGAAAATATTGATCATGTGAAAGCAGAAGCATGGTAGAACATTGTTCAAATTTATATATTTTGTTTGTTTCCATTCTGTGATAGTTTGATGAAGGATGTTACCTTTTGTGGGGAAGAGAGACGTGGAGGGCTCAGCTTTACTTATCATGATAATTCAGAATTTTAAGGAATTGGTGAAAATACAAATAAAAGAGTAAAAATGCAAATGACCGTATGCTATTGTATGTACAATTCTATGACTCTATGAAATATAACAAATATCTGTGAACTTGCATGCACTTTCTCTGGGCTTCAATGAAATTCTCACTAGAAATACCCCAGAGACTCCTAGTAACTCCTATGACAAATTTTCAAACGTCCTCTTCATAATGGCTCTCGTTTTAAACAAATTTGTTACTCTCACTCTCTCATTGTTGAGGTGAGCGTTGTCAGAGGACTGGCCACAAGGTACGTGAGCGGCTGGAGCATCCAAAGCCTTCTCGAGGAATCTGATCGAAGGGATAGAACCACCTTCTCTGATGAACAGAGGCTCCACTCCCCACTCAGCAACTACCGCATCAAATAGAATCTTGTACGCCTCGTTGTTGATATCAGCCAACCAAGGCTCTGCCTCGTGCTCCACCGAGATCTTGAGATTATTGTCAGTTTTGAGCCGTTTGAAAGAGTCCAGCAAGTAGCCGCAAAGCGATTTCTTCACTTCGTCGATATCTTGACTTGGAACAATTCTCAAAGAAACAGATGCAACTGCGGAGCGAGGAATGACTGTCCGATTACCAGGGCCTGAAACGGAGACCGTGTGTACAGTAAACGAGGGAAACCTCCATCTTGCCATCAACGTATCAGCAGTGATGTTCCCTGTTCTCTCTGCAATTTTCTCGTAGTATTCCCTCTCGGTGTCAGTGATAGGCTTCACCGGTTCATAGAAACCAGGAATCAAAACGCGGCCAGTATCATCAGTGAGCTTGGAAAGAACGTTGATTAAATCAACGGTTGGCTCACGCGATACACCACCATCAACACCAGAGTGTTTATCAGGCCCATCACTCGATACTTCAATCGCAACACTAATAACACCACGTAGACCATAGTTCAGACATGGAGTCTTATCGTCTAGCCAGTATGAATTGCTCAGCATGACCCAGTCAATCTCTCCAATAAGGGGCTTGTTCTCCAAAACGGCATCTTGGAATCCAAACGAACCACACTCTTCTTCTCCCTCAATAAGAAAACACACATCTGAACTCAGTGCATTAGTTGCCACAAGCTCGGCAACAGCATACACCGCGGCTAACATTGGTCCTTTATTATCTGTTACACCTCTTCCGTAAAGATAGCCATCTGATGCCGTGATCGTGAAAGGGTCACTATCCCAAAAGCTTCCATCAGCCTCAATCACGTCGTAGTGACCATACCACAATACTCGCGTGGTCCTATCCGCAGGAGGCCGACACGCTTTGAAACAAGCAAACACGATAGGATTTGCATCCTTTACAGGAATGAGCTGTGCAGTGTCTGCACCCATGTTCTTGAAAAAACTCCTCAGAAAAGAAGCGCACTGTCTGGACTGGTCGATGTAAAGCTCTGGATTCTTGGAGACAGTTCTGAAAGCGACCAACTGAGAAAGGACACGCAACATCGACTGGTTGTCCAAAGATGAATCGCATTTCGACTCCAAGCCCAGTTCATCTTCAAAGATGCTGATGGCATCAATCAACCACAAGGTTGCCGAATTATCAAGACCAGCCGTCAGAAGATAGTAAGAACCACCTCGCTTCATCGTCTTTATAGACAAAACAGTTTTGTCATGAGCAACCCATTCAGTTCTCTGTTCGCCCTTGAACTTCCACTTGGTCACACCACGAGGTGTCCCTTTGAACAGACAGTCAAAATGAATTGCAATGGCAGAGGTATCTCCTTCATCAGAATCGAAGGTTCGAATATGCTGTAAAGTAGACAAATCCCAGACCTTGACCTGGCCATCCGCCAAACCACAATACAGAAACGATTCCTGACAGTCTAGGGAAAGAACACTTTCGTCATTGTCCAGAGTGTGCAACAAGGCCATGCCGTTTTCGTCAACCTTCCAGATATGAACCATTCCATCGCCACCAGCAGAAACAATGATATTATGATATACGTCTGGGATAGTAGCGAACATCTCTGGATTGCGCTCTCGCGATGTGCTGAGCATGGCATAAACGTAGCCGTTGTGGGCGTAGGTGATAATGTTGGAGTCCGGAACTTCGATCAGCCTCGAGGACTCACTAGGCATGGACATTGATCTCTGAGTCTTTTTCTTCTGATGGTGACCTCCTGGTCCGACCGAGTCAAAAAACTTGTCGAATCTGTTGGAAGGCAGAAAGCTGGGATCGTCCTTAGGGATGATACGCAGGTGGGCATACAAGATTGAGGCATTCTGCGCTCCAAAAACAACAGTGTGCAACGATTGAACCCATGTGATGCTGAAGATGTCACCAATATCCACTAGTGAGTAGATTGTGTGTGTTTCGGTGAGAGCAAGCACGTCCCACACTTTTACAAGTGAATCGCTACCTCCCGAAAACAGAATGTTCTCGTCTTCAGAAACAGTCAAACACAGCACAGAGCCGGTATGGGCTACCAAACAAGCTTTTTTCTGGTACGTCTGGAGATCAAACACCAGAATACACGAATCCTGGGTTCCGCAAAAAAGTAGGCCCTTCTTGGGGGCAGCAGCCAGACAGACGATCGAAGCATCATGGGTCCATCTATGAACCAACTGTGGATTTTCAGAGTCTTCTGTAACTCCGATGCCCTCGTAAACGGTGTCGGGAGAATCTTCTCTTGATGACGGCACCCCAACGGTGAGTGGTAAGTGTCGTAGCTTGGACTTTTCTCTGGAGCAGAATTCAGTCATCCTTGAAGTAAACTAAACTCCCGGAAAATAATGTATGCTATGCTATTGGTTTGCTCCGGAGCAACCAAGCAGAAATCAGGTGTAGTCTTGTCCCAACTATTGTCTTTGGAGTATCTTGTCTACTCAGTTGTAACGGCGTGCAACCAAATGTGACTCACCACGCTGTGAGGCCCTTCGAAAAGCTCCAAAAAGCACAAAAATGGACTCGGAGCAGATATATCTGTCCAAGAAAAAAACTAGCACACTAAAAGGAAACCAATGCCAGAATAGTCTGACGTTTCGCTTGTTATCTCTGTCTGGGTCTTCCTAGTAATCACAATCATGAGGAGCCACAGTTTGTGCTCGTGTGATGAGGTGACGTGGAAATGTCAATGGCCCTTTGGAACCAGCACCAATACCGTTGTCAAAGGGTTCGCGTGTTGCCATGGAAACGCAATGTTTACATTTCCAACGAGGCACACACGTCCTTTCACATTCTGATACGGGCACTCGAACTGAAGCGTAATTGGTAATTGATCTACAAAGCTACGCTTGGTCTTCAGTTTTTTTTGTTGTTGCTAACTCAGTGTTTGGCTGACTTTTGCTATGTCTCGCAAAAACTTGGCTTCGCGGTATTTGGAGTCCATTGGTGGCCAGGGCCCAACCATCGGATCTCCATTGACTCCGTCAGCACGTACCAATGATCCTGAACTTCCCAGAACACCCACAAGATCTCGGTTTTCTGCAAAGGAAAACGAGAGTCCCACGCGAGAGGTTGAGGAGTTTGAGATGTCCAAGCTTTCGCCAATAAAGCGATTGATTCTAGAGAAGGAGAGAGACGTGGTCAAGAACAGATCTTACGAGAACGTTCCCTCACCCACGAAGACCACAAGGATGCCCCAAAGTCCGAGCAAAGATGACCTGGCTACTATGGGAAAGATCAACAGTGCAATGTCGAACTCTCCCTCCTTGAAGAATCTGAATAAGCTACGCACTATCGAGGCAAAGCTCAAGGCTTCCCAGGCAGTCAATGGAATGCAAAGAGTCCGGATCGCTAGTTCGAGCAATATGGATACGGATAGAAAGACCATTCAGACATACGAGTATCTTTGTCGTATTGCTGAAGCTAAGACATGGATTGAAAGCTGCATCGAGGAGAAGATTGATCTATCAGAGACAGAAGACTCAATAGTTGAGTTCCAGGAATACCTAAGAAATGGTATCGTTTTGGCAAAGCTGGCGCAGAAGTTTGTTCCCGGTTTTGTGAAGAACATTTACTATGGTAATGCCACTTCCAACTCGTTCTACGGAGTCAACAGAGGTTTTCAGTTCAAGTACACCGAGAACATTAACGTCTTCTTCAAATTTTTGGAGCACGTTTCTGTTCCAGACATGTTCAGGTTTGAGCTCACTGATCTCTACGAAATGAAAAACTTTCCCAAGGTGATTTTCTGTATTCATGCCCTCAGTTACATGCTTTCGTCACAGGGAAAGGCACCAGAATTGAGGAGTCTTTCCGGAGAGATCAACTTCTCCAAGGCCGAAATCTCAAAAATTCAGAGCAAGATCAGAGGGCTGAAATTGCCAAACTTTGATAACATTGACGGTGGAGTTGGAGTTGACGATGCTGGTCTAGGGAAAATCAGCGAGATAGACACTTTTGACAAAAGTTTGGCCAAGACGCCCTCGGTTTCCAAGTTGGAACCTGCTCCGGCCTCGGTTAGAAAGGTCTCTCTCAGAAAGGTCTCTTTACCCGTTCCTGAAAACCTCTTCAGCGACTCACCAAGCTTGAGTCCCAGCATCTCTGAGTCTGAACTCAAGATTGAAGAAATCCAGAAGAAGTACGCCAAAATGATGAACCTTGAGTTTGATTTTGACAATACAAATGCGGGAGAAGAACTGGAGCTGATGCCATACGTCCCTGATTACAGTGCTTCTGATTACGACATGGTACAGCTCCAGGCGATTGCAAGAGGTTCACTGGTGAGATACAACTTGTTCGTAGACAAGTTTATGCTCAAGACGTTTACTCCTGGTGTTGTGAAGTTCCAGGCGATTTCCAGAGGTCTTTTGTTAAGACGGTCAATTGGTAAAAGCAATCCATTGCAGCCTGCTCCGGTTGTATTTGGTAAAGCAAGGTCTCAATCCCATTCGGCTTACGACGCTTTCCAGAGCCAGTTGTCCGAACATGAAAGCCAAATCATTGCTCTACAATCGCTTATCCGCGGAGGTTTTTTCATGAGAGAAAAGAACTACCAAAGGAGAAAGTCTCTGTTGAGATGTACCAACGATGCGATCAAGCTCCAGTCAAGGATCAGAGGTGTTCTTTTGAGAAAACGCATCGATGAGGTTGCCAGCTTGGGAATATCGTTACACAACAAATTAGTGATCTCGAGACCCAAAATGAATGTTCCTGAGGAATTGGCATTGGAGGCCGAGGCTGCTCGTGACTCCCTGACTGCCCTTCAAGGAATCATAAGAGGTGGAATTGCAAGGAATCAACTCAACAACGTTCTGGATACTCTGTCCTTCAACGAGTCGGCCCTCAACACACTGGCAGCAGTTGCCCGCGGAAAGGCTTTGAGGGAGCAAATGGCAAATTCCAAGAGATCTCTCCAGAAGAACTTGAACTCGGTGATTTTGATTCAATCGGCGGTGCGTGGTGTGTTGAGCAGATTTTCCAACGAATTGCTCATTGACGATATCGAGGAGCATTACGAGGCGTTAAGTGAGCTTCAGGCAATTGCCAGGAGCAAGAGATTAAGAAATCAGCTTAGTTCCATGAACGATTACTACTCCAGACCTGAGAATTTGGCAAAGATCGTTAAAATTCAGAGCTGCTTTAGAGCTGCCAAACACACGAATGCATACAAATCGTTGGTATTTGAGGCCAGTCCACCATTGCGTGCCATACGGAACTTTGCCAGCTTATTGAATGAGAGAGATCAGGATTTTGAGCAGGACATGTCGATAAAGATGTACAAGGATAAAGCGAGCAAGAAAGCCAAGCAGATTGAGCTTCTGGAGAGTAAAATAAGTGCGTTGGATGTGAAAATTGGTCTTTTGAACAGAAACAAAATTACTCTTGACGAACTGGTGAACTACAAGAACAAACACCTTTCAGCAGACGTGGATACTGCCGAAACTGAGATTCCAGACACATTTGCTTCCAGCACCAGCTCAAAGCCCGAAGTCAAAGCCAACCTCAATAAGAGCGCTAGAGAACTGAGAGAATGCTATGAGAAGATGTTCTACATTTTGCAAACCCAACCAGCATATCTCAGTAGGCTCTTTGCTGCTATTGAGCAGAATCCTTCGTATGTCCTGGAACTACCTGGAAGTGTTGAGGACTACGTCTTGAAAATCTTTGGCTTCACTCCTGTGAATGCTGACATCGAGAGACCAAAGACCAGAGAGGAGTACCTTTATATGAAAATGGTTTTGTACAACATCAAGTCCTGGATCAGCGATGTTGTTGCAACCGACGGCTTCAAGGCTCTGTTCAAGAGCGACATTTCAGCAAAAAAGCTCCTGGTCAACAGCATGATGTGGGAATCTGTTCTCAACATGTTCAACAATCTCACTCATCAGAGACTGTCAGCAAAAAAGATATTTGGGGCTCACATCACCAAACTGTTGAAGGACGTGGATTTGAGTTTTGAGTCTACTCCTTTGAACATCTACAATAATCTCATTGAGAAGGAAGAGGCCCTCACTGGCCAAAGAACTCTCAAGATGATCGTGGGTATTGACAACAATACTGCCATTGAAGATCCTGAAACTAGAGATCAGTTCGTCAAGAACCTGACAAACTTGAAGGAGACAGCCAACGATTTTATCTTGATTATCGAATATGTGATTGCTGCTTTGCCGACCTACATCCGCACTTTGTGCAAAGAGCTGTACGAATTTCTCAAGCTGAAATACCCTGGTGAATCTGAAAGGTATTACCTCTCTTTTGTTGGAAGAGTCTTCATGAAGAACTACTTTCTGCCAATATTGCTGAGACCCGAAAACTACGGAATCCGCTTGAAGCAACCAGGTTCTAGCGAGAGACAAACCTTAGCCATGAGGCAGAACCTGATCGAACTTTCGAGAGTACTCTACCAATTGGTGTCTATGAAAGCATTTGGAGCGCAGAATGTCTACTTACAGCCATTAAACGAGTTCATTGATCTGTCTGTTGAGCTTGTTCGTCGCATGCTGCGCAAGTTGATTAATGTGGAAGACATGGAGACAACATACAATATCTCCAGTATTTACAGTGATTTTGCCAACGAAGACCACCCAGAGCTCGTTCTCAGTTACCATGATCTTACCGGAGTGTTTGAACTGGTCAACCTTGAGATTAATGATCTGGTTCCGGAAAGAGAGGATTTGTTGAGAGATCTCGCTCAGGATATCATGGTGTTGCGTAGTGCTCCAGGCTATTCGTTTTCTGATCCTGTGATCTTAAAACTGATCCCGGTGGCTGCTACCGAGGACCCAGAGGAAATATATGCCAAGTCGTTGCTGCTTCAAGTGAAGACCTGTCTCATCTATATCATCCAGGTGCAATCTGGCACAGACCTGTTGGACCTGTTGATCAAAGAGATCCAGCGCCCTGATGAAGTTGCATATAAAGCTCTTATCAGCAAGCAAGGCTCTAAGTCCACTTCTGTTGAAGATACTGACGGTAACATAGTGAATTTGAAATTCTTGTCGTTCCGTGAATTGAAGAAGATTACAATGGAGAAGGTTCTGGAGCTAGAGGAAATGGGCAAGATCAGCAGATCGAACTGTTTCCAAGATTTACTTGATGACATATCTCGAGACATCAAGAGGAAACACGAACAGAGGGCAGACAGACAGAAGGAGCTTAAGGATGTGACAACCACTTTCATGAGGCTGAAGCAAAGAGAAGACAGATTGTCAAAGCTGCTCAACTCGTACATGGCCGACATCGATCAAGGGATGCTCAGATTGCAGACTCATCCACGCAAAAAGAACTTTTTGAGGCAGCTGTTCTCGAGGCAATACTACCACTATCGCGAGCTCAAGAAGAGAAAGGGAAGTGTCCCTAGATACGGATCTTACAGATACTCTGCCAAGTATCTGTTTGAGAATGGAGTTTTACTGGAAGCCAATGGCATGTCTGCTGCTGCCATCCAAGCCTCCCAAACGCTATCTGGTACTATCACCAGGGTATTCTTCATGTTTTCCTGCGACCAACCAGGTGTTTTCACAATCGATGTAGCCGCTGAAATGGACATTGTTGGTCTGGAGAAGCTTACTCTGGACGAACTCTTGAATTACCAGTACGAGGGTAAAACTAGAATTGAGCTGTACGGAGGAAAGACAATCTTCGATACGAACGCCCTTGCTGCTCTCATCTTCAGGAAGTTTTACGAAGTTAAATAGATTTGATACCCTTTTTAGTTATTATACCATGCTTTATCACTAGTCTTTTTGCAGGAAATTGACCGATGGTAGTTCTAGCAGAACGGTTTGAGTCCCAAAATTGAAGTGCGGCGCATAATCTGTTTGAACACTACTTTGGGGCAATGCTATTCCGGGCTGGCCAGCTGTGTCAGAATTCCACAACACGTATTCATGTCAGCACTCGCGTTGTGCTTCGGGAAATAAATCATATTTGTGCCACTATGGGGTACGAAAGACAGTTAACAGACTGCTCGTCTTGGACTCAGGCATTTGGCAGGCTGTTGACACCGCCTGCCTCGGTGAATGCCTGCTGTTGTATGCTTGCCTCTACGTTTCCCAAGTTTCTCTGTACATTTTTGCTGTCGTGGTCATATTTCGTGATAGTGTTGAAAATTGGACTCAAGTCATCCGATTTCTGGGATGGTTTTGTCACGATAGCTATTTCGACGGGATTGGTGTCGTTGGCTTTAATTTCATATTTCCTGGTGGTCATGGGACCAGGATCGCCTCTCGACTTCCCAGAACTGCTTATAGATCCAAGTTTGGACAGGGACCAGGTAACACCACCCGAAATTGTTGTATCTAGAAGTTTGACAATGAAATACAATGGTTCCATGAGACATTGTCAGAAGTGCAAATGCTGGAAACCAGATAGAAGCCACCATTGTTCTTCGTGTGGGAAATGTGTTTTGAGAATGGACCACCATTGTCCTTGGTTTGCCATTTGTATTGGATTCAGAAATCACAAGTTCTTCATTCAATTCCTGATATACTCCTGGTTGTTTGCCAGTTATGGCACCCTCGTATCCGGCCTTCAACTCTACAGCTTCCTGAACGATGAGGACATCCCCGCCGCAGATTTCTCCCTCAACGTGATGTTCTTGTTTATCTTGGCAGTCACAATGTCAATTGCATTGTTTTTCTTCGGTGCCTACTCCATATACGAGGTCTTGAGGAACATGACCACCATTGAAACATATGAATCGACCAGGTACAGATCAAATATGAGACGCAATACCTCAGAAAACACATACAAGTATGCCGACATTCCTAACTCGGCTTCTATAGGTAACATTTTTGATCTTGGACTTAGGCGAAACTGGCAATCGGTTATGGGAACGACGTGGAAGGAATGGCTACTTCCAGTCCCTGCCAGATCGCTCTATTTTGCGGACGGACTGACCTTCGAGGTCAATGAAGAAATTTTTGCTAGGCTCTTGGAAAGCTCGGCTTTACAGGATAGGTTATCTTCGGAATTGGCTACCTACAGAGATAGGCAGAAAGCTGTGAGGCAGCAGGCTTTGGACGAGGAGTTTAGGCAAACTGGGACGCAGTATGGACTGTAGGTTGATTTATGTCTAGGTTGTATGAATATCAATTATAACTTTCAGTAATCTGAGAAAATTAACCCCTTTTTTTACTAGTCTCAATATCATTTTTCAGGAAACTCCTGTACTCGCCTAATCTTGCCATGTGCCGACCCGAAGTGTGTGTGTGTGTGTGGATTACCAGTGCTTCATAACCACGATTGTACCGTCCTGGGAGTTGAGTTTTACTGAAAGAAGGCCACAGATTACCCCCGTCTTTTCTACCAATCAGGTTTAATTCCCGTGGATTCAAGAAGAAAACATGGGGACATTCCAACTGATGCCATTCGACCCTTTGTCGGTCGATCCATCTGAAAAAAAACGTGAGTGTGATAATCAGGCTCGAGACGTTGATTTCGAGGAAGCTTAAGGTTCCATCAAGGCAATGCCGGTCTCCAGAATCAAACGTACTAACTTTTTCTTTGCTATTTCCAGGTGTTGCGTATTTCTATGATTCCGATGTGGGCAATTACGCCTACGGCGCGGGTCACCCAATGAAACCTCACCGTATAAGAATGGCCCACTCTCTTATCATGAACTACGGCCTTTACAAGAAGATGGAGATCTACCGGGCAAAGCCCGCCACCAAGCAGGAGATGTGTCAATTCCATACTGACGAATACATCGACTTCCTGGCTCGTGTCACCCCGGACAACCTTGACATGTTCTCGAAGGAGCAAATCAAGTTCAACGTTGGTGATGACTGTCCTGTTTTCGATGGGTTGTTCGAGTATGCTGCCATCTCCGGCGGTGGATCCATGGAGGGTGCGGCTAGACTTAATAGAGGAAAGTGCGATATTGCCATCAACTATGCTGGTGGATTGCATCACGCAAAGAAATCGGAGGCTTCTGGCTTCTGCTACCTGAACGATATCGTCCTGGGTATCATTGAGTTGTTGAGGTACCATCCCAGAGTCCTTTATATCGATATCGATGTCCACCACGGTGACGGTGTTGAGGAGGCTTTCTACACAACTGATCGAGTTATGACGTGTTCTTTCCACAAGTACGGAGAGTTTTTCCCCGGTACTGGTGAATTGCGCGACATTGGTGTTGGCAAGGGTAAGCATCATGCGGTCAACGTTCCGCTTAGAGACGGTATAGATGATGCTACGTACAAGTCTATTTTTGAGCCTGTCATCAAGAGAATCATGGATTGGTACCAGCCTTCTGCGGTTGTTCTACAGTGCGGTGGTGACTCTCTCAGTGGTGACAGACTGGGTTGTTTCAACCTGTCGATAAAAGGCCATGCCAACTGTGTGAACTACGTCAAGTCCTTCAACATTCCGATGATGGTTCTGGGAGGTGGTGGATACACTATGAGAAACGTTTCCAGAACATGGACCTACGAAACGGGTCTTCTGAACAACACTCTGTTGGATCCTGAATTGCCATACAACGACTACTACGAATACTATGGTCCCGACTACCAGCTGGACGTAAGACCTTCGAACATGCACAATGCCAACTCTCCTGAGTATCTCTCCAAGATTTTGTCTCAGATATTCAGCAACCTGGAAAATACGAGGCACACACCTTCTGTTCAGATGAACGACGTGCCTCATGACCTGGAGGATTTCGGAGACGAAGAGGAGGACACGGCAGATGCTATGGACACCAAGGGAGGTTCCCAGTTTGCTCGTGATAACATCATCGTTCCAGACAACGAGTTCTACGATGGTGATGACAAGCAGAAGTCCAAAGATATTAGCGACCACAAAGACGGTGAGACCCATCCTAGACCCACCATGTCGATCATCCCACCGGACTACTACGAAAAGGCAGCAGCGGACATGGTCAAGGAATTGGAGAATGAAGAGAGTTGATAATTGCAGAAGGCTATTTTTGCTTGTCAATGAACCCTTTCTGTATGCTAGAGACAAGATCACCTTCATTTCTCAGACGATAGCTCACAGAAGTCTTTAACTTAGCTGTTTTCAAAATTTTGTTTTATCTGATCTTGATTTTTTCTAAATCTGTACAACTAATGGAATACATTAACTCCAGGAATCACTTATTCGTACCCTTGAACCCGGAGTTGAACCCAAGCAACTCGTTGATGCCCGATGTCCAATCGTGATCGGACTTCACCACACACCATATGCCTGTATCTTTATCTGGGGAAGCTGTCTCTGTATTCACGTAGATCTCATCGCCCGGGTTCAAATAATCCTGAGGGACGCCGTCGACCGTCAGTTTGGCATTGGAGGTTCTCGACTGTTCCTTGCCGATTACCTTCACTTTGATCTTGGAGGTGGCTGGGAGAACCAACGGCCTGAAAGACAAAGATCTTGGACAGATGGGGGTCATTAGAATGCATGGCACTGCTGGGTTCACAATGGCCCCTCCAGCAGATAGTGAGTACGCAGTGGACCCTGTGGGTGTGGCTAGGATGATCCCATCAGCAGTTGTCCGGGTGAAAAGTTGATCGTCAATGCAAATCTCCAACGTGGTGAGTGTAGGCATCGATCCTCTGTGTAACACTATATCGTTCATGGCGTGGATCTTTATCCGGGAGTCGTTTATGTCCCCGTCCAACGCCTTGGTGTTGTTCTTCTTGGTAAAATGGCACTCCAGTCTAGATCTGTGTAACAGTTTTGCCTGCGATTGGTACACCTCCTCAAAAGCATTCTCAAAACTCTGAAAGTTGAAAGGTAACAAAAATCCCAGAGTCCCCAGTGAAAACGACAGAACTGGTGGAACCACTGTATTTGAAAAAGTCGACACACCTCTCAAAATAGTCCCATCTCCCCCGAGAGAAACCAAAAGATCCGTCTTCTGGACAATTTCGCTGTTTTTTCCAGAATATATAACGCACGGTTGCTTACTTTCCTTTGTCTCTTCTGCTATCTCATCAGCCACATCTGGAGAAACTATGATGTTGCAGTTCGGATGTCTCTGGTGAATAAATGTGATGAACTTCATCATTGCGTCTCTGACATCAGGAACCCAAGGCTTCTTGACCACGTATATATTCTGAAGTGGCTTATCCGATGGCCAGTGCAAGTTGTGCAAGTTGCTGTATGGCAACTGATTGTAAGATGGTATGACTCTATCCTTGAGGGTGGTGACCGAACGGATATCCACCAGCTTGTTCATGAGTAGCCGCGGACTGACTCTCATTGCGTTGGGTGTATGAAGGTCGATGAAGTGGCTTGAATAAATTAAAGAAAAAACAAAAGAGATACGGCCAAGTTATGTCTTTAATCTTTTGCGCAGAAAGAGATCGAAATATGGCGTTATCTTTTCCGTACACCGTTTGGGGTCATGAGCCGCTTTGCTCACGTGACTCACGTTTTTCAAGCTGATACTAATTACCACTAAGTGATCATCTGTTTCTGCTATAACAATTACAATTAGGTTCGGTTCTCGAATTAAGTTTCATTCATATCCGTCGTTATATGGTACAATGCCCTGGGGGTGGGCTAGATTCGGAGGAACGAAAACTCGCTGCTAAGGCCCACCAGCTCTCTCACCTCTTGCGAGAGAGAAGCGTACCTCTTGTTTGCCTCGAGGATTCGCAGAGTTTTCATGATTTCTTCATAAGGGTAATCCTTTGCATTTGTGCCGAGGAGTTTTTGGATTGAAAAGATTTGCCATATATCTTCGTGCAATTCTGGAGTGATGGGCCTGCCTTGGGCCTTCAGTCTGGAAAAAGCGATCTTTTGAGCCAGGGTCTTGTCAAAAATGCTCGAGACTATTTTCTGGCTTTCTATGTGGTGATGTTTGACAAGGCTCCAGAAATCTGGAGGCTCCGGAAACTGGTCCACCAATGCGTCGGCAAGGGTTCTATGGAGAGACTCTGGGAGCTCATTGGTATTCAGTACCTTCATTGTCTCCAATAACCCCAGACTCGCCAAATGTTGCGATTCGCTCTGGATGATTTTTATGCAGTCATTTGTGTCTATTTTTTTCCAGCTTGGGCAAAAAGGTATCACTGTGGCGTATCGCAGTAGTTTTGCGGGGTCCAAATTGAAAGTGGTCTGCCTTATCTGTTGAAGACTTTTGGAAAGGCTGAATCTGTCATAAAAATAAATGGTATCCATGAGGCGTCTAAGATCATCAGTGATGTCCAAAGTATCAATAATTCTCCCAATTTCTGACCCGTAGTCTTTTAAAATGTAATATAGCACGGCACCCACCTTTAAGCAGTCGTTGTCCGTATACTGCATTAGCAGAGCAAACATCTCATCCAGATCACCAGGTTGTTTGGGCGGATAATAGCAATTGAAGTTCACGAACTTGCCGTTGGTTATCTCCAAAATGTGGCAGTCAATGAACAAATCGTGTTGGAGTTTGGAGTTCATCTGGAGTCTGGCCCAGTTGATCTTGGAGTACAGTGTCTCTTGGAACTGTGACTCCTGTGTAACCTGGGGAGTCTCTGGAATTTGCGGGCTTGTTTTGGTATATTTCAGAGGTGGCGACTTGTTCATCGATTCCAGCCAAACTTTTATGTTTTCCACGTGCGAGGTGCGAGGAGGGGATTGGGTCAATGTGGTATCCAATGATGAATCACTTATGGAACCTCCATCATCCTCTTCCAAAGCAGGCACCTGGTGATCTCTTCCGTTTGTCCTTATCTCGTACAAATCCCACGATATCGGTATTGCTTCTTTGTTTTGGATCTTTCGTAGACCCTTGTCGTAGGGGAAATCCAGTTTCGACAGCCTGTGTCGTATCGTTTCCAGAGATGACATGTTTGCGGTCGTCAAGAAGTTGATGTTGAGTGAGTTGCCGGCTAGTCTGTCTTCCTAAGCATATCTTGTCTGTCCATTCGATATTAATTTAAGTCTTTGAAATATTCCAGTAATCAACCCCTTTTTTGACAGCAAAGAAAAAGCATATTTCCACACCTCACTTCTGTGATTTCATTCACGTCTGACGGGTATTTACATTTGGCCGAATCCGGTAATCGATGAGACGAGGCTGCATAAGCTAATTAAGACAGATCCGGTCGTCTACTAATCAGTTTATTTGATTTCAATTGAAACTCCTATCCCTTTATTTACATGGAAAAATGTATATATTCGTCATAGGCGGTATGTCCTCTGATCAAGCGGAGTCACCTGACCGGATTCAAAGAGGTAGTCGTAATCGATAAGCAGCTCCATGACTGCGTCCTGGTCACACCCAATGTTAGGCGACATCATGATAGAGAGGTTCTTGGCTCCCATCCGGTTCAAATCGCTATTGTCCATCACTAACTTCAAAAACTTGAGGAACACGCGAAGAACATCGCGGACTTCGCGTGAGAGGCTTCCCAGTAGCAGCTGGAACCCATGAGCCGTCTTTTGGATGTCTGTTTCCTGTAGCTTCAAGAGATTGTTGAAACCTTCGCTCATCTCCATTGGAATAAGAGGTTGTGAAAGCGTACGCAAATACCTCTTCAACAAGGTCGAAATGGAATGAACGTCTGGCTTCTCTGCAAGCGAGTAGAAATCGCAGTCGTAGTTCTCGTCGAATCTCTTCTGTAAGCTCTTGATCTCCAATGATAGACCAGTCAGGCGAAAGATGCCTTCTTGTCTAACAGCATTTTCCCTGATAAGGAAGTCGAGACATCTGTACACAATCGAAGGAATCACACAGCCTTGGTATTCCGCAGACGAAAGCGCTATCGCCTCGTCTATTGTCGTTCCGAATATCGTCTTTTCAGATACCGGGGTAAATTGTCCAATCGTCTCAGGTGTCTGTTGCATCATGGAAGGAGTCTTGATCGGATTCTGAATTATGGTTGTCACGCTTTGATAAGGTGAAAATGCTTTAAATTCAGGCTGGTCCATTTCTTGAAGTGCATCCTCCCTGGTTATGGAAGAGGAGCTATTTCCAAGCTGCTGAGGTTGACCCTTGGTTGCCTTCTTGAACAGATTTCCCATTTTTCTCTGTTTAGGTGTAGGAGGTTGCTCGTTCGAGATCACTGTCTCGGACCCAAAGTCCGAGCTTGACGACCCGGGGATCACCCCACTGCGAATGGAAACGTTGTCTTTGAAACTTGGTGGTTTCCTGATCGTGTGACCACGTAGTTGGTTCAAAGCATTGACCCAGTCCCTTGAGTCGTCAAATGTCTCTGCAAACAGAATCGTCTTCTTCTTCTTACCATCGGTGATGGTAAACACCTGAGGCATTTCATCCTCCATTTCGATGGAACACTCACCAATAGGAATGCGCTTCTGAGTGACATTTGGCAAAATACCTTCGGTTATAGTGAGTGTTGCATCCCTAAGAGAACAATGAACTACTTTCCATTGCGACGTGAACCTGACGTTTATCTTTTTCATCAATAATCCTTCCTTTGCCTCTGGGTCAACCATCATATTGCTGTCTGCCGAGAAGAATTCCGCAAACATCAGGCTGAACTGTTCGGGATATGCCTGTCTGGAGCAGACTTCCATAAAGTAGGCTGTAAGCTGTCGCCTTCTCTCTTCAACCGACTGTAGAGTGTTCTTGTAGAATAGAGATCTGTCGGGAAGAGGGGGTTGTAAGGCAAAAAATGACCTGACTAGCTGGTCCAAAGACACCAATTGAGAGTATGTCTTTTTCACATCGTAAAGCAGTTTGGTTCTTCCATCAGCTGCGAAATTCACGCCCAATGTTATCAATGGTTCTTCAGTCTTCTTGGTTGGATTGGTAGGGTCTAGAACACTCACTACCGTTATCATGGTTTCGGGTAAAGACGCAGGATCCAGCAGCGGTCTGACTGGCGAAGGCCTCTCCTTAGGCATAGAAGGAGTCACGGGGACGAGAGGAGTTATGGGTGTAGTCGGATATGAGCTGTTGCTCGCCTGGCTCTGGTATTGCTGTTCACGCACCGGCACAGTTTGGCGTGAAATGTTCCTTTCACGAGACTCAAAAGCACTAGGATATCCACTCGAGATGGAGGACTGCGCGTTCGAGTTCGAGGTGGGAGCTCTCATCAGGTTTGGCGAGTTAGGCTCATTGGAGTGTAAAGAGTCATTATCAGCCAATACCGGGCGATGGACATAAAACTCGTCGTTTTTCAATGGCCGTGTGGGCGATTGGAATGAATCAACTGCAGGCGACGAAATACTTGGAGCTGCACGGATCTTGCTAGGGGAGTAGTCATTCAACGAGAGCTTCTTATCCATGTAATCAACGAAACTGCTCACATCACTTGGAACTATAGGACTCGACAGGTTCGACTGAGAATGTAATCCCTTGGGCAGACTGCCTAAACCAAGACCCTGTTTGTCGACACTATTTGTGAAGACGAACTCATCATCGTCATCGTCAGCATTTTCCTTCTCAGTGCTTGCAATTACCGGACTGCCATAAGTGTATGATTGCTTCAATGGTGAGGCTGGAGCCCTTAGATTAGGAATCTCCGATCTGTGTGTCGCCTGGTTCTGGGCTCTTCTTGGTGATTGTAGTCTTCTAGGGCTGGATCCCATCACAATATCTTCAGGAACAATCACTTCCTGGGCTTCCGGAACACTGAGAACATTCGACTTCAACTGGCCTACCGGCGATGCTCCTCTCACTGGACTCTTCAGAGAAGGCTCAGATTCGTATACAGAAGACACGTTTGAGTACTGACTCATCCTAGCACCTCTCATTGCACTTCTGGGTGGAATGTCTGGTTCCGGACTTTTGGATTCCGGGGTTCCGCTTGTGCCACGCTCTGTGCTCTTACTTGCTAAAGCAGATGGAACAGGAGAAGTTTCTGCAAGTAACTGGGACTGTTGTTCGTTCGGAGTCTGCAATGGGTCTATCAGCTTGGCCACAGGAGTGTGAATGACCGTTTCATCGTTTTCTGCAACAACATTTGTTGGGGTTGATTGAGGTCCTTCGCTTTTTCGTTTATCGTATTCGAAATCATCCACTCTTTTCTGCAAACTGAGTATGGTTTCATCCTTGCCCTTCACCTCCTCCTTGACCGAAATGAGCTCGGCCTTCAGCTGGAGATTGGACTGTCTAAGTAACTCCACCTGCTTCATCAGCGCAGCCAATGCATTATTGCTCAATTGAGGCTCATCATTCTTCACTGTCGAAAAAGGCTCAGTGGAGATGCCTTGATCATAGGCAGAAGACATGGCAAAAACTTCTGAAACTAGACTTTTTCAAGCAAACAGAGATCCAAAGCGAAAACAGCAGCAATAGAGATTTAAACAGGAAAAAGGCAGATATCACACCTCGAACAAAGACCAAGTAAGATACTCGAGAGTTTCAACACTCAAAAACACGTTGCGAATAAAGATTGCGATCTCGTCTCCAGCACAGATGAAACTTTTCCAAACCCTTCTCTAACAGCTGTGACCAACCTGATTACCAATCCAATTGTGTTCACAGAATGGATTTAGAATCAATGAGAGCAATTGCCTCTGGCTCCAGTAAATTGTGATTAGAGAAAGTTCCAAAGACTTGTTCTTGTTGGTCGCCACGAAAAGGTTAGATCCACAAATGGATCAAAACAACGTTAGTGTCGCGTCCGCGTTTCCGCTTTCGGCTATTTTCGCACAGGTACACTATACGTTCCCCGGAATTTTTGGATTACTTCTTTTTGGTTTAGATGAAAAAACTGCTGTAAATAATACTTAGACAAGGTTGAATTGAAATAAAAGTAACGGAACGTGGGTGGACACTGCAAAAAGAGTCGTCGTTGGCGATTCTACCGACGCGTTACGCGTCCTTCTGGTCCATACATTCTTCATACACCTTCATGAGGGTCTCCTTTTCTGCTTTCTCTGTGGCCAGTTGTTTCTTGAGGGACTCAATGGCATTTTGAAGTTTCTCATTCTCCTGCTCCGACTTTTTAAGCTTTCCGGACCATTTCGTCTCGTAGCCTTTTCTGAGAATTTCGACCTTCTTCTCGTGCTTCTCCGAATACTGAACGTAGAGATCTTGTGCCAAAGCCTCGAGACTTGATTCAAGCTCGGTCTCGTGGTCTAAGGCCTGATTCTTTAGGGTGTTGATTTCAACATTCAACGAGGTGATTGATTTAGCTTGCTCACTCACAACGCCCTTGAGGTTCTTGACTTCAAGCGATAAGGATGTCGATGCCTCTTGGTTAGCCTCCTGTTCAGAGAGCAACGCTGAGTACGCCGAGTCAAGGTTGGTCTTTGAAGAGTTAGCTTCTTCGAGCTGGTTTTTCAGTTCCTCCACAGAATTCTGTAATTGGATCTTCTCTTCTTCGACCTCCTCTAATTTCTTGCCAAGGTCCAGGCATGTCTCCTCCAATGAGAAACGCTCAACTTCGTATTTTTCAATCTTGGCGCTCAGCGTTTCGATGATTGAGTTAGATGAAGAATCCTTCTCATTCTGCAACTTCTCCACTGTTTGCTTCAGAGAATCGATTTCCTGCTCCAACGCTGCTTTTGAAGAACTTGAGGCATCAAGAAGAGAAGTTAAACGAGCTGCTTCAGTTTCTTGATATTCAATTGTGGTCAGCTGTTCTCTGTTGACTTCGTAGAGCTTGGCTATTTCAGAGTTGGTTACTTCCAATTGCTCCTCTGTGTGATGCAGTGTTTTTTCGATGAGTGCGTGGTCCTTTTCGACAAGCACTAACTCCTCAACTTTAGCACTCAGCTGTTCCCGTGTTTCTTGCAAACTCTTCTCTGCAAGTTGCTGCTCTGCTTGGGCCTGCAGCTGTTGTGCGTTGCTGATATCGAGATCTGCCCTGAGGGATTGTTCCGCTTTGGACAACTCAGCGTGTTGCTCTTGAAGGGACCTTAGGTTGTCCGAAACCGAGCCAAGAGCTTTTTCGAGGCTAGCAACCTGTTCTAAAAGATCATCTTTTTGTTTGAGAGTTGCGTCCAGCTTATCCACAACACCATTGTGTACATCAGTGGTATCTTTGAAGGCCGCAAAAACTTGCTGATATCTTCTCTTGTAGGTATCAAGTTGTTTCTCGAGCTTTGCATTCGTGTGGCGTTCTGATGTGTAGCTCGTTTCAAGCGCAGAAACCTTTGCCTCAATTACACCGATCTGAATGAGATAGGAAGAGTTTTTCTCGCGAAGCTCTTGCTTCTGTAATTCCAATGCTGCAATGTCGTCGTCCAGACTTTTGATGTGAACTTGGGCTTCCTGTAGTTCGTGGGCATTCTTTCTGGAGGACTCCTCTAGGTTATTGAGTTCTGTCATGAAGTTGGACCTGATCTCCTCGATGAAGCTTTTGGAAACCATGTCCCTTGACAGGTCTGGTAGGGCCTCCAAATTGATCTCTTCAGTCGCATTAATACTTTCCCAAAGCTCATTTGGACTTTCAAAGCGCGTGTATCCGAGAACAGGCTTGATTTCATCAGCTTCATTAACATTGGCATTGTTCTCGTTCATATCTGTCTCCTCGTCATCGCTCTCGGCCATGCGCAGAGCGTCTTCGACAGAGCGGTTGGCAGTAGAATGCAAAACATCACCAAACTCTTCATCTTCTGACTGTTCTTCAGACTCATCACTTGATTGCTCAAATCCCTCGTTCGAACAACGACTGACCTTATCTAGTGGACTCGTCTTGACGTCCTTGACCATCGACTCTTCCTCAAGGATTCTAGTATGCTGGTCACTCGAAGGGCTGACAGCAACTGCCTCTGTCGGTCTCGATGGCGTTTGCAAAAGCTCTATTTCAAGTTTTTCTCTGAACTCAACTGTCACGTCCAGTTTCGAGTCAAACTTGATAGGTGACATGGCAGCTTCGGCCATGAAGTCGTCATCTAGCGTTTCTGGCTCTTCGATGTGCGTTTTCTTTGATTCGCTGGTATCAAAGCCAGCCGAAGAACGCTTCAACTGATTCTGATTAATAAAATCACCCATGTTTTCCCCTGCCACTGTTCTGTCAGGTGAAAGGTTGAGCTTCGTAGCACGCAAGGGAGACATGTTCTGTAAATTAACAATATCAGTTCTGGAACATGTCAGTGGGGCCCTAACAAAGGGCGCAGCATTGGAACGAATAGGAGAATAAGACTTCCTACTGTTGTGTTTCAACGAAATCCCATGTGGTATTTTCTTTAGCTCGCTTCCCATACCGATGTTCTCAGCATCCAGACTGGCGTGGTTGGTTTGTTGTTCTCTGGCTGGCGAAAAGGACTCGGCCTTTTCAATAGGATCAGCTGCTGCAACAAAGCTTCTCTCCCCAGAAAACTCCATTTTGGCTCTTGTTGTACGGAAGGATTGGGTTAAGTTAGAGAAAACAAGACAGTCCTTGTTTTGGTGCGCGGGAAAAACATAAACAAAGCCACGGACGTGCACCAGCAAAAACAATATTTGTTACCCGGCCCATGTGCCAAAGACGATTATTAAGAGCTCTCACTCTTTCTATCCCAAAGTCCTATGCAGTGCAAACTTGCTGGAGTATATATTCTTGTGAATCGTTGATCAATCGTGTCAGGGAAGGTTTTTAGCGAGTGAAAGCTTGGGTTAAATTCAGTTGAATTGCAAAGATGTCTAATGCCGAAGCGGTAAGTTTTAAAGTGGTACAGCATGATGAACCGATTGTTGTTTGTGCAGCCAGACGTCATAGGGATCAGTTTATCTTTGATACTAACATGTTTGGTACAGGCCCGTTTGTACGAGTCCATAATTGAAGATGTCATAGCGGAATCCCGTCAGGACTTTGAAGACAGTGGGATAGACGAAACTACTCTACAGGACCTAAGAAAGGTAAGTTGAACTTGATAAGCTTCAATTGGAAAATACTAACAGACGTTTAGCTGTGGCGAGACCGTTTGAGCCTGACCAAGGTGGCAGTTTTCCCCTGGGATCCTGCCCCGGATTCTGTTCCAGAACTTGATTCCATATCCGCAAACCAGATCGCGGCCCCGCAACAGATACACTCGCAGCAATTGCTGGTTCCCCAGTCTGATATTTCATTGCCGATGCCCAAAACCGAAGACCAACAACACATTATGCTTCCAGGTGGTGGAATCGTGAACCAGGCTGATGGTGGAGCAGATATCACATTTGAGCTTGATGAGCAGGATGCCATGAAGTTGCGCAAGTATGAGAAGAAAATACAACGAAAGAGACTTTTGAAGCAACGGCAGGAGGCCCGTGCTTTGCAGGGAGGTTTGGTGACTCAAGCAGATGGTGGAGATGATTCTGATGACTCCGTGTTTGGAGGTGGAGACTCAGACGATATAAACTCAGACTTGGATGACCCGGACGATGACGAGCTGAACTCAGACGACGACAATGAGGACCAAGAAGGGAACATCATGTTGTGTCTGTATGACCGTGTTCAGCGTGTGAAAAACAAGTGGAAGTGCACTTTGAAGGATGGGGTCACCAATATTGACGGAAAGGACTATGCCTTCCAGAAGGCGACTGGTGACTCGGAATGGTAAGAGGCTAAGACTATATAATGAAAACAGAAAAAACGAGATGGAGAATACATCAGCAAGTAAATTAACAACGAACGCCTATAAAACAAATTGACTGAACTAATCTCGACCGAATTCAATGACCTCAGTCAAAATCAAGAAATCGTGCAGATTCCAACGGGCTCATAGTACTTGCAACACTATTGTTCTTGATCGGAGTGTCTATCTTCATCGGACTCGAGGGATAATCTTCGGAGGAAGCTGCTGGAGTGCTGTTCTCCTTCTCAGATTCATTGTGCTGAGCATGAGACCGCGTCGTCATCCTAGTTGCTCTCGTAGCATACACGTTGGAGCCACTGAGAGATGACAACCCACTGACAGGCTTAGAAGCGGTTGGGAGTATCACAGCATCTGGAACCATGTCTCTGCCCATCCTGCAAACCCAATTCGCCCATTTGGAGACGTCTGATCTCGGAGCCTTCACGGGTGTCCACTTGGGTCTACACCCTTTAACCAGCTCTTTCACAAGGCTGTCTTTTCCCCAGCTTTCGTCCCACTTCTGCTGTTGTAATCCCACCATATGCGCAAATACACCAGAAGAAAGAGCCGCATCGGAGTAGCCTCCCTCCAAAAAGGATATTAGGCGGCCCTCTGAGTAAGAGTTGGCCAGATTGACAGTATCGGAGGTAAATCTGGCATAGAAAGAGGTGGGGACATTTACTTTGTGCCTTTGCATCGTCTGGGTTTCAAATTCGGAACCGTCAAACCCGGATGACATCACTACCAGCGCCTTGAAAGGAGCGGGTATTGGCTGTTTTCTTTTCCTAGCTTCTAGGATTTTCTCATCGTGTTCGAGTTTGCTTTTCTTCAAAAACATCTCAGCGCGTTTGAACAATTCACAGTATTGGTTGTAGTAGAGATCATCGAATTCTGCCTGAGTCTTATACGGCTGTAGATGAACATTCCAAATGCACATGTCATGTCCCATGAGACACAGCGAAGCGTTCTTTACATTTTCAGAAGTGGCATAGCCAAGTTCCGTGGGAAAAGAGTTGATGTCATGAAGAGAGAAGTATCCAACTTTGGGACCTGTTGGAGCCCTCTTCTCGTACTCGTCGTATCCCTCTGAGTCCTCGGAATCACCGTAATCAGCTTTGAACCCACCCTGTTCCCAGCAGATATCCTGTGTGCCGTCTCCATGATGTAGGTCTATATCTAGAATAACAGCATGAGTCACATCAAACTTTGCGTGGGCATACAGAATTGCTATCTGAGCATTGTTGATGAGACAAAACCCAGAGGGAGTACATGGATGAGAGTGATGGCCTGGTGGTCTAATGGCCACGAAAGCCCTCTTAGGAGCCTCCCCCGAATTCGCTTTTGAGCTGTGAACCTGGTCAACAGCAGTCTCAACAGCACCCACAACACCTTTGAGGGCCAGCAAAGTATCGGCAGTCAGGTAGATATCACCCGAGTTCCATTCATCTGGAACTTCAATTTCGCCATTCTCTAGCTTGGCAGTGGATTTGGCACACAGTTCAACGATCTGGTCAAGCCACTTCCTTCCGTGAACCTTCAGCACGTGTGGCGAGTCCAAGGCACCCAACGTGGTGGAACTGATGAAAGTGTAATAGGATGGAAACATAGACAAGGCAGCAGATATTCCGATCGAAACGGCCAGAAGTCTCTGTGGCCTCTCAACAATTGAGGAGATATAAGCCTTGCTAACCCAATCTCTGCCAAAACGGTGCTTCACTGATAAAGGCGAGAGAATCACCAACGCCTTATCTTGAATGTTGCACACTTCTTGCTGTTCAACGATCTCTGGGAACTGTTCGATGAACTCGAAAAATGTCTCTCTGAACTTTTGGAGCTCATCAACTCCAACATACTCTTCAGGCTTAGACTCTTCAAATTTGACAACGTTTTCTTTCTTGATCTCTGGCGTCCGTGGTGGAGACGAAGACAATTCGGACTCGTGTTTTGGTGGGGAAGAGGCCAATGCGGGACTCGAGTCTCGGATTTTGAGGTTCTCGAGCTCCCCGGCCAAAATATCGTCTGACATGGCAGGTACACACAGTAAATTGTTCTTATGATTTGAAAAGCAAAAAAAACACTTAAAGCAGAAGAAGAACAAGAGCCAACACGTCGGGTACTTGGGTATTGAAGATTAGCAAACGTAAACAAAGGTTTGGTAGTGTGTTTCCGAATTTGAGTGCGGCTGAAGTTTCAAAATACGATATTCTCCAATTGATAGTTCACCGTCTGCTAGAGGAGAGTGTTAAACTGCACAGACTATCCTACAAGGTGCCCCGTTTGTTCTGCATTTCATCTATTTTTCGGTGGTTACTCACACATCCACTTCTCAGATTCAGAACAATCACCATTGAACGTCTATCATTTATCTAACATTTGTGGGCCAAGTATCATGTTTTTGTAAATCTCGATGTTTCAACTGTATAAAGGTGGTTTAATCTCAGTGCGTAAAAAATCACGCCAACTTCTATCCCTCATGCCTCGTCATTTTCATCATCCGAAGTCCGATTCAAATCAAGAACCTGGTCGCGGTCTGTCAAATCATCTGATTTGTCGTTACCAGTACTCACATAGGTACCATAGTGTTGAAGCCGTTTCGTCCACCAACGCTTGTGGGCGCCATCCGAGAATTCTTCCAGGCGCAGATGTGGCTCAGATTCGTCTGCTACGGCGTCCTCTTGTTTGGTCTCTTCAAACAGTCTTCTTGAGCCTCCTTCCAGCCAAACATCGGACGTTTGCCGGTCATCATTCCTCTTTTTCTCCACCCGGTAGTGGCCTCCCAGCATGAGATCTTTGGCTATGACTTCTCTAGTACGGCCCAAAGACTCTATGTCAGCCACACGCGAGATAGTCTCGTTCAATAAATCGTCAAATCCGGGTTGAGACGCAATTTCATGAAATGCTCTCATCATCGGAACACTATCGGCCCTGACGCGCGAATGAGAGTCGATCGTAAAGATGTTGAGGTTATCGTACGATTGAATATAGTCTGATCTGGTCATGATCTGTCTGGCCCTCCAAAGAGGCACCTCTGGCAAAACATGTTCACCGTGCTCGAGTCCATCATTAGCCTTTTCACTAGCTTTCTGATTGGCCACTCTCTGCCTATCCATCTCTACCAATTCGCGCATCAAAAGCATAGCGCTCGTAGAGAATTTACCACTCTCCATAACATCATCATCCATATCTTCACCAAGAAGGCCACATTGATTCAAAAACCAAGTCTTCTCGCGATCAATAATCTCGTTACATGCCTTTAAAACGTCTTCATGTCCAGCGACATGGGATATGTGCTGAGGTCTTCCACCAATCAGCTTGAACACTTGGGACGCCATCTCCTCCGAAATTGTCTCGTTGAAGAACCTTTGACGGGCGATTTTCAACGCATTGATAGCGTCTTTTCTCTTCAAGTCATTGAAATTGATAACTTCCAGTCGAGTCCCCAGCCTCTTCATCCGTTCGTACAACCAGTAGTCATCAGAATTGAAAATCATAGTAACCAGCCCAGCTCCACTGAGGGACTCAGCTTTCTGCTGAAGCAATTCCACCAATTTCACTCCTTCCTCGTCATCTTTGATCAAATGCGAGTTGTTAATAACCAGAACCAAAGGCCTTCCAGTCTGTTTGACCTTCCTCACTGCGACCTCTTCTAACTTGTGGAAAGCCCTTTCTATATCTAACAACGCAGTTGTGTCTCTTGGTCCCCTGATCGAGAATAGTGACCCAATGTAGTCCTCATGGAATTCAAAGTCGATTGCAGTGCCAATACGGATCCGGAATAATTCTGGGTCCGAAATTGCATCCACAATGGCACAATTCTTACCATTCACCTTTTTTATAGATTCCAGAACTGTCGACGTCTTCCCTGTTCCCTTCTCGCCTACCAGAAGAAAGTAACGACCCACGATTTTACCCTGAACAATATCATCAAATATATCTTGTTGTGGTCTGTAAACCCACTGCTTTTCGTCGTCATCTCTAGCCCTTTTGTGTTTCGTTAACTGAAACGTTCGATCGCCTTCGTCAAATGCAGCTGAGATCTTGTCCAGCACGTTGTACTTGTACAACTTGTGGTACGCAATTCCACCCCCAGCAAGTACTCCTAGAGAACTCAGGGTAATCAGTCCTGTTTCCAGAATTTTCATGAGCACTGACCTCACCCTGCCCCACATCTCTTCACGTTTTTCTCTGCGTCTCTTCTCTTCTTCCTCGAAGGGAGTTTTGTACCTGTTAATGCCGGTGTAGCCCTTTTTCTCATCTTCTTTTCTCTGTCGTGCCTCCTCCTCTTTATTGGCCTTTTCTTTCTCTAGTTTCCGAGTCTTCTCTTTAAGCTCGTCATTGTCGAGGTCTTCAGTAAGGTCGAACGGCAATAGCGGATTGATCCTCGTCACTGAAGACGCATGGAATTGTCTTAGACCAGGTCGTATCTTTAAGTACACACCTTTGTATTTGAAAGCCATCATTTTCCGAAAAAATGCAATTGATCTGAATCTCTTATTCGTCTTCTTCTTCCTCTTCTTTTGTGACATGCAACTTGAACCCTGCATTTGGCCGAATGAGGTTTTGAGTGGGTGTGCGCTACCCATTTCTGGAAAAAAAAGCTTCCCTCCTTAAATCGAAAATTTGTTCAGCCATTTCTTCTCCTCCTTTCTTTTCTCTTTAACGCAAAAACACAGTCCGGGTGCAACGCCAAAGCATTCTTCTGAGGTTGAACCCTTTATTGGCGTTCTTGACCCATGACCATGAGAATATTGTTGTACTTTTAGTTTTTCTGCCTGGACTGGAGAACAAATAGTTGATCTTGGGTGCAGTAAACCATGCTAGGGCCTCTGTGTCCTTCAAGGTGTGGCCTTCGTGTCCCCGTATGGGGTTTAGTGCAATGATCAGCAAAACATTTCGAATTCTGAATGTAGGATTGGGTTGTAGTTGGCCGGAAATGGTACATGGCTTATGACGTAGACCACATCTGCCTGGCCCAGGATGTAGTCTTAGTTTTTATGCGAAAACTATTCACTCAAGTCGTTGCCAGAAGTTATTGAATAAATTTCTGCAATTTTCTTCCAAGAAACCGGTTGTTTTCGAGAAATAATTACTGAATACTCGGGATCCACAAAGTCGAGCATTGCTTGTACTACAATGCTCGGTTTCCAGAAATTTCCACTTTTCAGGTAAAAATTCAAATGTTGGAAAACCCTTTCGCGACTCAATAATCACCCAAGTTCCGATCGAAAGCTATCCAATATAACTCTCTCTCGTGATCTAGTTCAGCATGGAGACATCAAAATATATTGATCACACAGATATGCCAAGAAGTATACACCCGTCGGATTTTGTGGGTGAGAATGGGGTTTCGTGAAGACGTTAGATCTCAAAACTGGGAAGCTAGGCCAATCGGGAATTGCAACTAGAGATTTCATACATGCTCCTACTTTTGTTGACCTGGAGACATTCCGCACAGGCGGCATGCTTCCGGGTTGAATTTCAGCCGCATTCAACTTTTAGAAAAGCTTTGTCGTACTCGGGACTTTGGTACAGAGGTACTCCATGTGTATTCTCCTATGATTCAAGTTCTAGATTTAAACATGGCCACCCCAGTCTCGACAGACAAAAACAGTTCTCCTTTCAAGTTGGACTATTTCCACATCGTGTATAGTCCACTCCAACAAAGCGACAAAGACTCGGGTAAAAGTGAAGGCTGGTATTTGAGATTAATTATGCAAGATTAACAACTCCATCATATTCTCACCTTGGAGAGTCAACCCAGAACTCCTGTCGCTATTGATTTTGATAGTATAGTCAACTATGTTGACCTGTCGGACCCCTATATCTTGACGACAAACGTCAACTTTACTCGATATTACGATGACCAAAAGACCATTATTCGTTGTTCAATCAGATAAAATGCCTTGTTCCGCAGCAAAAGTGACCGGACTTCAAATAGAACCACTGTGCGGTACTTGGATCGGAAAACTTTAAGTGCAGTTGCTTTTATTCGACTGAACCCCCCGCCATGCTTGAACAGCTCAGATGAAAAGGAAAAGAAAGGGCTGGAGGAAGAGGAAGACTTCACCATCACCTGCCTCAATTGCCTCCGTGCCAGAAACTCTCCTGCTGACCGAGTCATGATACCTATGAGTTTTCAGGCTTCAAATACCAGGAGACTTATACCTTTACATTTTGGAGAACAGCCAACTCTTGCACCATTGTTATCCAGATGACATGTGCACTTGGTCATCGTCTCGAGATTGAAAGAGAGAGCATTTGGTGGACGCATGATCCCTTCTCACCTCACGTGAATTCTGCAAGCTTCAACGTGATTAGGATGATTGGTGACGAGAAGTGGGTTGGCATGATGGCATTATACTTTAATACTAGGAAAGTAGATCAAGCATATATTGTCGCTGGGGAATTCGTACATGCTGGTACTTTTGTTGATATCGAGACATTCAAGACAGCGACTGCGCTACTGAAGAAACTATCATCAGGTTCAAGTGATGACAAGAAGAAGACCTCTTGGCTCCGACCATTCAGATTTCTATGTGTCAGGCTGTGTTACTTTATAATAAGTAGTGTTGGATTTCAAAGTATGGCTCAGGATCATCACACGCCGCATCGTGCCGCACGACTTCTTGATGATTGCGGAGACATAATCATCACTTAATATGTGTGCGGCGTTAAATAGGTTGGAACACACCATTGTCAATGAGAGAACTTTTGATTAGACGTAGATGGCTCAGCTTCTTTTTTATCACTCCACAGATCTACGGCTGTTATTCCCGATGTCAAAAAAACCGCAGGAACTATTTGACGTGAATGGAAACCCTCTGAATCCATACATTCCACGATTTATTTCCAATAAACCATGGTATAATGACCAGGATACGACGGATGACCTCTCGCACCAGCGGCTTGAGGTGGGGAAAGTTAATGATTATAGGGAACCTCGCATTGGTGACGGGATCACTGACAACTTCAAGGTGAGTAAGGAGACGAAGAGGCACAAGTCGCGAAATGGTAAAATCTCGAAAAGCTCCAAAGTCACCAAGGGATGTGCCAACTGTGGCAGTGATCTACATTCAACCAAAGAGTGTTTCGAGAAGCCGAGGAAGCTGAAGAACAGGGTAACAGAGGAACAAAGCCATACAGATGTGCGGGTGAGGCAGGTTGATGACTGGGACAGCAAGAGGGACAGGTGGTTTGGGTATGATGTGGATGAGTACAAGCTAAAAGATTTCCAAAGTGCAGCCGTAGAAACGGCTCTCGGCTCCGAAGAGGAGGATGAGCTGGAGGAGCTACGAAGTCTGGGACTTGAGCCAGAAAAGCTAGGATCCAGGCCGGATGTTGGCGACACAGAAGGGAAGATCGGTGTGAGGGGACTGGACGAGAAAGCCAGCTACATAGACGGAATCAAGCGGGGCGAGGAGGTCAGGTACGATCCACGCACTCGAAAGGTTCAAGACGATCTTGCTGATGATGGAATGTTTATTAAGGCAAAGGACGCCGAGCAGTTTGAGAAGGATCGCAGGTTCAATGTTGATGTTTCGAAGTATCAGTGAAGGAAATGAGTCAAATGCCAAACGGGCTACAAATAGGTAGCGATGATTTTGATGTGAGGATCGAGCAATGTAGTTTTAACAGGAGGTGAAAGATTGGACTGGTTTTAGTACGAAAGCATCAAGTCAAGAAGTCTTATCACGTACAATTCCATTCGTAGTGCACCACCATACAGTCAATTTCAGGGTAACCCTTATGCTCATCTCTGAACCCTTTTGGGCACTCCGAGGAAGAGATTGAGGACGATGCTCCCCACGTGGGCTTAGACGGATTGGGAAAGACCGTCAATCAGGTCACAAGACCTCTGGCGAGCCCGTGCGGAGGTAATATGAACGGCTACATGCGCTAAAACAGGCCAGAGATCTCACCCCCTTTACTACTCCTGAGATCGGCCAATAAAGTCTGTTTTACAACACCAATCCAATTGAAGTTGCACGTATAGACTTCCCGAAGCACGTGCCCCTTATCTTGGTAGGTGCAGCACAGAGTTTGACGGCCTCCCTCTTAGTGTTGCCCTGAGTTGTTCTCTGTCCAGTGGTGATCCCTTTGTTCCTTTGATTTGCCCCTTTTCTGCCTGAGTTTTAGATTTATTATTTTCCCGCTACTCCTGGCCCACGTCCACACAGGATGAAGTTTGGCTCCGAGTTCACGGACCGTTCCATCCTGAAATGGAGGAACTACAACCTTGACTACAACGATCTAAAGCTCAAGATCAAGGGCGCTACACAGATAGGAAACACCGATGAATCTGGTGATATTTCCGATCCTACCGAGGATAGAAACCAAGTTCGTGCCATGAAACAACTTTACACTGCATTCAAAGATCAGATTGAATTTGTGAGCTTGTTTGTGGCCTCCAAGCACGGCGAATTCCAGACGCGACTGCAACTGCTCCAGCGGCGTTTTTCGAGTGGAAATTACTCAAGAGAACTCCAAAAGGATCTGGTGGAGCTTTCACATGATTTCCAAAAGATTTCGCGTTTCATCATGCTCCAGAAATTGGCTCTTCGCAAGCTGTTCAAGAAGTTCCTGAAACATTCCAGGTACAGATACAAGGAGGATTTTGTGGAAAGGATCAAGCTGAACTTTCTGGACGGAAATCCTGATTCATTTGTGAATTTGAGCCTGGATGATTCTATCCAAAGTCTTGGGAGGATGCTCGATTCTATGAATGAGCCCACGCAAAGTACCCCAAGGTCTGCTTCAGCGGCGGTTCCATCTTCAACGCCGAGGTCTGTAGCCGACCAGTTCGCTCGCTTCGACTTGGAGTCTATTCAAAAGGCATCGAATGTGGAACTTTACTGGGTTCACCAGGATAATTTGGCTGAACTCAAGCTGAACCTGTTCTCCAATTTCAAGTCAAATTTCATCACCTCAAAAAACCAGACTGACCTCTGGCTGACCAACTTGGATGAAGTGGAGGTGAAAGACTTCAGTGCCATCCCATGTACTATCACGAGCTACTCATCAGATGACAAACCTCTGGTTTTGACGCCAACTGGTGGCCTAAGACAAGTTTCGTTCACGCGGCTGAACACCCACTCTGTTTCTTTTTTGCAGCAAATAGGTGAAACAGACGATTGGCATTCGTATATGGTTGCCAATTCAAGGATGTCGCAGATGTCGATAGATTTTATACGGTCCAGAGGCCTGGTACCGTGTTTCAAAACTTCCTCCGATAAGCTGAGGTTCCGCAGCAACGATGACAAAACGTTCATTACGTTGAGAGAGAACATCAGGACCACAAACCAGGGGCTTTTAGAGCTTTCGTTTGATGAATCTGAACATTCCTCAAAGTTCCCATTTGGAATCATGGAGATACGCTACGAATCAAAATACTCCGAGATTCCAGAGTTTATTGCACAACTGTGCCATTCGCATCTATGCTACCGCGTCGACACCCTGAACTTCAGCATGTTCAACTATCTCACGATCAAGTACTACCCGGACAAAGTTAGTGATGATGTATTTGTGACCAAGTTCGACTGGTTCAAAGACTTCAGTAAGGACATCCGTACGCTGCCTCAGGCCGATCGCCCCAAACAGGCCTTGTCGATCAGAAGCAACCGTTCTGCTGTTTCTGGTAACCCAAGCAACGGAATCTTGCTAAACAAATCGAGTTCTTCGTATCAGCTTTCCAGGGCATCCAAACCTGCATCGTCGACAACGACCTACAGATACTGGAATGAGTTTGACGACGACCCAGAGTTCGAAAACTCGGAGTTCTTGGTGTACTGCGACGACCAAGAATCAACCGGAATCAGCTCCTTCAAATGGCTGTTATCACCTGAGAAGGTGGATTCGATCTGGTCTGTCTCGCGTTTCTTCAGAAAGCTGTTCAAGTTCCCGAATAGATCCCAGGAGGAGGCCCCGCTTATCTCAAAGGGAACCGTTAAGTACATGGCCACCACCAGCAACAACTCGGACTCGGACTCGACCACCACCGAAGTTGATGAGGATAGTCACCTGTTCAGACAATTGAACAACTACTCGCCGCTGCCAAAATCGCGCACTTTGGTGCAGGAAGCGAAACACGATCAGGTGGTGACATTCCTATACATGCTGTGCTTATCGCTTTCTTGCCTCACTTTCGGAGTTGCAATCGGAATGTTCGCGACAATGGTTTCGTCAGTAGGGAAACTGAAAGACATCTGGGATGGAGCAAATTCGAACGCAACAATTATGCTAGTCATCATCGTCCTCATAACCTTTGCAATTGCCCTGGTGCTGTGCACCTTTTCAGTTTGTTTGCTATTCAACAGACACTCACAGCCACCCGTCTGGCACCAGGCACTGGTATGGTCCACCTTCACTATCATCTCGTGTATTTTCGTCATTGGCGTTTGTATGTGCATTCAATGACTGCATTTAGTTCTCGCTGGCATTTTATTGTTTTCATAGCATTTGGCTTTTTAATTGAAGTCTGGATATTACGTTATATCGTTCTTTCTATGGTTATTAGACTTACCCAGAAGTTGATACGAACCTCTGCACAGACAACTAGACTCTAACATGGAAGACAGACCCCTCACGATGTTTTAAACTTCTTTCTGATGATATTCATGCCGTGCTCCTCATACTCTTGCTTCGTGACCCGTCCTTTCTCAAACGACTTGTCAAACAAGTCCACTCCCGAATGCCACACATACGTCTCATCCGATTGGCATATACGGATAGTGTAATCCTGTCTCAAAACACTCCTCAGTTCAGAATACAGCCTTTCTTTGTAATTAGGCAACTTCGCAGTTCCACCCACCAGAACCATGTTAGCAGTGAGCAATGGCCTGATCAGCTCTGGGCATGAATTCAGACTATCCAGAATAGTCTTAACCAGACCTGCCTTGGTCTCAAGCCGAACAATCTCCGGATAAAAGAGAACTTCTGGAACACTAAATCGTTCATCGTACAAAGTGAGAATTTGCAGGTCGTCCTGCGGCTGGCCTTTTTCAAGCACGTAACCGGTTGCCGTGGTCTTGTAATCGGGCAATACGTAGTCCACCACTAAATTGTCCTTGTTCAAAGAGTCAAACTTGGGAGATGATCGCTTGAGATTTTTCAGTTCATGGATCTTGCTAAGAGACTCATTGAAGTCTGAAGACAGAAAACATGTTGACTCTTTGATGTTGTTGACTAGGACAGTCTCGTCAGTCACATCGTAGTATCTGAACGAAATCAGTTCGCGCAAAACACCATTGAGAAACCGTCCTCCTATTGGTAATTTTCGTATCGAATTCCACAAAGGAACGCCATGTACCATGGGAACTACCCACGTACACTCGAAACCGGAATCGATCACCAGCTGAAAATCGTCCATCTCTTTCTTCATGCTCTGAGGCCCCCCCAACAGCTTCTGGTTGTCATCGTTCCACGGCACAAGAGATTGAGGAATACATCGATAATATGATTGCACACCAAATTCCTCGAAGACCATCTGGTCCGTTTGCTGGGAAAGCTGTTTCAACGTGTATGGTGCCTCTGTCAGGATCAGGTTGGAGTCGGAGATTTCGAATTCCGGCACTTGCGCACGCACCGTTATGAAAGAACTATCCCAGATAGGTTTCTCTATGGACCATGCGGTCAACTGGCCCTTTTCTATGGGTCTGCGGAATACAATCCCCGACAATTCAGACAAAGTGGAAATCTGGTCACCTTGAAGTATACGCTTATCCCTTGTTCGTATTATGGCGTTCTGAACCTTGATGGGCGCAGCCATGGCGGTTGTGCCTATCTTTATCTCGTAAGATCCATTATCTATTACCAGATTGTGGGCCATGTCGACTTTATCTTTAGGAGATTCAGAAGGAAGTAGGACATGTACATGTTTGGCAGATGGTCTTCTGGAGTTCGAGGCTCGATAAGAAGAGGCACGTGACTTTTCAGATGGAAAAAGTTCAGTTCACACGTTGCACTTTCAGACTCTGATGTATATGGATGGATAAATGGAATTGGCTTGGGGTTGTCATTTCAGTTTGAGTATATTCACTCAAACTGCAATATTAGCCCAATATATCAACGCTTGTGCTGTAAACTATTAGACCCCAAGCTTCTGAGTGAAGTCTCTCAAGGTCGTGTACCGCAGAACCGATATTTTTTTTCAGATTAAAGAAAAAAAATTCCAGAACGGTAGAACACTGCAGAAACCTCAAGCATTAGTTCCTAGATACCAACAACAAAACATGGTCAAGTCGTATCAAAGATACGAGCTGGAACGCACGTTTGGTGTGATATCCTCCAATAGCAATGCTTTGTGGCTGCCCGGTGGCTCCAAGTCCGGTGGAAAAGCCATCACTGCTGGAGTGGAGCAGGTGCTTGTATGGGACATCAAGACCGGTGAGTTATTGCAGAGACTTCACGATGGTGCCAAAGTTGGGGCTTCAAACGCTGCGACATCAACAGCCCCTGCCGAGGTGGTCACCTTGGCTTTCGAGCCAAGCTCCCAACTCATTGCTGCGGGCTGTGACGATGGTGCTATCAAGATCTGGGATATGTCTTCAGGCTCAGTGATTATGGTTTTCAACGGTCACAGATCAGCCGTTACACAGCTCCAATTTGACAAGTCTGGTACCAGACTGTGCTCTGGGTCAAGGGATTCCAGTATCATTTTGTGGGATCTGGTAGGAGAAACAGGTCTGTTCAAATTGCAGGGCCACAGAGACCAAGTCAACGGGCTCACATTCCTGAGCAATGACGAGAATAAAGTCGTGGATGACTTGGAAGACTACCTTGTTTCCACTTCTAAGGATGGTCTCATCAAGTTGTGGGATCTCAAGTCTCAGCAGTGTATAGAAACACACGTTGCCCATTCCGGCGAGAGTTGGGCGATGGGTGTGGACCCTACAAAGCAGTTCCTCATAACCTCCGGCATGGAGAACCAGATAAAGGTGTGGAGAATAGATTTGGAACAGAAGACAAGAAAATTGATAGAACTGGGATTTTACGAAAAACAGAGCAAGGCAAGAGGATCGGAAATCTCCTTCTGCACCGTCTCTTCCAATGCATTCTTCTTCGTGCAGAATGCAGACCGTACAGTCGAAGTCTTCAGATTGAGAACCCCCGATGAGATAGCAAAGGCAAAGACTAAAAGAACAAAGAGACTCAAAGAAAAAGGAATGGATGACGACGAAATCGCAGAGTCACTTTCCGGTGGGTTGATCAACATGTTGATCTGCCCTTTCACAATAATCAGAGCCCCATCCAAACTGAGATCATGCACATGGACAGTCACCAACAAAAATAAGCTCGATATTCTGTTGGCTCTGAACAACAACTCTTTGGAGTACCACACTATCTCCATGCCGGAATCCATAAGGAAACATAATGTGCAGACGCCTATATCTTCCAAGAAGTACATGATAACGTTAGCTGGCCACAGAAACGATATCAGGTCTGTGGATATTAGTGATGACAACAAATTGATAGCCACATCGTCCAATGGTCAGCTCAAGATTTGGAATACGAAAACTACTAATTGCATAAGGTCATTTGACTGTGGTTACTCGCTGGTATCTAGGTTCTTGCCTGGTGGAGCTTTGGTGATCTTGGGAACGAAAGAGGGCGAATTGGAACTTTACGATCTGGCATCTTCCACTCTCCTCCATTCCGAATCAGAAGCTCACGCTGGTGCTATTTGGTCGATAGAAATCTCTGCTGATGGTAAGTCGTTCATAACCGGTTCTGCAGACAAAAATGTCAAGTTCTGGGACATCAAGGTGGACCAAGAGGCCCATGTCAGCTTTGAGCACAAGCGTACTTTGGAGCTGAATGAAGACGTTCTTTGTGTTCGTCTTACTCCTGATAACAAGCTTCTTGCTGTTTCTCTTCTTGACAACACTGTGAAGGTATTTTTCCAAGACACCCTCAAGTTCTTCCTCAGTCTGTACGGCCATAAACTGCCCGTGCTTTCAATCGACATCTCTTTCGACTCCAAACTTATTATCACGTCCTCTGCTGATAAAAATATCAGAATTTGGGGTCTGGACTTTGGTGATTGTCACAAGTCTATTTTCGGACACCAGGACTCGATAATGTGTGTGAGGTTCCTGCCCGAGTCCAAGAACTTCTTTAGTTGCAGCAAAGACGGAATGGTCAAGTACTGGGACGGTATCAAGTTCGAGTGTATTCAGAAGCTCGCAGCTCATCACTCTGAAGTGTGGTCGCTTGCAGTGAGTTCTGACGGTGACTTTATGTGCTCTGTTTCTCACGATAAGAGCATCAGAGTTTGGTACCAGTCGGACGACGAGGTGTTCATCGAGGAAGAGAAGGAGAAGGAAATGGACGAGCTGTACGAGGATAAGTTGCTGCAATCGTTGGAAGGCGATGAGCCAGTTAAAAAGAACGATGATGAAGAAGTTGAGGACGAAGTCACGAGAGCTTCAAGACAGACCATGGAGACCCTGAAGGCTGGTGAAAAGTTGATGGAGGCTCTGGACCTGGGCTCGAAAGAGTACGACGAATTTGAGCAGTACGAACGCGAGTTGAAAGCATTTAAGCTTGGAAAGATCAAGACGATGCCTGACACCCCAACCAGAAACCCAATTCTGGCTGCTTTGAACCAGAAGCCAGAGGTGTACATTCTTGATGTTTTACTCAAGATTAGACCTGCTCAGTTGGATGACTCTCTGGTGGTGTTGCCATTTTCATACACGCTAAAGCTGCTAAAGTTTATCCAGGTATGGACCAATGATGATAATATCAATAGGAACATCACGAGCCTTAGTTCCATCTGCCGTGTGCTCTTCTTTATCGTTCGCTCCAACGCCATGGAGTTGATCAACCAGAAGGATGAGGACCTGAAGAGACAAATTCTTTCTCTGAAAGAGCAGCTCAGAAAACAACTCTCCAAGTCAACCAACGAGATTGGCTTCAACGTCGCAGGACTCAAGTATATGAAGACTCAGTGGAATTTGAACCATAGTGTTCAGTTTGTGGACGAGTTCAAACAGGCCCAAGTCGACGAAGACAAGTCCAGAAAGAGAGTCTATACTACACTTACATAGGATAAGATAAGATAGAATGACCAAAAATGCGTTGTTGCTGTATATAAATAATTGCGATACAAAAGAAAGGTACTTAAGCCCATTTCCCCAAAAGTGCCATGACACCTGCGCCAGTGCACATCACGAAATAGGCCTTGACCATCTTAGAAAGGCCACCCTTGCCCTTGAACTCGTCTGAAAATAAGAACTCATGCGCCATGAGCTCTATGAGACCCGTATAGGTCAGAATACCTGCGGAAACCGAGTCGAAAACACCATTGACAATGAGAGCCGTCCGCGAGTGGGTAGGGTACGAGGTTCTTACCCCAAGGCCAATGGCAACGGCGATAGGTGTAGTCAGACCATATCCCAGTGCCAGTATCCATGGTGTCCATCTTCTTGCCTTTGGCCAGTCCACAAGAGCTATCCGGGTTCCAAGACCAAGGCCCTCGAAGGCCTGGTGAAAAACAACCACGATGTATAGAGTGACGAACTCATCACCTGAACATGACAGTGTGAGGCCGATGAAAATAGAATGGAAAACAATACCAAATTCCAGCACAAAAACGTTCAATAGCTGACCATAGTAGGTCTCAAGACCAGGGTCTGCCGCGGGGGTTCCCAACACCTCTGGGTCCTGGTGGTGAGCCGCATGGGCAAAGTGCGCTGGGTAGGGATTGGTAGAGGAGGCATCGGCGTGACTGTGTGCATGCATGTCTGTGTGCTCCTCTTGAGCGGACTCCTCGAACTTCTTGAGGTCTGTCTCCTCCGAGTTTTTGATGTAGAGGTCCTGGTCGCCAAAATGGGAGTGAACATTCTCAACCATTGGAAGCACTCCGATGGCTTTGGCAACTTTTTCCTCGACCCAGCGATATGCAATCAATTCAGCAAAGAACATTAGAAACAGTGTAATGAGACATATGGCAAAAGCCATGGGGTATTCCTGGAACACCCCTCCGAGACACTCGGTAGACAAGGATTCGTTGGCCGGTTGTAACAAATGTATAAAGGCAGTGGCCACGATGACTCCTGAACCAAAGTATTTTGCTATGAAAAAGCACCACGATGGCACCCGTATGGTGGAGTATTTGGAGGAAAGAAGCGGAAAGAAAGCTGAGAGCGAGGATGTAGCCAGGATAACGAAGACCGCGGATATCCTGGCTCCCATGTGGTCCCCATTGAAGTCATTTCCAGTGCCACAGGAATCTCTGGTGGCTAGATTCACGAGATCCATGTTTTGTTATGTCAGTTGTACGTGATGATGGTGCAAGGTGTGGAAATGTGATGAGATGTGAGAGGCTGCTTGCACCGCTGCCGTCAAAATAAGATAACCCAGAAGATGAACCCAACGATGGAAAAAAACGAGCGGAAAAGCGACCGATATAAATGCACGCTCTAAGGAGGCGTAAAAATGCAAAAGAAAGAGAGAACAGTAACCACTATTTCGGAAAACAGGGGGCAAAAAGGGGGAAACAAGGTGGCCTCAAGCATTCAAACGGCAAAAAAAACTGAAGTGGTTATCCTTTCCTCGGGCTATAACCACCAGGGTGCATGCCCTTCCCCAAGTTTTTTTTGTTAGTCGTGCACCAAACATAATGCCAAAATAACCGTGCAGCGTTCCGTCATAACCAGCCGGGTAGTCGTTCCAAAAAACCCGTCTTGAAGTTCCACACTACTCGGTCCATCTCCCTCCTACCACTGTCCAGATCGAGTTTCTCGATAGATTGGGTCTTTCCACCTTTCACAATTTTGAATCCAATCCAACATAGTAAAAATATAACAATCCCTCCATAGGAAGTGCAAAATACAAGAGTGCTCCAAAATCCATCCAGGAACACGACGAAACCCATGAGAAGGATAAGTACCGTGCAACCAAACAGTCCGTAGTAGGCAAGATAAGGCTGCAGTGGAGATCTGTAAGGGTATGCTGGGTCGTCTCTTGAGATGATGTCATTTCTCAGTTTCAACCCCTGTTGGAATCTGATGAAAGAAGCACATACACCTGCGTAGGCCAACAACCCTGCCGTAGAGACGATATTGACAAGATTTTGGAACACGGTAGCCGAATTTTCGTTGACACCCATATAAGACAAAGCACCGAAAGCACCGGTAAAAATGACGGCGGCATAGGGAGTGCCGTACTGGTTACACCGAGTAAAGATCTTGGGGGCTTTTCCTTGGATGGCAAGGGCATATAGAGTTCTAGATCCAATGTAGAGCTGAGAGCCACCAGATGAAACCACAAAGTAGACAATGAATCCATTAATAGCACCTGCAAGAGAGCAAGCACCTGCGGATTGGACCGCCACAACCCAGGGACTTTGGTTTCCGTTCGAAAATCCACCCCAACTTAGACGTGAATCATTACAGACAGCACCACGATCTAAAGCATTCAAAATTTGCAATTGGTTTTTCGATATTCCGTCTTCCAATGCACTGGTTCCGGACCAATAGCGCAGCAATCGTGGGTCTCCGCTGTAGACGTTCACGCCGAGTAGGACCACTGTCACCAGATACAGAATAGTTATTTTCCAGAAGACTGCTCTGGTCGACTTGGGAAGGTTCTTTCTTGGGTTCATAACCTCTCCTGCTGCAACACAGGGAGCTTCAGTTCCCATGAACGCATAGACGGAGATGAGAACGGCAACAACAACCGAGAGGAACCTTCCTGTAGCGCCTCCGATTCCACCCAGAGCCCCTGTTCCGTCATCTGAAAGATCAAACGTGGGTCTGAACAGACCAAAAGTAATCCCAATCTCGGAGTAAGAAGCCGAAGGTGTCCAATACCTAAATCCCAGGGTCTCATTACCAAATCCGCCTCTGTTGACAACGATGAAGATGATGAACATAGTCAGAATGAAGAGATTTTTTATGAGGTTTCCCCAGAACTCGTACTCGCCATAAACGCGCACATCTAAAAGATTTATGCCCAGACACAGAACAAGAAGCAGCGTGATCCAACCGGCCGTTGATTCATCCGGAATCTTCAACCACGGATAGTAGCTGAGAAGGATAGAACCAGCAATGATCTCTGCTGGGACACACAGGGCAAATGAAATATAATAACACACACCAATAGAAAATCCCCAAATATCTCCAATGTACCTCGAACAAATACCAGAGATTCCGTCTGCAACGGGGATCAAAGTGACCATTTCAGAGAATGACAACATGGTTGCTATCACTATGGAGCCTGATATGGCGAACCCAAGAAGACACCCCAGTGGACCGGCTATAGACAACGCCTTTCCACTATTCAAAAAAGCACCGATAGCATACGTGGCTCCAAGTGCAATCGAGTTCACATGTCTGGGGCTGAGTTTCCTTTGGAGTGTGTTTTGAGTAGATGTTTCATGAGGATGTGGTGGTCGCAACTCATCCAAAAAGTTTGTTTGAGACGAATGCGGAATAGTAAAAGCCGCCGAAGATTCATCCTTAACCAAATTTGGCCTGCGTCTTTTGAAATGAGAGAACCAACTGAAATGCGACCTCTGTGGCTGCTGGTCCCCATTAGTGGTGATCAGATGCGGCGAGACGTAGTCTTCCAAAGCGTTTAAGTCACCCAGATGGTATGTGATATTTGTGGGCTCTTGAGAATCTAAGATTCGCCTGCTTTTGGCTCTTAGAGTATTTTCCAGTTTGGTTTCCTCATCGTAGAGTTCAAAGTCCGTAGAGGCCTTCTGTGCATCAACGGACCGTCCGTATAGTTTGGTGAAGAAGTAGCGATCTTTGGGGTGTTCCAGTTCCTCCAACAAAACATCACGGTTCGCAAATTCTCTAATAAAGTGTCCCATATACTGCGTTGTTATTGAAATTTCCTCTGAAAACTTTTCTGAATCAGAGACAGAGTCTATTTCTGTGAGGGAGCCGTTACCGTTGGAAACGTCTGATGGGTTGAGGTGGCGGTATCTTGCGATAGGCGGAAATAGGTCGCCGCCATTATCTGTATCCGGTATACTGGACATATTCAAGCCATTTCCTAAACCTTCAACCGTGGGCTAAATCAAAGTACCTTGTTAAATCAAGGTAGTCTCCGCATTACTGCATTCTGCAAATACGATATGTTTAGGGGGCGTGTGAAGGCTAAAGGGTATTCAAAAAAAAAACTTCGATTTCTTAATATGAATTACCGAAAAAAAGAGTTCTATTACTAGCTGAGTAAAACACAACTGGTTATAATTACCTAAAAAAACCAAATTCAACGCTTTTAGACAAGACCCGCGACATCGCCGGTGATAACTAAAAACCCAGAGTTGGATTTAAAAGGGAGAACTGCGTCAGAAGCCAAAAGTGTAAGGGCAACGACACAAAGCGGAAGAACTGGGACACTTGAGCAAGCCCAAGCGTGAAACCCAATCCAACCATGAATTCAAGTCCAAAAAGTAAAGTAACAAATTTAATAAATGCCACGGATGATACCGTGGCGTTTCAGTTGTTACACTGAAAAGAACAGATACTACACTTGATCTAAGCCAAAAGGCAAAGAGATCTGGTTTCAAAAGAGAAAATGTAGAAAGGAAAGGCGGCAGTCGGTCCTTTTATACCTAGAGGCCTTCGTCCGGGTAACCGTCAGCATGGCACTGCCCGTTGTAGACCCGGATGTAGAATGGCAGAGTTTCGCAGGACACCCTGGAGAGTGTTGGATGGAGATGTCATCATTCCACGTCTTGGATACATCCAACCAGACCAACGTCCTTTAATCAGATCCGATCATCTTCATAATTGTGTGTCAATGATGATACCCAATCTGTCACCTGAGCAGTTAGAAAGGGACCAACAGCTTGGGCTGTTGGCCATCCGCAACTTCCTAGAGAGCAAGACGTCTTTTGACGTGTTGCCCGTTTCATACAGGTTGATCGTTTTTGACACCTCGCTACTTGTGAAGAAGTCGCTGAATATTCTTCTCCAGAACTCGATTGTCTCGGCTCCATTGTGGAATAGCAAAACCTCGAGATTCGCAGGATTGCTTACCTCGTCGGATTTCATCAATGTGATACAGTACTATTTCCAGTTTCCCGACAAGTTCGAGCTTGTTGAGAAGTTGACACTGAATGGATTGCGTGATGTAGAGAAGGCAATTGGGGCCGAGCCGATTGAGACTGTGGCAATCAACCCACTAAGACCCTTGTATGAAGCATGTGTCAAAATGATTGAGTCAAGAGCACGGAGAATTCCGCTCATTGATGAGGACGAAAACACCCACAGAGAGATTGTTGTGTCGGTTTTGACTCAGTACAGAATCCTCAAATTTGTGGCGTTGAATTGCAAGGAGGTGAGGATGTTGAACAAACCATTGAGGAGCCTGAACATGGGTACCACTGAGATCTCTAAGGTCACACTGGACACACCGGTGATCGACGTGATCCATCTTCTGACGCTCAAGTCTGTCTCTTCTGTGCCAATCATGGACGAGAATGACAAGCTGATCAACGTATACGAAGCAGTGGATGTGCTGGCACTCATCAAGGGTGGCATGTACACGGACCTGTCTCTATCCGTGGGCGAGGCCCTCATGAGAAGGCCCGAGGACTTCGAGGGTGTCTACACGTGCACTTTGGATGACAGACTCAGCACGATCATAGACACGATTAGAAAGTCAAGGTTGCACAGACTGTTTGTGGTGGACAGTGAGGGCAAGTTGTTGAGCGTGATAACACTCAGTGATATCCTGAAGTACATATTATTCGGATAATGTAACAAATATAATGAACATGATAACTTTGAAGCATAAACTGAAGGGTAAAATAATCAGACTATCAAAATGAATTTTTCGTGCCTAGCACGAGGCGCTAAAGCAAGCAAGGCCCACACCCCAGACCCTTATCTACGGGCCTATGATAAGAAGGTGTGGCGATGAGGGATTGATGACAAAAAGCTGGGAGAAAAGATTTTGGGCCAAGTTTCCAGTCTTCCGCGTTTGATCACCAACGTTGGAGAAATTGAAAGACTTTTCAACAGCAACTACAACTGGACCTTGGAGTGTTTTTTTGCCGTTTTATTTATTCCAACTCGTTTGCAGTAGCATTGGCTAGCATCGAGAAGAGGGCAGAGCATATTTTTCAGCCCAGACAACAGCTGGAGCACGAAGTTAATCCACCATAGTTGGACCCTTTCTTCTCACATATTCACATCAGAAATATATAAATCTTGATGACGATCACAAGGCTTGACCGTGAAACGCTCACGAGGACAGAAAAGGCGGAATTGCCGCAAGTGACTCTGCGATCCACAATAGCAGGCCTCATCATCGGCTCGGTGGTACTGATATCCAACTTCCAGTTCGGTATGCAAACAGGCTGGGTCTCTATGATGTCGCTGCCTTCTGCTTTGCTGGGGTTTGCTGTCTTCAAATCCTTGCAATCAAAACTTTCCTATAAGTTCACGGACGTGGAGAATGTGTACGTTCAAAGTGTTGCCGTTGCTACAGGCACGGGACCACTGGCCTATGGGTTCGTCGGGATCTTACCCGCGCTTGAAAAATTCATGACAACCGAGGAAAGTGGAATTTTGGGTGGTCTGGATATGAGCCAATTCTGGAAACTAATAGTTTGGGGGCTGGGCCTGGCATTTTTTGGTGTGTACTTTGCCATACCTCTCAGGAAGCAGGTCATAGTGAAGGAGAAACTGCCTTTTCCCAGTGGGTCCGCCACAGCCACTTTGATCTCAGTGTTTCACAACACTGATCTCTTTGAAGATGCTGAAGAAGTAGTTCTTGCGGAAGAAGATCCTAACAGGACTTTGGGCAGTTCGGGCTCTAACACTGATTCTACCGAGACACCTGACGATGTCACGGTAGTAGAGTCGCAGACTCTGTGCGATATTGATCGGCATGAGCACTACAGATCAAACATGAAAAATCTATTAACAGCATTCAGCATATCGTCAACCTACACGGTCTTCGTCTACTTCATACCGGCCCTGAGAATGCTTCCTGTGTTCGGCTCCTACCTTTCTAAGAACTACCTGTGGGACTTCCAACCTTCTCCAGCATACATAGGCCAAGGTATGATTATGGGAATATACACCACATCATACATGTTGTTTGGAGCTGTGTTAGGTTGGGGCATTCTGTCCCCCGCAGTGAAATATCTGGGATGGGCACCGGGCTCTACTGATGATTGGAAGACTGGTTCGCAGGGTTGGATTCTGTGGATCTCTCTGGCAGTAATGATCTCTGATTCCATAATTTCCTTTCTGGTGGTTACCACCAGATCTATTATTTCACTGGTAAAGAGGAATGACGAAGAGCTAAAACCTGAGCAGGAGTTTCGTCACGAACAGACACTGCTGGTCCCAGACCAACAGAACTCATCAGATGAAGAACCAGCAAATGCAACGTTCCATGGCGAACTTGGAGCTGGATCTGTTACAAAAAAACCATCGAAAGTCCAATTTGGGGATCTTGATCCCAGACATCTGGTCTCCAATAACTCTGCCATTTTGGGAATGATAGGCTCCTCTGTGCTCTGTGTTGTTGCCATGAAAATGGTCTTTGGCGCAATCCTACCGGTGTATGCTATTTTCTCTGCCATCATCCTTGCGCTCTTTTTTTCCATCCTTGGGGTGAGAGCCTTGGGCGAGACCGATCTGAATCCTGTCAGTGGTATCGGCAAATTATCCCAGCTTTTGTTTGCAGTGATCATACCGAGAGATCATCCAGGATCTGTGTTGATCAACCTGGTTGCTGGAGGTATTGCTGAGGCTGGAGCTCAACAGGCTGGTGATTTGATGCAAGACCTCAAAACTGGTCATCTTTTGGGAGCCAGTCCAAAAGCACAATTTGTTGCCCAAATGGTAGGGACAACGTACTCGGTGGTTCTTTCTGCGGTTATGTATAGAGTGTACAACTCCCTGTACGAAATCCCGGGGAAAGTGTTCCGAGTGCCGACTGCGGTGATCTGGATAGACTGTGCCAGACTGGTCACTGGAAAAGGACTACCTCCTCACGCTTTGCAATTTGCCGTGTTCTTTGGGGTGGTATTTGCCATAATATCACTTCTCAAGAACCTCGTGCCCGATACTAACAAGTACCACCGCTATCTCAAGTTTTTGCCCAGTGGAGTGGCTGTTGGAATAGGTATCTACAACACGCCTTCCTTCACACTAGCTAGATTCATTGGCGGATTCGTCTCCTATTTCTGGGAAAAAAGGAGCGGCGGATCGCACAGTGCGAAGGTCCAAATGATCATCTTCAGTTCTGGCTTGGTCCTTGGAGAGGGTCTTTTCAGTGTGTTGAACATGCTGTTTACTAGTCTGGGAGTTCCCCACTTGTGAACGTACCCACAAGATTAGTACTGGTTTTTCCAACCTGAATTAATAGAATAAAAACCAATGTTCTGGTTCTTCTACCTCATAAAAAACAATTGTCTTGTTAAGCACGGCCCTCTTATCGATCAGATAACCAGAATCTTGTCGTGCACAAACCAATCCAGATCTGGAGATTCGTCGACGGCACTTTTGAATGAGGTGGTATTGTCTATACAACCACTCTTCTCGTCGCATTGTCCTAATACATATCACGTACAAAATGGCTGAAGGAATTGAAGGAATCACTGAGGTGCCAGTGGAGTTTGTCAAAAGCGGTGTGCAGTTTGTTGCAAAATGCACCAAGCCATCCCAGAAAGAGTACTGGAAGATTGTTAGAGCCGTTGGTGTTGGTTTCTTGATGATGGGTTTGGTGGGCTACGCCATCAAGCTGATCCATATCCCAATCAGATATCTGATTGTTTAAGTCGATGGATGCTCTTAACGAAGTTCCCCCAAGGTTGTCAAGGTATACGAGTTGGGCGGTTCTGCCTAGACAGTGCTGGCCACTTTGCGATAGCGATTAGTACATTTAATAACGAGGTTCAGGAAAACGCTTTAATTGGGCAACTCTGACTCATGAAATAAAAGCACATTATTGGTTATTTTCTAGGTTTTAGTAGAATACTTTTATTCGCCCTATATCTTCAGCCTTTTTGAGTGGAAGGCTCATATTTTCAACGGCTGAGGCTCACGTTAACTTTCTCCCCTAGTTGTACCCCAGATCGATCCCATTTCCCCGTCTAATGAGTTTTGCCTCTCTCCTGTCGCAGATAAAAAAGGAAAAACAGGCCCAAGTGTCTGATGGCCAGCAGAAAGCTGTTGGATCGGGGAGGGCTAGGACGGTTGTTAGGGGTTCGTCCAATGCCCAGGGACAGACCAAGCGAGCCACTTCAATGTCGAGCCCGCCGCTGAACAAGACACATAGCCTCACAACACCTGGTGTAGATCCGGCAGTTGAGCGGCTGAAGAATGCGAGAAGGCGTGAGAAAGAAGAAAAAGAACGGAAGCTAATGGAGAGCAGAATGGCGGGTAAGGCAGGCGTTACTAGGAACATTCAGTCCAGAAGTATCCCACCAAAGAAACCAGTCGGTGCAGCGTACGAAAGAAAGACCGTTGTCCAGCCGAATATTCCAATAAGGAAGGAAAAGCCCCCAATCAAAAAACTAAAATTCAACGAACTCATGAAGAAAGCGAGCAAGGTGGACTCACAGAAACTGGCCATGGCCACACCATTCAAAAGTGTGAGTCCAGATCCTCACGACAAGAAGAAAGAGAGGACCTCAACTGGATTCGTGAACTCACCACCAATATCTCCATTGAAATCTGCAATGAAGCCTGCATCAAGACCTCCATCCAAGACCGCCATAAAACCAATTCCCAAACCAGTTGTTCAAGATCAGAAATTACAGGGACCGGCTCCCTTTGCGAGGCCGTCTGAGCAACTCTCCAAGAAGCTCCAACAAAAGAAGAAATCGTCACTCCATCCAAGCGTTCCTCTGAAAAACAGCAGATATGATGATGAAGATGAAGATGAAGATGACGACGAATTCGTGGTGTACGACGAAGAGGAGACCTACAAAGAGGCTGGTGGTTACGACAGAGACGAGATCTGGAGCATCTTCAACAGGGGACGCAAGAGAGATTACCAGGACTACGATGACGACTCTGACGATATGGAAGCCACAGGGGCGGAAGTTTTGGACGAAGAAGAGCGCACCACCAGAGCTGGTAGGATCGAAGATGAGAAGGAAAGAAGATTGTTAGAACAGCACGAAGCAGAGAAAAGAAGACGGCTACAGAAGCGTTGAAATTACATTATTATCATGAGAGAAAGACCAAACTGGGCGTGAATCTTCTTTCAATCACTATATTCAAATTCATATCCATCATCGGAAAAAGGTTCTTCATGACCTGCATCCTCTTCAACATCATGCTCATTTTCACTGCCGGAACTAATCATATCATGTGAGACCGGCCCACCAGATGAATCTGAGATTTCAATAGGCGAATTTTTGGAACGACCGTGGGACAAATAGTGCTTTTTCGGAGGTACGCGGGAATCTGACTCTCCATCGCTGATGAACGTGTAGTTTCTGGGATCATCGATAATGTTGACTTCTCGATTCACAGAGACACTTTCGGAGACATCATCATAATCACTTGATGATGAAGATAACGAACGGTTGTAACTGAATGAACAAGGTTTAGTCGAAGCTGGTGGCTCCTCTTTGGCAGGAGCCACTTCATCTACTGAGAAACCTCCACCGATGTCGTCTGACCGATCTGGTGACTTTCCATCATCGACCTCAAATTCACTCAAGTCTGGTTTTTCTTCTTGCAGTTCCTCATTTTCCATGAATCCACCGACTTCTTGCCCGGACTCATCGCCATCATCTCCACCGAAGAACCCGCCATTTGTTTCAGCAAAATCCCCGTAGATATCTTCACCTTGATCATCTCTGTATGGTGCTTCATCTTCCTCAACAGAATCTTCATAGCCAGCTGGTCGTTTGCGCGACTCTGGAACAAAACCACCACCGAAAACACCGAGTTCGTTATCACTTTCGCTATCATGCTTGTGCTCTTCTCGTTCTTTGTCTTCCAAACTCCCGTGCTCCTCGTTAAGCCTATCCATAATGCGAAGTCTTGTGAGAAACACCTTCCAGCCTCTCAACGCAAGCTGCTCAGCACGCTGCCTCTTGGCTAGCTCTTCTTCATATTCCAATTGCTCAACGGTAAGGTTTACAGCTTCCGCATACTCTTTGGCCACCACAATACCTTGAGTCTTCGCAACACCACCTTTTCCTCCGGTGAAATCAAAGCCTATAACGGCTGCTGCAAAGTCAACTCCAATAATTTTAGCAGCTTTCATGGCATGTTTGGAGCCCACGTATACTCCACCCTCCGGCAACATCGAAGACGTATACAGATCAATGTTTCCATATGCGTTTTTGGGAACTTGGCAATCAACCACGGGAGGAGGAACATACAACTCTGTTTGATCCTCAGAATATAGCCTCAAATCTGTGTCTTCTTCGTCTTCTTCGGAAAGCACAAAATTGTCCTCATTTCTGTTGCTTTTTTTCTTTGGAGGAGCCTCCCTGATTACCAGGGGTCGTTGCCCTGTCTTCAGCATTCTTCCTCTCATGTACCAAGCTTTGGCAGATCTAACAATTTTCAAGTTCGATCTTCTATAAACAGGAACAGCTTTATTCGTACCTTTCTTCCTGAGCGTTCCGCAACTGATCTTTGGTTGAAGAACCTCGTTCGCTCTGAGATGCTCTTCAAGAACATATATTGGGTGGTTTCTGAAATCCTGAACATTATTAGGCATGCCTTCATGGGCAGACCTCTTGGAAAACTCCTCGTCCTCAAGATTGTCCAAAGAATCTTTGAATCTTCTTGTAGAAGAGCAAACGGAAAGTAGTACTTTCTTCCACCAAGAATTTCCTTGTGGCGTTCTTGTGATTCGTTTCTTTCTCGTCTTCGCATTAAATGAAACTGTGTACCGCCTAGTGATATCGCGAACACCACCTTTGCCGTCATAACCTACAACGTAAAATGCATTATTGCGACTGTCCGATAACGGTGGCTCAAACTTTGTAGGCCCACTTATCACTTCTATGGTTCTCAGAACAACAGGGTCTAATGAGACCCACTTCTTGGAATGCTGATTCCATACCTCTGACCAGAATACTGGATAATCGCTTAGATCTCTGTTCTCCGATGTATGATTTGAAAGTGCCGTTATTGGCTTACCCGTTCGGAGCGATTCAAGCAGCCTTTCGGCAGAAGTCAGTGGCTTCCGTTTGACTGGTTTAGCAGTGGATGCTGCCACATCTGAGGTGGACTCTGACTTTGCACGTTTAGACTCGATTGTCTCAATGGCAGAAGTTATTGTGAAATCAGGCGGCTGTAGGGAAAACACGAGTCTAGCCTGAAATCCTAGCGATCTCAGCAGCGCAACGAAGCCTTGAGCAGAGACATCTCTGGAACCGCGATGTGTTTTGAGCAACTGCTTGTTGAACTTTTTGAAAGAGACCCTATCGCATTTTCCTGGAGTAGATATTTCACTCCACAGTCTCTTTTTGAGATGAGACTTCTGTATGATTTTGAATGTTCGTCTCCAGTGTTCCATCAAGTGCCTGAGAATATCTAGAAACCTTCGCGTCTTCAACTGCACTTCTAGTGGCCTGTTTGGGTTTGGAGGAGCAGGCCTTCTGTAGTCTTCGATCTCTTGCATGATACTAAGAGACAATCCTTTCCTGAGTCCACGCTGGATGTTTGGGCTGTTGCACCATTTATTTCTGATGGACCCATGAACAGTCATGCACACCAGATACGCAGTATGAATAAATATTCTGATATTCCTTTCTTCGGTTGAAATCGTGGTCTTTGCGCTCTTTTTGCGCTTTTGTACAGTCTCTTCCGATTCCCTAGGGTTGAGCTTGACTGTTAGCTCGTTGCTATCAGTCTCTTCAGAAAAGTCATAAGGGTGCGATTTTGACTTCTCTTCCACACGGGATGAATCTCCAAAACCTTCCAGATCAATATCCTCAAAATCATCATCATCAAAGTCGTCCTCAGGCTCCGAAGTCTCTCCACTGACTAGCTCCACTGATGGACCACTCGGCACAGTCGGATCCTCCCGCCCGATTTCACGAAACATCACGTTCAATGATTTCTTATCATCAATATACAACACTGGCGATGTCTCCACAACATCAGAGTTGGACTCGTCATTAGAGAACGATGGCGCAGAGTTATCGCCTTCGTAGTGGTCATCAGTGGCACTCTCACTTTTTGTGTGTTTTTTCCTTCTTTTCAAACTGCCTTCACCCGCAGATCGGCTAGAGATCTCATTTTCTCTTATGGCGTCCCGAAGCAAATCTCGATACGCCACTGGAAGCTGCCTCTTCATGGCTTGATCAAAGCTGGGGTAACAAGAACAAGCCAGTTGTATCTTGCGATTGGCAGCTTGAAATCTTCCAGGCCTTATCAAAAGTGCTAATTCACACTATGATACCCACAGGAAAAAAGCCGGGTTATGAAACCAAACAAACCTTGCCGATAACTGATTTGAATACAACAAAAGAGCATTTTTAAGCCATAGATTTGACCTGCGAGCTGAAGAGTAGTCTCAAACTCAATCGTGTGCGCACTAGTTAATTGGAGCTTCCAAATTCTTATCAAGCTCGAGACTGAACAATTTCGCTGAATAAACTATACAGCATAGTCCATGAAATATTCAAATTGGAGGTAGCATGCTAGGTATTGTGGCTTTGATAAGCCAACCTAGAAGGACAGGAGTGGCCCCATTCATACGACGAGCCAGCACCGTGCCGAGAGGTACAGACAAGAGCGTAAGACTTGTTGCAGGTCACAGGAAACTGCCAGTATGGGCTAAAGCATTTGTGCAACGAGATAGGAAAAGTGAAAGAGTCGGAGTACCACGGCAGGTGAAAAGAACTAGAGAAAACATGAGTTATCCACTGACATTGCAGAATGCTTTACTAGAGCTAAGCCAGAGACTGGCAGGGTATAGTCAATGCCATAAAGATTGTGAGTTCCAGTTTGTTCCAGCATCACAAGGCCAAATTGGAAAAGCAGTAGCGAGTCTACTATTTTCTGTTTGTGTGTATTCATTGCGGTTTAGCAAACATCGAGATCTCGAGGTTGCAGATGAAGAAATACCACATCAGATCAAATCGCTCTCTTCTGTGATAGGATTGAAGACGCTGAACAAGCACCAGTTGAATGTGCTTTTGCGGAAATTCTTAAAAATGCGGTCTGTTCTCAAAGATACTGGACTTGACATAAATCCCAACGAGTTTCCTCATTGGTTCAACGCCGTGACTGCGGCTGACCTGGGTGATGCTCTACAAGCCCTTCGAAAGTGTCAATCGAAGGTGCCAGATTTCATCACCCATGATGTATTGTTACGAGCTCCAGATTGCCAGGATTTTCCCAGGTGGTTGGTTGAGTTCAAACGGAACTCCAAAAGAGTAGTTTCCACTGATCAGAATATGCTGCAACAATATACTGTTCCTCCAATCCTGCACAGTCTCATCCAAAATTGCATGCAATATGATATACCACAACTGATCCCTTCTCTAAGAAAATACCTCAAAGAAGTTACTGTCAAGGATTTGAATGCAGACTCAACGAGTTTAGTCATATCCCAAATGAACGAGGTGATATGGTACATCTCCTCTTTGCAAAAGTTGACCTCAAGAGACCCAAACTACCATGCTACAATCCAGAAGGCTCAAGCTCTTGTGGCCAAGTTTGCAATTGAGTTTAGCGATGGTGCAAATGCTAAGGATATATTGGATGTGAATGGTCTTTTGGGATTGGCTTATAGCATGTCTCTAACAAATAGTACAGAGACGAGGTCTCTGATCTCAATGGCCAAGGACAACTTTGATTTGTGGAAACTGGAGAGTTTTAGCTTGCCAGAATTCGAACATGTGAATAAAAAGCGTGTTATCCATCATCAGGGCCTGGACTGGCAGACTCGCTTACTCATAGAGATACGGTTCATCCTGGTGGAGCTCGTATGCTGCAATACACCCGAAGAGCTCAAGAAGGTGTTGGAAAAAGCTATTCCGCTCAAACAGAGGATTATTTCAATATTCCCCGATTTTTATGGAAGAGTACTGTCCAAGATGGACCAGCTCGGAATTTTGACGGAGCGTAGAGCTATTCTTGCGTGGGAATCATATTTGGTGCAAAATCCAGCCCAACTCGATCACGAGCTGCTGAAACATGCTTTGTATGCCATTGACAATATCCCAAGAAAAAACACCCTATTGAAACAGACAGTTGCTTTGGGATTCGAAACCAGTCCTGACATTGCCCTTTCTTACATCAAAAAGCTCTACTCTTACGGTCTGCTGCGATCCAGGAGGAACAATGCTGAGCCGGTGCAAGGAGTATTCACCGTACTGAAAGACTTGAAAGATGCTGCTTCTCTGACCCACTTTGAAGTTCCGGGATTTCAATCTGCAGTCGATCTGGCAAGGTACTTGTACGTTCATCTTGAGCAAAAAGACCGGTCTACCATTTCCGTTCACCTCTACTACGAGGCCCTATTGAATCCCGAAACTGCTTTGGAGAGGTACATGGAGTTATCCCACCCAGAGAAGTTTGTATGGTCTCTTTTACTGGCCGTCTACAGGGCTGATGAACTACCCAAATTTCAAGAGAAAGAGATGAAATGGGGAGACAGATACGCCATTGACGTTGCCATTGAAGAATTTCAAAACGTGATCAACTTCATGAGCTCCAGCCACGGTCCAAAGGCGCAATCCACTGTACAAAATAGCCGGACCTGGGTGCTGTATATCAGATTATTGAGCAAGTACAACTCTCAAAGCTGGCTTAACGATATTCTTCAATGGTGGGTTGACACGAGAATTGTTCCCACTCGCTCGCTGTTGGCCTGTCTTCTGGCTCACTTGAATGACTCTACGGAACTGTACAATTTCGTCATGGCCTACCAAAGAAGAGAAGAGAGGTATCATGACGGAACCGTCAGAAGTGAACTAGAGATGAAGCATCTCAAGTCAAAAGACAAATATTTAGCAATTCCCAAGTTTGACAGCACAATGGACAAGTTTGTGGGAAGAATGGAGGCTAATTACTCAGTACTACGCGAATGGGACTGGCCCAACTTGAAGGAAATTGATAACGCCCGGAAGAAGTACATATAGAAAATGAACTAATGACCAATTAAAAAACATGTTGATATATAAACCAAATAAATTTGCATGACTGATATTCATAATGACTCGAAGCCCTTCCGTTCAACGGGTGATTGCTTAGTCTCATTGGAATTGGCAGTGACCAAGTTCCCCGTAATATCTGATGAAATTTTGTCTATAGCACCCGTTTCTGGATCTCCTTCTATGTCCTCTCCCTTTTTGAGGACTCTAAATCGTACATACCAAATTGAATGACTAATGAATATGCCCACCTCCATGACTATGATGACGGCATACAGTACCATTCCCATGACATCAATTGTTCCCACCAAAACACTGCACATGGAGAAAACCGCGCCAGAGCAATCCATTGATAGAAAAAAGAAGTTTATCCCAACCACTCGGCCCTTTCTCTTTGCAAGCTCGAAATAAGGTGGGAGCAACCCAGCAGCCAGCACTATGGAGGCCAAAATTCCAAAAACCAGTGAGGGCCAATGCGTTCCATGACGATAAACAGGTTTCAACCAAAATATGAATCCAAACTCCATTCCCAAAGAAATCAGCAAGAAACTACCCACATATATCATAACCCTCTTCCTGGGGCAACTGCAAGGAGGATAGTACAGACACTGGGCCCACGTAATCGTACACAGCAACGTGAACATTTGCGGCTGCACTTGCATAGGTATGTATGAATTTTTCATGGTGAAGTATATTGAGAACGGGATACCCGAGGCGGCCCATAGAAACATAAAAATCGGAGGCAAACCGGTGGTATCTTTCCTCTTCCAGTTAGTGTAGATTTGCGGCGATAACTGGATGCACCATAGAACAGTGCCTATGGTACCCAAAACATTGGAGACTGTAGCGTTGTTTGTCATCCAGTGGGTTCAGACCAGAGACCAGAAGCTCTCCAGTCTTAAAAATACAAGGAATCGAAAAACAGTTATGGATCTATAAGAAGACAGTGAACTAATGCGCAAAGATTGAACATTTTCCAAGATTCCTTGCAGTTTCCTCATCGGGAAAATGCACCCGGCACGATATTGAGATCGGGACGATAAGAGCGAATGAACCATTTGGAGTGGGCTACGGCAGAAAAATTCCAAAACATGATTCCCTTGGATAATCTGCTGTTACAAATCTACAGTGTATTTCAAAGAAGCAAGATTTTTTCAGCGATATTGAGTGTTTATGTCGGCTGGTAGCAACTGAATTAGAGTCATAATTCGTATTTCTTGATACCATACACTACCGATGCTCATTGAGGGCTATAGGAGTAGTAGTCAGAGCCCCTTTGGTGACTACTCTCAACAATAAGCCTGTTGAATATAGGGTAACTCTTGTTCAATCCGAAAGACTATTGGTTATTCATGTCAGAATTAAAACAGTACGTGCTTTAATCTGTTATCAGGTTCGTTTATGTACTAACCACGTCAGGTTCGTAGCCTCCATCCCCCCGGTGACACGTGTGATCACTCTGGGGTCTCTAGCGACTTCGGGACTCACAGCTCTTGGAATCGTCGACGTTTCACATATAGTGATCGTCTGGACTTTTATTTTGGAGAAATGGCAAATTTGGAGACTTTTCACGGGGTTTCTGGTCCCCCACCCTCAGCCGATGCAGGGAATGATGGAGATATACATGCTGTATTCTTTCAGCAGGGGCCTGGAGGAAAACAAGTTCAAATACCGCTTACCTGATTACATATACTATTTCATGATCGTGATACCGATCATACTTCTGGCAACTTCTTGGATGAAGGTCTACTCGCTGTCTGGAGCTTTGCTTTCTTCTATCACCTTGACATGGTCTTTGGCAAATTACAACTCCCTGGTGAACTTCTACTTTATGAGCATGAAGGCCTCGTTGCTGCCTGCTGTCTCTATTGGATTCAGGCTTATATTGGATGGCAAAAAGTCAGCATTGGTTCACGTTGCGGGCATGTTTGCAGGATACATATACAATTGTCTTGAGACCAAATCGTTCGGTCCATTGGCGGGTATGCTGCTTAGCATGCAAGGTGCAGACACTAATGTGCATCCAAATAGGGTGGGTACACTGAGCTCCGTCAATAGCCAATGGTTCTACGCGACTGGAGATCTGCCCGCTCCGATGTGGCTGAAGTCGCTGGTTACGAGACTCATTGGTGTCAACTACACACAGGCTCCTAGACATGGCTACCATGTGATAAATTCGGGAACTGTGCCTGCTACTAGCCCTGCCTCTGCTGCCTCCTCTTCTGGATTCCTCAAGAACCCATTTGAAAAGCCAGCCTTCAAGGGCAAGGGTCAGAGACTGGGATCGAACTAAAGAGTTCTACTTATAATGAGAAGTCGAATAACGGAACATTTCTTCGTTATATCCCGTTAAAAATTCGTGTAGGATATGTTTTGGTCTCTACTTATTAGTTGCATTGAGTGATGTCACACAAGATGCGGCTCACCGTAGTGTAATCCTCGAAAGAACGACATTCATGATTAGATTTTGTCACGTGATCAATTCTCTTTTGTAATCAGAAGTCCCAAGTGTGATGTTCTTTTTGTAATAATAGAACTGGGCTTAACGGGCGGTAAATTTGCAGATGACGATAGAAATTGAGACAATCTACCAGGATAGAGATGAAACGAAGGCTGACATCATAAAACATGTCGTGGACCAGTTGGGTGAGAAAACCAAGCAAGACCAGTGTGATCAGCCGCTGTGGGTTTTGGGTTACGGTTCGTTAATTTTCAAGCCTCCCCCACACGCAAAGTACCGCATCAAAGGGTATATCCATGGCTTTATAAGGAGGTTCTGGCAAAGTTCCTCGGACCACCGTGGTACGCCTGAGTCCCCAGGCCGCGTGGTGACTCTGGTGACTTTGGAGGATGTGGTGAAAAATTCCAGGTTTCACAGTGATGCCCTGGAATACGAACTCTCATCCAAGAGCATTCACGAAGCCTCCGAAAAAGACCTCAAAATTTGGGGCTGCATATATTACATACCGGCCGAGTTTGCAAGAGAAGTGGGAGATTATTTGGATGTGCGCGAACAGGACGGATATTCCATACATACTGTGAACTTCAACATGGTGCTGAGCGAAGACCAGTCTGGCGATGTCGAATTGTTAGATGCAATAGCACATCTGGACAAAAATGCCATTGGTCATCCAATGATCAACTCTATGGTGTATATTGGAACAGTTAGCAACGAATCTTTTGTCGGACCTGAAGATTTACAGGAAACTGCCAGTATTATAGCCTCTAGTGTGGGGCCAAGTGGACCCAATATTGAGTATCTGCTGGAATTGGAGGCTTCTCTGGACGATTTCAAGCAACAGGACCGGTATATCAAAGAACTTTCCCAGAGAGTACGTGCAATCTTAGATTCAGAACCAAGAGTCTGAATCTTCCCAATCGTCTAATATGGCTCAGTTATACTTGGCAATCCGCTGTTGCTCTTGGCATAATAAGCCAAGGAAGAAGGAAAAAAGAGTTCAAAAACCTATTGGGAGTGGGCTCTCAACCAAAAAGCATGCAAAAACATCGCAAAAACGTTTTTAATCTATGTAAATCTTCGCAAATAAATATCTAGAACAACAGAATAACTCCTTTTACGCTAAAATTTTAACCCCTTAATGAGATCCCGAACAATCAAACCTAAAAACCCTCCGAGGGTAAAGATAAGGAACCCTGATGTAAGATCGGAGTTTGCACGCTCTTATTTGACCCTTAGATTAAAAGGCAGTAACAAAGGCCAAGCAGGCGGGCCCTTGGCTTTTCTTACTGTTTCGTTGACTATTCTTCTCTCTATAGTTTACGCTGAAACAGATTAAAAGGTCAAGTTTTACATGAAGCTTTCTCATTAGCTTTACAATGGCGGTCTGGGAACATTTGAACGTAAGTTGGCATATTTTGGAGGGGATATCACATTTAGTCTAATACGGCATGCTAACAAATGTATTCTTTTAGGTCGACAAAGCACACGTGGCGTATGCTTGTGTTGGTGTTTTTTCAACATGTTTTTCGCTATGCTCCTTGTTTATCAAAGAGAAACTCTACGTTGGTGAGGCCACAGTGGCGTCTATCTTTGGTCTTATTGTTGGCCCCCATTGTTTGAACTGGTTCGCACCAACCACATGGGGGAACTCCGATTACATAACGCTGGAAATCTCCCGAATGGTGTTGATTATCCAGATTTTCGCAGTGGCAGTTGAATTGCCGAAAAAATACATGCTCAAACATTGGGTGTCTGTATTTGTCTTTCTGGTTCCTGTGATGACAGTTGGCTGGCTGATGGTTGGTCTTTTTGTTTGGATTCTCATCCCAGGCCTTAACTTCTCTGAGTCTTTGCTCGTGGCCTCTTGTGTGACCGCTACGGATCCTGTTTTGGCAGCTGCGGTTGTAGGTAAGGGAAAATTTGCAAAGCGTGTCCCAGGTCATCTCAGAAACATTTTGTCAGCCGAGTCGGGATGCAACGATGGAATGGCTTTTCCCTTCATCTATCTGGCGATGAACCTCATAATTCATTCTGGACATGCCGGTGAGATTATCAAGGACTGGATTTGTGTTACCATTCTGTACGAATGTATCCTTGGTTGTGTCATTGGTGCTTTCATTGGTTGGGTTGGGCGGCATGCAATTAGGTTTGCTGAAAGTAAGGATTTGATTGATAGAGAATCTTTTCTGGCATTCTACGTTGTTTTGTCATTTGTGTGTGCTGGTTTCGGTTCCATTCTTGGCGTTGATGACCTTTTGGTGTCCTTTGCCGCTGGAACTGCGTTCGCATGGGACGGCTGGTTTGCACAAAAGACGGAAGAGTCACATGTGTCCACTGTGATTGATCTGCTGCTCAATCTTGCTTATTTTGTTTACTTCGGAGCCATTGTTCCGTGGGAAAAGTACAATGATGGGTCTTTGGGATTGGATGACTGGAGGCTTGTTTTACTCGCCATTGTGGTGATCTTTTTGCGACGCATTCCTGCCGTGTTGGCACTAAAGCCTTTGACACCAGATGTGAAAAACTGGAAAGAAGCTCTTTTCTGTGGCCATTTTGGCCCAATTGGAGTTGGTGCCGTATATGCTGTTATTCTTGCGAAATCCGAACTAGAAGATGACGAAACAGGAAAGAGAGGACCACTTAAAACGCTACCTGGTATCGGTACCAAGTACTACCAACTGCTGGAGGTTCTCTGGCCAATTGTTTCTTTCCTAGTAATCATCTCAATTGTTGTTCATGGCTCCTCTGTTGCCGTGCTGACCCTGGGAAGGCACCTCCAGAGCATGACCTTCACGTTGACGATGACCCACACCGAGGGATCACACCAGGGATGGGTATCACGTCTTCCAAAGCTGGACTCCACTGGCCGTTCGATGTCATTGCACAGGATAGACACTATGGCAACATCTGAGCCAACCCTACAGAATTCAGCAGAAAATGGGCTTGCTGGTCGCTTAAGTTCTGCACCCACCATCGAGACAAGCGGTGTCCCTGCTAGGCCCGCTGGTGGTATGCGCAGAAGACGGAAGAAGAGGGGCTTGAAGCATAGGGGCGAGAAATATGCTGAACATCGTGAAAGGCCTGTCACTGAGAGTTTGGACTTGCGCCAGCTACAGAGAAACAGGGAGAGTGCCATGGACGTACAAGTGCCTCAGATAGAAGTGGAGTCACCCAAATCTGAGACTTTTAATAAGGAGGAATCTGCATCTGCTTCTTCGGAAACTGCACGTCCAAAGATACAATACAATGAGCAAGACGTGGAATATGACGAGGATGGAGATGTCAGAATTCCTACTATGGGATACGATGAAGGCAATGAGCTCGTTATTGAAGATCAACACGGAGAGATAATGAGCGAATTGTCTGAGGACTCTGAAAGGGATGAGAGTAATTCCCAGCCCTCATCGAGCCGTGTTAATGATCTGCGTAAGAGAGAAAGCAGTCCGAGCATTCATTCATTTGCTTCTTTGGAGAAGCATATGACTCGTCTCTCTCGGGCACCTTCACACGAAGAGCCAAAGAAGCGTGAGAAGCTAATGGGAATGAAGAAGCTGGTCTCCGGAAAGACTAAGTCTGGTTCGCAAAACAAAATTGACATGACAAAACCCTCAACATCTACAGGAAAACAGACCAAGTACTTTGGTTACAGGATAGACAACCAAATTATCATCGAAGACGGTGAGGGTGAAATCATCAGAAGGTACCGTATTAATACCCATTCAGGAGGAGATGATTCTCCAATGAAGCCCAGGCCTCGTTCAAACAGCACTGGTGGACTGAGAAATCGTGCTTTGACATTTGTTGGTTTCAGGCCCAAGGCTGAAAAAGATGTTGAGCACGCGGAAGCGACTAACAACATGTTCATACCGGATGCCTCCAATCAAGAAGGCGATGGTATACCAAACGACAAAGAGCTCGAGAAAAAACTCACGGGCTTCTTAACTGTTCCTGAGAGCCGGCAAGTATCCTCGGAAGAGGAGAGTGACAGCTATGAAGGTACCACTGACGATGACGAAGACGAAGACGATGATTCCAGCGAAGAGGGAGGACTGGCTCATCGGGCAGTCGCAGGCGAGAGTGAGTACGAAAGAGCTAGAAGGTTGGCGGCCTTGGATGTCTCTGAGCGACTCGATGATGATGAGGAGGACATACCGAAGAGTAGTAGAAATTGAGACGTATTGGAGAAAAGCGTTATGTTTTCATAATTCAACACTAATTCATCCTTGATGCATTTCCCTTATCTTCTGCATCTGCTGCTGCTGCTGCTGCATCTGCAGACTGCGCTGGCATCGCGGCGTGTCGCACCCAGTCACGTGCTCCATCGCTAACAACTGCGCATAGCGGTCGCAGGCATCGCCAAAGCCTGCTGTTAGCGCATTGTGAGTCTCAGAATGGGCCGGGGAAGAGAAAAGTGTGGGAGTATATAAAGGGCGTTAGTTGTCGTTGTTCTTACTTCCTAGCAACATTTGCTATACATGTCGGTTTTTCCTTAATACACAATGGTTTCCCCACAATTTAACATATCGTCGGCCACCGCTCAGGAATACGAGTCTAAGTACTCCGCACACAACTACCACCCACTGCCAGTGGTATTCCACAAGGCTGAAGGAGCCCATGTGTGGGATCCAGAAGGGAACGAATATCTGGATTTTCTTTCGGCATACTCCGCAGTCAACCAGGGACATTGCCATCCAAAAATCGTCCAGGCACTTGTTGAACAGGCCCAGAACTTGACCCTGTGCTCGCGTGCGTTCTCGTCAGATGTTTTTGGAGTGTTTGCCAAATACATCACCGAGTACTTCAACTACGAAATGGTTCTGCCCATGAACACGGGTGCTGAGGCTGTTGAGACGGGTCTTAAGCTTGCCAGAAGGTGGGGTTATGTCAAGAAGGGAATTCCCGCTAACGAGGCCATCATTCTTTCTGCTAAGGATAACTTCCATGGCCGCACTCTGGGAATCATTTCCATGTCTACGGATCCAGATGCTACCGTCAACTTTGGTCCGTATCTGCACGGTGTTGGGCCTGAAATTCCAGGTGCTCCAAAGGGTTCTTTGCTAAGGTACGGTGTTATCGAAGACGTTGAGCTCGCATTCAAAAATGCCGGTGATAAGATTGCTGCAATTCTGTTGGAGCCCATCCAGGGAGAAGCTGGAATTGTTGTCCCCCCAGCTGGATACTTTGAGAGAGTTTCTGAGCTCTGCAAAGAACATAACGTCTTGCTGATCTGTGACGAGATCCAGACCGGAATCGCGAGAACCGGTAAAATGCTGTGCTACGAACATTATGCTGGAGTGAAGCCTGATATAGTTTTGCTTGGAAAGGCCATATCTGGTGGTGTGATGCCAGTTTCTGCTGTTCTCTCTTCTCGCGAGATCATGCTCACTTTAGAGCCAGGCTCCCACGGATCCACATACGGTGGTAACCCACTGGCATGTCGTGTGGCAATTGCAGCCTTGGAGGTCATTGAGGAAGAAAGGCTGGTGGAAAGAGCCGAGGAATATGGTGCTTTTCTCAAGGCTGAACTTGTGAAACTGCAGGCCGAGTCCAATGGAATCATTTCTGAGGTCAGAGGGAAGGGGCTGTTGAGTGCGATTGTGATCGACCACACCAAGACAAATGGCAGAACTGCCTGGGAACTTTGCTTGCTGATGAAGGATCACGGTGTTCTGGCTAAACCAACACACGATCACATCATTAGATTGGCCCCTCCTTTGGTGATCTCGAAGGAGGATCTGCTGAAGGGTGTCGAAAGTATCCGGTTGGCCCTTAAGGATCTACCAAATGCCCCAAAGGCAGATCATTAGCGTATATTCAAAAGCTTTTTAATTTTATTGTCATCTATGATGTAGGTGTTGTAACTAAAAAAATATTGAATTTGACACATTTGAGCCGCACCACTGTGGCGTGTGTTGGCGAATAGGCATTCCTTATCAATCTTGGGGGAGACCTGTTTCAACGTGAGATCTCAACCATTTAACAAGACACCATATTCACAAGCATTTTTTTTCATCAAAGGATGGTTGAGGATAGCAGACCACGCTTTGAATCTTCGTTTGCAAGTCGAAACAAGATCAGCCAACTTAATGGTAAGTCACCGTTTTGTACTCTCCACTTACCAGCCACCAGTTACTAACTTGTTCGGACTATATAGCCCCAGCTTCATCTCCATCTCCACAGACTGTAACAAACGAGGACGACGGTTCAACTTCAAAAGGTTTGCCTACTTCAATGGGAAACTATTTGCCATCAGATGAACCGCCAAGTGAGCCACATTTTCCGCTATCGGAACATCAGTCAAGATCAGAGTCAGAACAAGAGCTGGAAGAACAGGCTCACGATCCAAGCGAGTTCCTGATACGACAAAACGACCCCATTGACGATAATTTCCATACCCAATCGTCATACGAAATGGGTCCCTCTTTGGAAGAAGGGTATCGCGACAAGTTCTTTTCAGGGATAGACACCTTCGACCGCAGTCGGTTTCAGACGCCGCATCTGCAGCAAGAAGGACCTTGGGCTGATATGTCTATGATCGCCGAGTCCCTTAATATGGGTAATATGTCTGCTAGTTTTGGTGCTAGTATGGGTAGGTCTTCTTCCTCTGGTTCGAAGTCTACACCAACTGCAGTGAGGGACTCATTGGTTGAGTCAATTGCACCCTTAGTGATAACTCCCCCAACAATCCCTTCATTCAACCTTGGCGAGGATCCCTTGCATTTCTTAAAAACTCAGGAGGCATTGCTGCTCAACAATCTTGAAGAACTACTCCTCGAACACAGCCGACTTCTTGCCAGAGGAAGCAACAAGGTCTCCCGTGTGAGGCTGAAGATGTTTGCTATCATCAAAGACATTTCTGAGACACAACAGGCCATGCTGGAGATTTACAACAGGGAAAGGTCCAACAGGATGAAACTATTGTCTACATTTGAAAGATGGGAGGAACGCAAACAGAGGCTTTTGTCTAAGATCAACGGCATCAGGTCTCCAGATAGCGTGGAGGGAGCTAAGTACGGACATCTACTTCAGCAAAGCAATGAGACAAAAAGTGAGATAGCCTCTTTGGAAGAGAGATTGACTGCCTTGAAACAGAAACATCGCGTAATCAACAAAGAGATGTTGGAGACTCAAAGTTTGATGGAAACACGGGCTTCATCGTATGTTCAGTCATTGGAGAACATAGAGTCTCATGAGGAGACCGCCATTCTCCAGCTTTCAAGCTACGTAAGCAATGGGTCAGGCAGTGCGGTTGATGAGAACCAGCTGGCTAGTTCTCTGTCAGGTGTTAATGTTCCATCCAATATCGTCTCCGACCAAGTCACAAAAGCGCGCAGCCCGTCAGTGAACTTGAACTTCTCCTCTCTCTTTGGTCTCATCAAATCCGACAAGTCTGGAGATCAGCCCAGACAGGAATCCGTGGTCACAGAGAAGAATCCCATTGAACCCATGGCTTCACGTATTGATGCCAGGCTGATAGTAGAGTCCTTGGCGAGACAGGTGAGTGCATTGGATGATTTGATTGGCTCCCAATCGAATGCAGGCGAAAAATCAAAGGAAAGTGTTATCATTCTGAGTGATGTGTTTGAGAGTATCAGAGTGATGGAAAAAAGATTGAAAGACTTGTCTCAATTGGCTCTTAGCTCAAGTGAGATCGAAAATGCTCCGGGTCTGGCTACAAAGGCACTCAGAGATACTTTGGCTATTTTGGGTAACAGAATTCAAACCGTACACCGGCTCAATCTGGAGTATGTCGAGATGATCCTGAAGAATGAAATTGATACAGTGGCCAAAGGAGAAAGAATCATCAGTGGTGAGTCTCCTGCAAGCTCAGCTACAGAAACGGAGAGTCCTCAGAAAGGACGGGCTAGTCCTGCCCCAGTTTCACCGGGTTTGGATACTCTCTCAGGTCGCTTTTCGAGATCAGATTCACCAGCGTCTGCAGCCTCCCCTTCTGGCAGTGGGCTGGTGATGGAAAACTTCAAAACTCAGTCTGCTGTTGCGTCTCCAGCTTTGACTCTGACCTCTTTTTCCCAGCCTTCTCCGCCATCTGTTAACGGTCCAGTTCAAGCAGCCGGTAGCTTTGCTGGAAAGAATAGCATCACTGGACTGGGAAAATACTCAACTATAAACAATGCACTGAAAATTGGAAAGGGGGGAAAAAGAGACTGAGATAAGGTGTAACTGAGGTGTTGCTTTGCTCACATGCAAAGCATACCACGATGAGATTAATGATTAATAAGTCTGTTAGAAAGAAATGAGTGGGTTTGGATTTTCATCAGTGTAATGCATGATCGTTTCTGGGATGACTAGTGGTCTCTGTTGTAGTTTGATGTCCAGTTTTTGCCCTTGTAACCTCTTGAATCAGTTCCTGAATTTCCTCTGGTGCCTCTAGTCGATCCTCTAAAAGAGCCTCTGGAAACCCCTCTTGAAGAGCCTCTATCAGAACCTCCCCGGTAAGAGCCTTTGTAGGATTCCATTGAGTTGTTATTTGAATAATCCATGTACGGGTCACTGGGACCACGAATAGGATCTCGATACGAGGAACGTTTGTCTGGGCTGGTGAACGTGTTGTTGTTCCTGTACTTGGCAGCCGCAGGAATTAGTTCCATGTCTGCTGGCAGACCGGGAACCGTTGGCCCTGTTGGGCGATTCTTGGCTTCTGCAGAGTTATAGTTTCGCTTCTTCTTTGGGGGTCCGTCTAGAGACGAGGATTGAGGACTCAAATAGCCCGAGCTTGTTGCCTGTTTGCCAGGATGGCTGTTTCTTGATGAGAGAACACCTGATCGTCTATTCGGAGTGGGATATGTAGAAGGCTTTGTTCGAACAGAAGGAGAAACTTTGGCGCCCAGATTTCCAGAGTGGTGGGGGACGATTGTTTCAGATGGTTGTTGTTTCACTTGGGGTGACAAAACTCCCGAGACTCTGGGACTTAGCCCTCTGGAACTTTTCAATGTCTTGTCGGGGACAGCACTAGCCTTTTTATGTACAGAAATGGGTGGTCTTGGCTTAATGGGCATGTCCTTGTGTTTCTCTTCCACGGGTAAGTCGTCAGTACGAAACTCCTGTTTCTGACGTTCCGTCTCTTCAATGTCTGATTTCTTGTCTGCTGAAACGTCGCTAATGTTGCTCTGTTCATTATCCTTGGTGGTCGGTGTCTCGTCTGTTTCACCACTTGAGCTGACAACTCCTGTTCTTGCTGTGTCTTTTGAATCAGATTGATTATTCCCTACCTTCGGGCTCGACTTGCGAAAGACGGGATGCGGTTTTTTGAGGAATCCAGGGCTTGCCACAATGCAGCAGCTTCTTTCTCTGGCATCGGATATGAGAGCCCTCCAGACCTTGTTTCTGTTCAAAGCTGGAGGGTTACCAATCACCCAGAGGGACGACCTCGCACGTGTCAGTGCCACGTTCATACGGCGAACGTCAGCCAAAAATCCCACGCCTGAGCTCTCGTCAGAACGAACACACGAGATCAAAATGATGTCCTTTTCTTGACCCTGGAAACCGTCCACTGTGTTGAAGTCAACCATCAAACTTATGGTACCGCCAAAATGCTTGAAGAATTGTTTTCTGATATAGCCCACCTGTTCTTTGTAAGGTGAGATAATTCCGATCTTTCCTGTCCAGTCTTCATTAGGGTATGTTTCCAAGAGTTTTTTGACAATCTGGAGCGCAGTCTGAGCTTCCTCGGGATTGAACAAAGATTTTGACAGAGAATTCTGCTCGTGCCTTCCGGTGGCCTCAAAGAACATATAAGGCTGGAAAAAAGGATTCGAATGCCACGGACGGCTGTTGATAGTGGCCATGTCCGGGCCATCAAGCAGTTTCGAGTGATAGAATTCTGCACTTGGGAATGAAGAAATTGCTGGATGCATACGATACTGAACGTCGAGCATGTAGACAGATTTCGGGAATCTTTCCATCATACGAACAAACAGACTCTGTTCATACTTGAACTTGGCAGCAGCCTGAGAAAGAACCGTCGGTGGGAGTTGGTTGGGATCACCCACCATAATGCATCTGGTTGTTCCGTATCTCAATGGAATTATGGCCGAAAGCTCTATGCACTGTGCCGCTTCATCGACAACCACAGTGTCGAACTTGATGGAAAGGCTAGCTAGAACCTCGTGAGCGGAACCTGAGAGTGTGGAACAAATCACCTCAGCCTCGGAAAGAATCTTGTTTTGTATCGATCTCTTTCTGATTATATTGTTCCTATGGGCAACCGATGCTCTCTGTCTTTCCTCATCCAAACGTCTTCCAAGCTCGTTCTTTCGTTTCAAACAACTTTGAAGCTGGATCTCGAGTTTTCCAACAGCTTCTGCAGATAATTGTGGGTTTTTTAGTTCCTTTCTTATCTTTTCTCTCTCTTCAAGACAGGCAGTATGTTCCTGTCGTATAGCAGTATCACGAGAAGATGACGAAGCATCATCATGGCTAAGTTCAGACTCAACCTGGTACTCCAGAGTCATATCCTTGACAGCATCCAGAATAGCATCCGATCTGCCCAGACGAACCACACGAGGGCGGTACAGAGCACCTTTGGAGTCCCGAATTCCAGAACGCAAACGCAAGACCAGCTCATCAACAGCGGCATTGGAAGGAGCACATACCAAGATTTTTGAAGCTGAAGGAGCCCTAGTCTGTTCCATTCCAGGAATGGCTATGGTCCTACTTTGAAGCGCTGAAGACGTGATAGCATGGCCAATGATACCAAGAATTGTCTTCGTTTTTCCCGTACCTGGGGGGCCTTGGATCAGAGAAAACCCCTCTGATTCCACTGCCCCGAGAATTGCTTCAGCCTGTGACTCGTTCACTCCATAAATCTTTCTCATTTCCAGTTTTCTGGATGACGAAAGCTTGACAGGGGGGCATGGTTCCGCTTTCACGATGTGGTCAACCAAATTATAATACTGCAATCCCGCCAAAGATGAGAACTCTCTTTCAATCGTGATCATTTGCATTACTCTAATGCAGAACAACTCAGTGCCGGGTGTCAAAAAAGTCAGCAGAGAATTAGAGGTTGAGACTCGAAGTGTCATATCAGAGTACCCTGGTTTGGAGTTCTTTATCTCACGAACCTTCGCTAAGCATGAAACAGCATCCTTCATCTGGTTTTTGGACGGCAACGTGTTGACATTCGGTATGAACATCAGAGCAATCAAATCTGAGTCACCAAGTCTTCTGTCAATAACGTCATCCCTGCTAGCAGAAGCAAACACATCAAAAAAGGTGTCAGTTGCTGCTCGTGAAGCTATTGTCACCTTGAGTGGCTTTTCTTGGCTCACTTGTTTAGCATTTTGAATTCCTTGCCATGATTCGAGCAACAAAAGAGGTTCAAACGTCTTTTTGTACTCTGCAGCAGTGTCGAAACTGCTCTTGATCGTTGTGTAGTCATTCTGGGTCGTTCCTGGTGGAAATGCAGAGGACTCGGTGAAACTCCATTGCAAAAGTACTTTGTATAGAGGATCGACGTTCACATTAAGTCTCAAACGCATATACAACTCCTCTTTTCTCTTCTGTTGCTCAATGCTGGAAACTCCTTTCTTCTGAAACACAGTAGATCTCAAAAGTGAACGCCCTGATTTGAGGGATGCAATGGCCTTCTTCAGCTTTTGAGTTTTATCGTTGATAAAGATGTGACCTTCGTTATCAGAGTCATCTTCTTCCTCGACTTCTTCCTCTTCACTGTCATCGTCGGATGTCAATTGGGATTTTTTATTGAACCCTGCAGGACGAGGTGCCGCTGGTGCTTTGTTGGAAATTGCCTGTTGTTCGGACTTCCTTCTTGCAGCCAAGTCCAACTTGGCCTGCTCTAGCATTGACAATCTAGCCTGTGGTTTTGGGGGAGCCACTGGAGGCCCACTTGCCCGTTTGAACATGTCAGTGATGTGGCTTTGTACTTTGTTAGGGGCCGCCCTCTCTTGTGAACTATGGCTTTGCTGTGACGGCAGTGGGACATCTTTTGGCTTGCCATTGACTTCAGTATCAATCTCGAGTTTGGTCTTCAAGACCAGATCGGCATTCAGCATTACTGCCCTCTCCAGAATCTCATCACGTTGTTCGCCTGTTAGCTTATTCTTGAACTTTGGCGCTTTGAGGCCATACTTGGTGAGTAATATGATAATATCGTTGTCAAACTTCAAGTCCAGACTCAACGTCAGGTCCATTGCCTTGAAAATTAGAGTGACGCACGAGTTCAGTAACAGTTCATCACCAAGACGTAGCCACACCAGCATCCGTGGAAATGTAGCGAGCAAATCGTGTAGAAGAGATTGTGAGAGATCCTGTTGGCTATCTGATTGAAAGAGCAAGGCAGCCTTGACTAAATGGTAACCAGACACCAGCATGTCAGAAAATTCCAGCGTATCTCTGGTGAATTCTACCAGGAAGGATTGCTGGTAAGAAGTGGCCCACTTAAGTGTTTCGGTATAGATCATGTTAAGAAGTCCCCAACACTCTTTCCAAAAAGCTCTTAAATGTCTCTTTTCCGTGGCAGAAAACTCCTTGAGCGTCACAAGCATACCTCTGATCGGATCCGTTAGGGATGTGACTACGTCCATCAGAATACGTACTGCCCTTGGACATGCTTCATAAATCCCTAGAGAGCTCAGTACCTGCAAGTGTCTACTGATGGAGCTGAGTGTGATGGCTGCGTTCAATTTCAGAGCCTCAGCTACACCTTCCAAACGCGCTTCAACGTCAAAAGCTTCGTACAACATCTGAACACCGGCCTGATAAGTTTTCTCATCTGCGGAAAAAATGCAAGACCAAAATCCTGAGGCACTTTGGCTGTCTGTTAAAATCGACTGCAATGTGATTGTATCCATGTATTGACTCATTTTGAACAGAAGAGTTGAAAGATGTCTCTCAAATGCATCATAATGTGGAGCAATGGCCACATAGGATTGTTGAGCAGCAAGTAAATTCTCTGCTTTTAGCTGGGTTCCATCCTTTCTGAAGATTCCACAAGCGTTTTTCAATGAAGCAATGATCGAGGTGACAAAGCCCTGATCCTTCAACACTTGAGGTGCGGTCAGAAACTCCCACATTTTGGGAGATAATCCTGAAGTTGAAACTGTTTCTCCTTTGTAGAGTGCAAAACTACGTTGAGCCAGATAATTGACATCAAACTCGAGAGATCGGCACACACAGGCAATCGCTAGGGATTTCAAGGCTTTGCTAAGGGCCGCGTCTCCAAAAGAAGCAGTACCGCAGCCAACATCTATGAAAAGCTTGCAATGTTGGTCCAATGTCCTTCTCGTCTCAATTCTAAGAAGAGCCTCTCCTCGAAAAGAATCATCGTATATGCCATCTGGAATATAAAGAAACTCGCTGAAGATCTTGAAGCAGCTGCGAAGAAGAAATCCGATATTGTTGATGCCCAGTTGGTTCCACGCAAACAGAAGCGTTCGAGTTGCTACACCCGGCCTCATGGCCAAGCTTAAGGAACTGCAAAGAGGATCAATCCAACCAACTACATCCTCTGTACATGGTGTTGTACTGGATTCTTGGTTCCTGTGTGTGAGAGTAGACTGAGTCAGCTCTTTAAGATACTTGATGTAATGGGGGCTTCTGAATACTGGATCCATGAAATTCTGAAACGTAAAAGGCGCAACCAAATTCCAAAACTTTTGTCCTAGCTTGTTCAGAAAACACTGGAAAGCTCGTAGAAGAAACGGTAGAGGTTCTTCCAAATAGGACATGAACTGATTAGAGAACACCTTCCACAATTGAACGATTTGAAAGGGTGACTTTTTCGCTATCTCAGGTGTGACCGCTGGAAGCATCATCTTGTTAGCTACCGTAGTTGCCTCGCATCCGTTCAGAATTGGAATCATATTGCACCAGAAATCAATGCATCGCTGAGGCGTGAAAAATTTTGAATCCTGGATGTTGAAGAAATGGATCTCGTATTCCTCGGAGACAGCCGGGTCAAAATCAACAGTAGTGACTTTTTCAATGGCGGTGTTTCTGTGCAAAACGTCCAAGGCCCAATCTCTTTCTTTCGGCGTTCCTTCAAACAGCAAGTAGATGAGACCTGGAGATATGATCTGTATGGGGTCGATAAAGTCGCCCTGGTCTTGCAACCTCTCGCAAATACGAGTGAAAAGCGACTTCAGCTCTGGGTTTACTCTGAACATTGCGGGTCCGTCCATACATTCCAGAACCGCTTTACTAGCCTGGCTGTTCAGGCTCTCATGATCTGAGGCTTCGGCCTTTTCGAGCCAATCAGATAACACCGGCACCAAACGTTCTGATTCCCACTTGAATATGGTCGACATAAGCTGAGTGACACCTTCCAGATCAAATTTCCTCACCAGGAGAAAGTCCTCTCTCAATTTGGCTCTTCCAACGTGGAACATCCGACAGCACTTAGGACAAGAGCTCAGATTTTGTTCAAGTCGCGCAGCATAAACGTCCCGCACAGGCACTTGGTCAAATACAAATATCACCAAAGCATAGGACGCAATGTTAATATTGGCAGGATCACAGAATAAATGGGCATCTTTGGGCAGCGCGTTGATGTACTCCAGGCACTTAACTAGCACAGACTCTTGGAAAGTGTTGTCTGTAGGCTTCTGATGGGATAGCCGTATGAGCTGCTCTAACCCTTCGTGTTCTATCTGTTCACCCATTGGTGGCCAATGATTTCAGCAGGGGAGCAACGTTTTTTCGTTTGCGTTTGCGAAAGAGCTCTTGTTTTCACCCAGATCTGTTCGCACGGTAGTCTGCTCCTCAGTAGTAGGTGAGGTTACCAGTGGAACATAACCGGAATATCGTTATGGTTTGATGGTAGGATACCAGGCTCAAATTTACGGAGAAAAGATGGATTCTGAGGTCTGAAACAAAATATGCATAGTAATAATATAATTGCTTGATTTTCTTTCAAAAAATAGGAACGGCTTGTAAGTTAGCCATGACTCCTAGAACAGCATCCAATGTGGCCTACAATTCAGACGCATAATACAAGTAGTCAAGAAGAAGGCAGTCTATGAGTGGATAATGTGGCGAAAAATTCGCTAAAACTCTGCCTATCTTCTCCTAATCGATATTTCTCAGCCAATTTTTGATTTTGCCTCCAAACTCCATATATTGAACGAAATCACCGCTGTGGTTTCGCTGTCTGACCCAAGGTTGGGATCTCGATTTTCGCGTTTGGGCCAGTACACGCCCATCGGATCTGTAATTTGTAGGTACACTCCTGAATGATAACGCGACCTATGGCCGATCTCCCTAACAACAGACAGACCGAAGCTTTCAAAGTGATCTTCAGTTGAATTTTTATCTTTGAACTAATCGCTTTCCATACAAGCGATACATTCAGAATGAGGTAAGTGAATTGCCAGGCATGCCCTTTTGCTACTCGTTGATAAGGATGTCCGGAACTACCCGGCCGATACTAACGTGAATTTCACTGTTTGACAGCGGAAGGTTTGTGCGTGCTTCCAAATACCGTCACGTATTCGGACAATCCACCAAAAAAGAGCTTTGTTACGAAAACATCAAGGTCACGAACAATGCGTGGGACTCCAACTTGATTAAGTCGAACGGGAAATATCTCTCTGTCAACTGGGATGCTTCTGGAGGAGGAGCTTTTGCGGTGATTCCACTGACCGAGGTTGGAAAGGCACAGGACAAGGTCCCCTTGTTTAGGGGTCACACTGCAGCTGTTTTGGACACGGACTGGAGTCCTTTCCATGAAAATGAGCTTGTTTCCTCCTCAGATGATGGAAAGATTGCTTTGTGGGAGATTCCAGAGGGCTATTCTTTCAAGAACTTCACCGATTCCGACGGAGATATCAAGGATATCAAGCCTGTCAAGCTGCTGAGTGGTCACACACGTAAGGTTGGACATGTACAATATCATCCAATTGCAGAAAATGTGTTGGCATCGTCCTCTTTGGATTACACCGTCAAGTTCTGGAACCTGGAAACCGGCAAGGACGAGATCACCTTGAAGCACACCGACCTGGTCACATCGTTCTCGTTTAACTACAACGGTTCTTTGTTGGCCACAACATCTAGAGACAAGAAACTGCGTGTTTGGGATATCCGTACGGGAGAGGTCTTGAGTGAGGGCCCAGCCCATTCAGGAGCCAAGGCTTCAAGAGTAGCGTGGCTAGGAAACTCTGACAGATTGGTGACCACCGGATTCTCCAGATTATCGGACCGTCAACTGGGTATCTGGAACTCCAAGGATATTGGTGCTGGAGCAATTGGTGGCTTCTACAACGTTGACTCTTCCGCTGGTGTTCTCATGCCATTCTTCGATGATGCCACTAAGATTCTGTTTGTTGCTGGAAAGGGTGACGGTAACATCCGTTACTATGAGTTTGCGGATGACGAACTGTTCCCTCTTTCCGAGTATCAATCTACTGACCCACAGCGTGGTTTTGCATTTGCCCCAAAAAGATTTTGCAATGTGCAAGAGAACGAGATTGTCAAGGCGTTCAAGACCGTTCGCGATAACTCCATTGAGCCCATCTCGTTTATAGTTCCTAGAAGAGCTGAGATGTTCCAGGACGATATTTACCCGGATGCTCCAAGTGCCACTCCAGCATTGACTGCCAGTGAGTGGTTTGCGGGCAAGGAGGTTGCGGGTCCAATTCTGTTGTCTATGAGAGACATCTATGAGGGTAACGAGCCCACTTTAAGTGAATCGGTTGTTGCTCCTGTTGAGACTGCTAAGCCTAAGGAAGAGCCAAAGTCCGAGCCAAAGGCTGAACCAAAAGCTGAACCAAAAGCAGTCACCCCAAAGACCGAGCCAGCCGTTGCCAGTCCAGCCTTCACCAAGTCTGCCGAGAGAGGTGTTGAGACATTGCTAGGCACAAAGGAAGTCAACAGCTTGTTGGACAAAGTTAACAGCTTATCGGATGATGAAGCTCCTAAAGACAGCACCAGTGAGAACTGGGATGATGACGAAGACTACCAGGAAGCAAAGAAGAAGGTTATTGTTGAAGAAACAAAGCCTGAGCCAATTGCTGAAAAGGTGGTTGAAAAGACTCCGGAACCAAAGGTTGTTGAAAAGACCGTTGAAAAGACCCCAGAGCCAAAGGTTGAGGCCAAATCAGAGCCAGCCCCAGCTCCAGAACCAGTCAAGACTGAGCCAGTCAAGGCCGAACCTACAAAGACCACAGCCGCAGCCGGTGCCACTACTCTCAAAGGAACTGTGGAAAGACTCGCTTCTCTGGTCGATAAGCTGGAGTCGACCATTGAGGCCTTGACGAAGGCTAACCTCGATAAGGATGAAAGACTTGCCAGTTTGGAAGCCAAAATTGAGGGTCTTACCAAATAGGACTATTGATTATCGTTTTGCTTAGTACTGTATTTTTCGCTTCGCCGTAGACAATCAAAAGATTTGTTTTTTGGTAAGATACGCAATAGATCACCTCATAGATGATGAGAATAACACTGTCAACTTCTTCCTGCTCTTTTTGCCGGTGGTCGAGGCCTTCGCCTGTTGGATCAGAAGCTCGGTGTTCCAGTCATCTTCATCATCGTCTTCAATGGGGTCATCCACAGGTTTGATTATATCCGTTCCCCAAATCGTCTTAGTGGTCTCCCGTTGAGACGTGTGTGCTCTCGCATTAGTAGAGGAATGCTCGTGATCAGAACCGTCATCCTCAATTGCCGATAAAGTCCTATCAAACTCGTTCACTTGCTTATGAGGACGCTCGTATCCATAATCAGTCAATGGGATGTTGTTTTCATTCGAGTAGAATTCCAAGGTTTCCAGCTCCAGTCTCTTCTCAAACTTTCTCTTATCCTTATCCTCTCTCTGTCTGCGAGCATGTGTTCTATTTGACCTCTCCAAAAGGGCTTTGCTGAACTCTTTGAACACATCTGGGGGAAGAATGCTTCTTCTGTTCTTGGAGGAGCGTCTCGCTCTTTCGGTTGTTGCATTCAACTTTGGGGCACTATCGGGTTCTTCGAACCAGTCAAGTTCAAGGAAGGCTACTTCGGTTCCAAAAGGCAGATGGCCCAAATATTTGAATCTGTGCACCAGCTCAGAGTCAACCACTCCAAAATCGTAGTTGATGTTCTCGAGTCTTGCCTTGATGACGGCCGGCCACAGTGCTCTATCCTCGCCCAAAAGTGACACAATAATTCTCAAGTCAAGGCTCGAAAGAAAAAACTTGACCTTGGAGTTCGAGTCACTCTGGTAGAAGTAAAAACCACCGTCAAAATCGGGAATAGCTGTTGCGGAAAGACTGATGTTGGAAACACCGTCCACTAGTTCTGAAAGCTTCGTGGATGGGTCAGACGCCTTAGATTGTTGAAGGTTCAAGTTGAGATCTGTCATATGCAATGGGGTAGGTACACGTTCCTGTTCAGTTCGATGGAAGGACTCGTTCATGACGTCCAGAGTCATGTTGATATGGTCAATGGCGGACTTTGCAGCACTGTCATCTATGTTGTATAATGCCTTATCATTCTCGTATTGAGTCTGGATATCCGTGATCTCCTTCAAAAAGCTGTTTTTCACAAAAGGGAGACCAGCTTTCATTATTCGCGCATATTGAGAACAGGGATTGTCATTTGTGAAAGTCTCAGGAGTGGAGTCCTCGTTGACCCAAGGAATGTTCCCCATATACTCATCCTTGTACTGCGCTGGTAGAGGTAGAATCCTACTGGCGGGACGATAAACCAGCTGCAATAGCACATCTTCTCCAACAACAGGTTTTTCAAGTCTCTCGTCGATTCCGTTGATCAACACAGGAAGAGCGTCCACCGTGGTGATGTCTATTCCACACAATGGGCACTCCTTTTTCTTTTGTCTCCTCGGATCATTATTCTGGTGGCCCTTTCTCGTTTCTTCTGCCTCCATTAACCTGATGAAACATGTCAGACAAAATATGTGGCCGCATTTGGCCATTCTCGGGGCAACAAGGTCGTCCTCCAGACAGATGGGACACTGGGTATCATTTTTGGGGGCGATCACCCTCAATATGTATGTTTTGTCTAGGGGCACGTTTGGGTCCAGAAGCTGTTGTCTGTAGTCTCCTCGATAGTCTACCACGAACTTGTAGTTGACATTGATGTATTTCATGCCAGTTAGATGAAGACTGGTGGCACCTCTATTGTTGGACCTGGGTTTCCTCCTAGAGAGACCTCTATTAAACCCCTCTTCAGCATGCGCTGGAGATGAAAATTCAAGCAAATGACTTATATCAACAGCCCGCCGGTTCCTTCCGTTATATTTATTTGAGACTAGTTGCTCCTCTAGTCTCATATCAAAATCGAGATCGGGGATGTCCGGTCTGTTGAGAGCCTTCTGTCTGCCGTTCTTCCTCTTTCCAAAACTTGATCCTTCTCTGGCTCTGGGTCCGTTTTTCGACATGCTAGGCCTGGTGTTGGTGCCGGGAAGTCTCAGAGCCGGAACAACATTAGCAGGTCTTGTGATCCCTGTAGCCGGTACTTTGAAATCCTTCTCCTTGGGCGCGGACATTTTCTAGAAGCAAGGTAGTCAGTATAGCGACCAGACAGTAGCAATGCACGACTTTTATGCTCCGAGGGAGAATAACTCGCCGCTTTTGGTGGCAATATTCTGACCGTTCGAAACAGTAATACCAAGCCGGTACAACGTGCGGGCTCGGTCATATCAAGACCTAAGGAAGTGTGGAGCCCAAAAAATCTAACCGCAACTTTTTTGGGGTGGCGTGCGGCTCAATATGGTATTTTTGAGAGAGCCACGACTTCCAATCCGAAAGGCACCTTCGTGTCTGAAAGGTGTCACTGTGCTGTTAAGTGATCTGGATATATGGTCCTTTTGATCAAACAAATTCCATGGGCGAGCGCAAGAAAGTCAATCTCAGCTCAGTGGTTGCTTTGCGTACCGAATGCGATGAGACATTGCCGCAGGCGTTGGCCTCGCTGAAGTATACAGAGAGCTTTACAGTGGTGGATACAAGGTTAGCGCTAGGGCTGTTATCGGTGGCCATTGCAGGTGGTCTCTACTACTACGAGAAAAAGTTTGGAGATGACTTGAAAGATCTGTTTTACTATTACTTGCTTCTTGGAGGTGTTACTACTTTCTTTGTTCTGAATGGTTTGCTGTATCTGCATGCCCAGTACGTGCAAAAGAACACGAAGTACGTTGGTTACAATAAGGATAAGAAGGTGGTGATAGGCACGTCCACAAAAAACGCAACCACACCGGTATATGACGTTGAATTTAAGGTGGGGGATTCGCCAGTGGCAAAGGACTCGATCAGTTTCTCTGAACTGTTCACCGAAGATGGGTATCTGAAGCTCGACAGTTATATTGGGTTTATCAAGAAGAATCTGGAGAAAGTTTCGAAGAAGTCGACATGAGGAAGCTTGATAGAATAACATTATCCAGGAAATTTGAGAAAGCGCAGAAAAAAACGTTAATTGTTATAAAATATCGTATATAAAAAAAATCCCCGCTCTAAGCAGCTTTAATCTGAGTGTCTATGGTGGAAAGACTGCGAATAATCTCCCATGGAAGGTAAGGCAACAAACGCACAATAGGAACCAATGCTCCATAAAGAGCATATCCCCATACCCCGCGCTCGCCTGTGATTGCTAATTGAGCTATTCTTTTGCCCAATTTGTCCACATCCACAATAGGAGCAAAGAAACTCAGGTGCTTCATGTCAAGGTCTCTGAACATGACCGAAGACATCTGACCAGGCGTCATGGTTGCCACGTGCAACGTATCATCTTCTTCGTGAGCCAAAGAGTCCATTGCCTGGATCAAAGCAGCTTTTGAGGCCGAATACATGGATAGTCTGGATGGCCCTAGATATCCCAGTACCGAGGCAATGTTGATCACAGATAGAGACGTACGTGCATTGTTCTTGGTGTTGAACTCTTTGTGCAGCCCCACAACAGCCTTCGTGAGAGCAATTGGGGCAAAAACATTTACCTCCAATATATTACGGGTCTTTTCCTCGGAGATTTCCAAGAATGTCTCGTTCTGGCGGACACCAGCGTTGTTGATGAGAATGTCAATCTTCTCTCCTCTTCTTGAGACTGTGGACAGAATTTCCTGCGTGACCATCCCAGTCTTAACCTTATTCGCCAAATCACACTTGTAGTAAACTACATTGGATTGGGAAGATACCTCAATAGTATCCACAACAAATATTGTTCCTAAATTGAAGCTTTTGGGATCTTCACTGTAGAGCTGGAGGAAGGCATTCACAATGCCTTTCCCCAAACCACGCGCTCCCCCGGTCACAATTATGTTCACCTTTGTGTTCCTGGGCCCCAAAACGGTCATTGGACCGCGGATCTTTTTCACGTGGCTTAACCACCTCAAGACCCATAGCACATCAGTTGCAAGGGACAACCATATGAGCAGCGACGATCCAGATAAAAGGTATATTGGAACAGAAAATGTCCATGTATACAAAGAATGGAAGACGGTTCTCAAAAGCAAGTGAACCGCATGGTCCAGTGAAAAGGGAGATGCCAAAACCACTAAAGGTCTGGGATTGAAAGGACTGAATTTTTCACTATGTCTTGAAGTCATTGTATAGCGAGCATAAAGTATAGCAAGGTAGCAAGTTTTCAAACAAGTTTTGTCTTTCGGACACCGTCTGCACTTAAAAAGTCTCGGATCCGAACAGGTAAGAGCTTGTGTCCCCTTCTGCGTTACTTCGAGGATTACGTGAACGCATCAATTAAATCATTCTGGAAGCGTGCATGAATGATAAGCTCCAGGTGTGTACTGATCAAGTTTTGTTAAGCGTAAAAGGGTCCTTGAACCAAGATTATTAGATATGAAGAGAATATTTTGTTTGGCAATTCTATTTCTTTCAGATCATATCTGCTAGAAGATACCATTATATTATCATGTTTCGGCCATTCCACCCTTTCGTAGCTTGTTTCATGCACGACAGACTTCTGCGCGCCGCGCACCGGTGGTTAGACTCGGAACTTCTAATTGAGTCCTAAAGGATTATATTTGACTATATCTGCATGAAATTATGACATTAATGGTCCTGCTTTCTATTAAAAACTTATAGATCGCACAGATGTAATAGCTTCCATGTCCTCAAGTCAAGGGTATAGATTCAAGACTGACGGGCGCACTGAGGTTGCCTTATTTATCATTTGTTGAAATTCTCACACTCAAGAGTCGAACTCAGACTCAACTCATTTAAATTCACTAGTTTTTGTTAACAGACCTCGACAGGTTCAAACCAGCAATTTTCTGGTTGTAGGCTGTTGTAGGGTTCCACTTTCTAATACTTCTGATATCGTCTGAGGAATGGCCCGGAATGCGGATATTCCAGTTTCTTTCGAGATGCAGCTGGATATCCTTGACGTCAATGGTGTCAGCCTTGCGGTGTTTGGCCAAACGACAGGCAAATCCAGTCACGCTGGTCACAAACTCGTCAGCCAAATCCAGCAATAGCTCTTCAACATCACCGTCTATCACCACCTCTCCATCTCCCTCATCAGCACCAACACTTCTCACCAACTCCTTCAGTTTTCTCTTGTGCAAAACTCTATCGCCTTCCATCTCAAAAACAGGAGGTCTGACCAAGGTGGGTGTAGTTAATGCGGGAGCATTCACGGCAGTTCCACCCAAAATACTTGGCCTGTTATTTTGCTTCGTCGAAACTGGCTTGGGCAATTCCACCTTCAAATCCTCCGTAATCGGGTTTGTGGGAACCACGGGTTTTGTGATGTTAGCTCCAAGTTGACCGGCAGTTGGATGAACAGCACCCATGGCACCTGGTCTGGCTGCTGCATTAACCATTGTCACCGGAGTTCCAGGAGCTTGCGACGCACCAGTAGCAGGCCCTGATGGCTGCTGCATCCCTCCCATAGCAGCCGGTACACCTGGAGTCTGGGATCTCTGCGGCATTGGAGTCTGAGACATAGAGCGTTGTGCTTGTTGCTGTTGAGCTTGTTGTTGTTGTTGTTGCTGCTGCTGATGGCTGAACTGTTGACCCTGAGAAACCTGTTGCTGCGGGCGAATCTGAGCCTGTTGTGCCGCACCAGCTGCCTGCTGAGCCTTCTGTTGCTGCATTAGACGCATCTGTTGCAATTGAGCCTGTTGTTGTGGAGTCAGCTGGAAAATCTGGGGTTAGTATACTAGGTGGATTCGGACACATAGTGACACAGTGACACAATACTTACGTTTGGAGGATACTGCTGGTTTCCGATTGCCCTCTTCTGAGCCATCGCAGCCGCATTTGGGTTCTGGGCACTCTGGCCGCTTCCTCCCGCAACAGTGGCCGTTTGTGCAATGCTTGGTGATCCAACAACAGGTGACTGTGACTTCATCTTAGCATTCTGGTCGAGATTAGGAATCTGGGGACGAAGCTGTTGTATCTGCTGCGATAATTGGGTCGCGATATTTCTGGCCTGATTGAAACTGACATTCAACGCGACTTCCTTCTGGGCCAACGCCTGTCTTTCCTGGTCAGTGATGTTGGCATTGCTCTGGGCAGCTGCCACAGTTCTCAGCTGAGCCTGAATTCTTTCAAGAAACTTACGTGCCTCTTGAAATTTTTGCACTGCCATCGCCAACTGCTGTTTCGTCTGAGACTGTTGCTGCTGCTGATTGGCAGCAATCGGCGTATTTCCGCTAGGCTGGTTCTGGCTCTGTATTCCAGCCCTAGTATCTCCCATCTGCGGCGATGGAACCACGCCTTGCGACGATTGTTGTTGTTGCATCTGTTGACGCTGGAGCTGCAGCGTTTTCTTGTATTCTATCAGAATGCTTTTGATGCTTTCTGCCTTTTGAGAGTGCTGTCTACCGGCAGGAGTCTGTAGACCGGCTTGTTTCGCGGCATTCAATTCGTACTCAAACTGCTTCGCCAGCTGCTGGGCCTGAGCAGGCTGGATTGACATGTGTCTGGGCTGACTCTGGCCTTGTTGAGATTGTTGGTTTGGCATCATTTCGAGGATTGATCAGATGGATGTAATTGGCGAAAACACTGTATAGATGTCCTGATTTGCTAACAAACAAATAATCAAATCCAGCAAATTTACTTCAACAACAAGCAACTTCAATTTATTTGATCGATTAGTGAACACGATTGATGCAGGACTTAAACATCAACAGCTCATGTTCGGTTCAGCCCGAGTTCACAAGAAGGAAGGATTGAGAACGCTGTCAGAATTCATCGTGTCAGCAGAGCACCTTGATATATTTCTCTCTATATATAGCGATCTGATAAACACCAATTAAACACCTAAATACACCCAAATATTACAAATATTACAAATATTACATACCAACTCCCAAAATCAAGGCACGTCCACTACCTGTTGGACTCGCCACCGAGAACATTATCTGATTCGGCATTCTGCTCAGCAAAGTCACGTCTGATGCTGGTAACACCAAAGTAAGTCTGAAGCTGAAGCCAGGTGAAAGCTGAATTGAAAAGAAATGAACTGATTCTTTTCCAAAAACAATCAAAGTCTTACTAAAAGGCTCAAAGACAACATTGGAGCATCTGAAACCAAATTCAATGGTTTTGGGGGTAGTGACGTACAAGCTCTTTGACATCACAACGGCATATCTTTCATACACCAGCAAGTACTCTGTAGCAGACACCTTGAACATTCCACAACTTGGCTCATCTTTGATTCTGGCGAATAAATTCTCTGTGTCGCGATCCATGTGATCTTTTGACTCTGGAATTGAGATCATTGCCTGGGAAGATATGTTTGCTAGACCAAACCCCATCTTTTGGCTGGTTATGGCGAAAAACTTCTCGAACGCATATAGACCAGTAACGTCGACAATCCTGCAGTTCATTTTCTCTTTCAGAACTGGAGCATCCTTAACGATGTCCCATCCAAACACTTTCAGGTTTTTGGACCCAACATCCAAATATTCGATGATGCTGAGGGAACCCATGGAATGTCCAACGGTGAAGTAGCGTACATTCTTGCGTTCAATTTCAACGGTTTTCAGAGGAAGACGAACGCTGGGGTCATTGGCAAGTCTGGAGAGATCTTTCAGAGACATCGAGGTCAGAGTGGAAGACTTGAGCAGGAAGACACGTTCTAATTGGTCAACCACCTGCACTTTGAAGATAGGTGCGTCATCAAGGGCCTTTTTCCACGTCTTGGACTGCTCCTTGATATAGAGTCCAGTTATGCAGCCAATCAGCATGAACTTCTGGTTGTTGTAGGAAAATACTGCACCAGAAACTGGTCTCGAGGAAATCTCTGATTTTTGAGTAGAAGGCCGCATTTCATCCATAACCTGTTCCAAAGGGTCTGTATCCCAGATCTTGGGAGAGCCTTGTGGTTCCCTGGAACTAAACACTTCACTATCCAGAGCACCAAGCTTTACCATTTTCATTGCCCATCTATAATACAATTCCTTGGCCTTTTTCAGATGGCTTATCACCAAATCCACGCTGGCGCTATCCGAATCACCAAGCACGAAACCCTTTTTGGAATCTTCAAGCTCCCTTATTCTGAACGTAAAAAGATCCCTATCCAAAGTGAGACTTACCACACTCGATCTTGATTGGATCGTCGATATGGTTCTCACGGAACTTGCTCTTGAAAACTCAGCTCCAGATCCATCACCTACCAACTCCACATCCAACTTCTGGATCGCTATGGGGCAGGTCAGTACCTCAAACCCTGCGGGTTTGGCCTTTTTCAGCAGGACGACATAGTTATCCAAAATTCCCAGATGGCAGTTCGAGTATCCGGTATGAGATTTGCGTTTAAGCGCAAATATTCCTCGTGACCTGCGGTTTCTGCTGTTGATATTCACGATCTTTGCGTAATGCTTGAAGTTAACGTGATCCCAAATGCGCATATCTTCCTGAATTTTGAGATATCCACATCCTTTTCTTGCTAGAGCATCCAGTTTCTGCTTTGTGCCCATTAGCTTGTGCGAAAGTTTGGTGTTTCCGCGTTTCGTCAATAGTTCAGCGATGGAAGAGAGCGACACATTCAGACTTCCAAACCTCGTACGCAAATAAAATAGAAAAAGCTCACGACCATTCACATCAACACGTCCAGGGTATCTTTTATCCACCTCGTCAAACCAAAGCACCAAGGGACTGTCTCTGGTCGTAACAAGCAGCGAAACGATCTTGGAACCTTTCTTGAAGTAATTCAGGATAGCTTGTTTGGAGTTTGTGTACCAGTTGAAGTAGATGTCAGCGAATTGATCTGGGTCAATAAACATCTGTTTTCGCACAAGGTCAACCAATGGAATCAGAAGATAATCTCGATGTAGTCTGTAGACCTCTAGAATGGGCTCAAACAGGGTTTCAGGCACTTCTGAGTCGAATCTCACGAGACTCTCTTTCTTCTTGGAAAATTCAGACTGGAAGAATGCGACTCTTTTGAAATTGTTGCTGAGTCTCACCTCCAAAAAGACCGGCTCGAACAGCTGACATTGGTATTTGAACTCTTTCTCTCCAATTCGATCACGCAAAGCAACACCTTCTTCTTCTGACAAGCCCCAATAGGTATACCAAGAAACTTGCTTTCCATTGAGTATCGACTCTCTCTCCTGGGATGGATATAGCTCTGCCAATTCTCTGTATATGCTCTTCAGGTCCTGCGTCTCCTCGCACTCACCTTCGATCTCCGGGATCTCAAAACTCATGTCTGCGGGTGTCTCTAGTCGCACCTCAGAAAAAGGCAACTTCGGCATTGAGACTGGCAATTCAGAAGCTGTGGAATTCTCTGGTACAGCCGATTCATCGGCAAGATCAGCATTGTAAAGAAAGTTGTTGAAAGCGGTGTCTGGAACTTCGAGCAAATCTTCCTCGTCGGATGATAGGTCCAGCTCCATGGAAGGACTTGACATGTGGGTTCTCCATGGTTCAGAATAGGCCGAGTCTATTGATGTCTCGGAAATGATAGAGGCTCTGTCGCGCAACAGAGTCGACGAAGCAGTCAATCGCGGCGCTATAGAGTCCAGAACTGGTAATCCAGACTGATATCGTGCAGGTGACCTCGCCGGAGAAACAGGCGAACGGATTGACGATCCAATTGGAGAACCCAATGGTGATCTCTCGGGGCTATAGGCATGTCGTATAGGAGATGATCCCGGAGATCGCTGATTGGCAAAAGATCCCGAAGATTGCGAACTATCCGTCGTCGAAAAGTCTTTTGGTGGAAGCGGCGGAGGTTTTGTAGTTTCCTCGGTGGTCTCTGCGTTCTCACTAATTGGTAGTCGGGGTCTCCTTATTCTCGTTGGTTGTCTCTTGATCGGGTCTGCCGAGGGTAGCAATTCCGGCACCGCGGGTTTTTCCGCAGCTATACAGAATTTTTTCCAGGTCTCGCTGTCCATTGGAGCAAAATATTCCGTATTCTAGCAAGGGAAACAAAATAACAGTCAAGGCCGCAACAAATAGTGGTAGGTATGCTACATATACATTGAGGTCTGGAGTAGTCTTCAAGGGTAAATAAAGTCCGGTCGTGCATCTGTCAATGACTGGCACACGACTCCAAGTCCAGCTTTTTGCCCATTATGTGATCATGGAAACGTTTAATTTGGAACAAATGATATCCACCGGAGCCAAGACTCGACGGAACTCTAGTTTCTGTGTTTTCACGTCTTACTGGAAGATTTTCCCGAAAAAATTAGACTCTTTCCGTGCCTCAAACACCTCTTTTGCCTGTCTAGGCTTATCTACTCAGCAGAGTCAGTTCTCAAGGAAGTGTCCCCATCAATTGATTATTTTTTTTTGTTTGGAAATAGGCATGAGAAAAATTTCAAACGTGTCTCTATTCTGAAGATCTTTCTTTCTCTTCTTCCTGGCAATCCCTGTCCCATCACAACAAAATGTCGTTTGCCGATTACTCGAAAGCTCTTGATCTCCTCAAGGAATACCCAACCAAAGACGGTCTTGATGTCAAGACACTCATGGACTCCGCCGCCAGAGGTGGTTTGACCTACAACGACTTTTTGGTGCTTCCAGGCAAGATCGATTTCCCCTCTTCGATTGTTTCTTTGGACTCAAAGTTGACCAAGAAGATCTCGCTGAGAACTCCTTTTGTGTCTTCGCCTATGGACACTGTCACTGAGGCCAACATGGCCATTCACATGGCTCTGCTCGGTGGTATTGGTATCATCCACCACAACTGTACTGCTGACGAGCAGGCCGCCATGGTCAGAAAGGTCAAGAAGTACGAGAACGGTTTCATCAATGACCCTGTTGTTGTTGGACCAACCATCACCGTCGGTGAGGTGAGATCCATGGGACAGCAGTACGGATTCACCTCCTTCCCCGTCACCGGTATGTCTTACTAATCTTACTCAGCCCTACACTCACACCGAATCTCCCAAATGATGAACAACAAACTATTAATAACTTTCGTTCTTCCGCAGTTAGATCAAACGATCGTGAGGAAACCATAATTTAGCTGATAGAAAGGAAAGTTGGTGTGTTTGGAGAGGCTTGCGTATAGTACGCGTCGTTTCATCTTACTAACTTAAGCAGAGACCGGAAAGGTTGGTGGAAAGCTCATTGGTATTGTCACGTCGCGTGACATCCAGTTCCACGAGGATGACAAGTCGTTGATCACCGAAGTGATGACCACCGAGTTGATCACTGCCAAGCAGGGTATCGACCTGCTTGACGGTAACGACGTTCTGAGAAAATCCAAGAAGGGTAAGCTTCCAATCGTCGACGAGGAGGGTAACCTTGTTTGTATGGTTTCGCGTACCGATTTGCAGAAGAACTTGGATTACCCATACGCTTCCAAGTCGTTCAAGTCCAAGCAGCTGCTGTGTGGAGCTGCCATTGGTACTATCGAGGCTGACAAAGAGAGATTGACCAAGCTGGTTGCTGCCGGTTTGGACGTCGTCGTCTTGGATTCCTCGCAGGGTAACTCTGTGTTCCAGCTGAACATGATCAGATGGATCAAGGAGACCTTTGCTGACTTGCAGGTCATCGCTGGTAACGTGGTGACCAGAGAGCAGGCTGCTTCCCTGATCGCTGCTGGTGCAGACGGTTTGAGAATCGGAATGGGTTCCGGCTCCATCTGTATCACCCAGGAGGTCATGGCCTGTGGTAGACCTCAAGGTACTGCCGTGTACAACGTGTGCGAGTTTGCAGCCAAGTTTGGTGTCCCCTGTATCGCTGACGGTGGTGTCCAGAACATTGGTCACATCACCAAGGCCATTGCCCTGGGAGCCTCTTGTGTCATGATGGGTGGTATGTTGGCTGGTACCACCGAATCCCCAGGTGAGTACTTTTTCCGTGACGGTAAGAGACTCAAGGCCTACAGAGGTATGGGTTCCATCGAGGCCATGCAACAGACCTCTACCAACGCCAATGCCTCCACCTCCAGATACTTCTCCGAGAGTGACAGCGTTTTGGTTGCTCAGGGTGTTTCTGGTTCTGTTGTCGACAAGGGTTCTGTGACCAAGTTCATTCCATACCTGTTCTCTGGTCTCCAGCACTCTTGCCAGGACATTGGAGTCAAGTCCACCGAGGAACTTCAGCAGAAGGTACAAAGTGGTGATGTCAGATTCGAGTTCAGAACCCCATCTGCTCAGTTCGAGGGTGGGGTCCACAACTTGCACTCTTACGAAAAGAGACTTCACAACTAGAAGAATTTAATATCTAAACCATAGGGATACGGTGTTAACCTAAAATATAATTCGATTTTGGTATCAGATAGTAGGGTATTAGAGGGTATAACAGGCATGAAAAGTTGTGAGGAAGTGAAAAGTCGTGTGGACACGACCGAATCCACGGTGTAGGGGTTATGATATAGAATATCGAATATGGAATGTATACTGGTACGGATATGGTGGAATGTAGAGTGTCATAAGACATAACAGGGTTCGATAAGTTGGTTAGAATCATAATGGACAGGGTTTTCATAGTATGGTCATGGTATTGTAAAGTACATTAGATACGAATCAAGATGAAAATCTTGGAATATAGTAGGCATTTTTAGTATAGTCTGTATAGTACACCTTTCTATACTTTGAAGTTCACTACTATAACTCCCTGCTTGAAGCACCGTGAAATCGTCTAGCCTTGCCCTGAACCCTAGCAAATTATCTCTTCAATAATCATTCCCATCGTCATCCTTTAACTCAGTCTACAAGTCCTTTATTACGTAAATTTTTTTTATAATCAAATGTTACAAAGAAAAACTTGGCTGAAGATGCATTTAAACAGTCTCCAAAACAACATCCTTGAACTCAGTGTTAACCTTCTTTCCCTTCTCCTCAGCAGAACCCTCACCGTGCAAAGCCAACAGAGAACCCAGGTCAAAGGCAGGTTGCTTCAACAGCTTAACCTTTCTGATGTGGATGTTCTGCAATGGCAAGATGGTTCTGGTGGCCTTCTCGATGTCACGTCCGATAACATCTGGAATCAACTTGGAGGTCAATTGGGCCAAAGTGGAGTTAGCAACCTCTCTGGTCATGATCTCGGACATCTTCTTTCTAACCTCTCTCAACTTGGAGGATTGAGCGTAAGAGGTCTTCTTGACTTGGTTTGGCTGTCTCTTGGTGAAGGCAATAGCGAAGATTCTGATAACGTAGTCATCAGCAGTCTTGACGGTAACATTGGCCTCAATCACTGATTGCCACTTTCTGACCAAGGATCTGATCTTGTCAGAGGTGAAGTCCATACCGTGGAAGTTGGTGAGCAGGTTCTTGTCCTGGACAGCGTCAACTCTCAACTTGATCTTCTTGAACGAGTGCTCGTCGGACTCTTGCAAGTCAGCGAGGCAGACCTCGATGACACGGCCCTTCAAACCATCGGCAGCGTTCTTCAAACCGGTGGACTTGTTGATCAAGGTCTTACCAACGTTTCTGTTGGTGTAGGTGACTGGGGCCTTGATGTCAAACCACTCCTTTCTGGTGAATGGGTCAACGACCTTCTTCTTAAGACCTTTCTTTCCCTTGGAAAGTCTCTTGTTCTTACCGATAGCCATATTGTGATTATTTGGACTTGTGTTGTAAGTGCTTGGAGTGGTACTTTCAATGAAGAGTTTGAACTTTTTCAGATGAGAAACCCAGTACGGGTGCCGGGTCGCTTAGTCGTGCGGGCATCAAATACTCGAAGTTTTTTCTCCACTATGGGAAAGGGTGTTTAAGCCCTGTGTATGGTCATGTGACTCTTTTGACTGAAGTGCACTACTTCTTTGTGATGTGTGCACTACCCACTTCCAAGGGATGTCACGTGAGTGTTTGTGGCACGACTTCTGTTTGTTTACATTTCCCTGGCTGGTATTAACTTCTCCGGTACCTGAAAGATACCTGGCAAGATCCTGGCAAGGCTCACTGCTTTTCTGCTAACTATGTCTTCTCAGAACTCAGTATCGCTAAAGGTTGGTCTCGTTGGAGATGCTCAGATTGGCAAGACGTCGCTAATGGTTAAATACGTGGAGGGATGCTTCAACGAGGATTACACACAGACACTCGGGGTGAACTTCATGGAACGGTCAATCCTCATAAAGAATACACAGATAACGTTCTCGATTTGGGATTTAGGTGGAGAAAGAGAGTTTCTCAATATGCTACCGTTGGTTTCTAGCGATGCCGTTGCCATTCTATTTATGTTCGATCTGACCAGAAAGTCTACCTTGAACTCTATCAAAGAGTGGTACAGGCAGACCAGAGGATTCAACAAAACGGCCATTCCGTTCCTGGTGGGAACAAAGTACGATCTCTTCATAGACATGCCAATGGAGGATCAAGAAGAGGTGACTACACAGGCGCGCAAATTTGCAAAGGCCATGAATGCCAGTCTCATCTTCTGCTCCACCAGCGCCTCCATCAACATCCAGAAGATCTTCAAAATTGTCATCAGCAAAGCATTTGATTTGAGACTCACCATTCCAGAAGTGACACATATAGGTGAGCCAATCCTGCTATATCAGGGCGTGTAGAAGCGGCCTTTTCATTTGCTCGTTGATCCAGATACCCCGGGGAGTTCCTTTTATGCATTCATCTTATTCGTCACATGCCTATTTAAATAAACGATAGGTCGTTTTTTCAACTCGATTCGCCCATTATTTCCTGTAGCAACTCATCCTTCTTGAAAACGTTCACTATCTCGTCCTCTACCACGTTCAGCTTCAGCATCCTCAGACGTTCACCTCTCAAATTCTGTTGGCTAATGATCCCGTTCTCCACGAGATCCTTGACCACAAAGCTGAACCCGGGAATACGAATATTGGAACCATTGACATTGAACAGCTTTGCAAATGTCACCTTCTCGGCCTCCAAGCTCTCCTTGAGGCGCTTCATATAGTTGACCTTCAACTGGTTCTCCAGCTCGTAGATCACGTCTCCCATGGAGTTCTCTTCCAAACCAGACCTTCTCTTTCTCAATACCAAGCAGTAAAGAAAGAGCTTACCCAAAAATGGCAGAGTATTCAGATAGCTGGATGTGGGAGACGTAGTTGACCCGGTGACCGCTTTCATGATGTGATCCATGTGAACTGTGTATATTCCTTTCTTCTCCTTCTGCTGAAGGGGACTCAGTCCCATGAACTCCAATTCTGCAATCTCCACCGCTCGCATGCAAATCATCAATGCCCTTCTGGCATCTCCACTGACACTGGCGACTTTTCTAGCAGCAAACTCAATGGCATCCTTGCTGATGGCCATCTTATCGCTCTGGACCCTATTTAGCTTATTCAGCCTGTGCCTGATAATTTCGGCGAGTTCCTTGAAGTTATACCCACGAAATTGAACTCTTGTCAATCCCAGGCGACTGGAGATCTTGTTGCTGAGAAGACGCTCCGGCAAATCCATGGTATTAGCAATAGCAATAACGATAAGCTTCGAATTCGCGTAACTTGGCCAGTTGAAGAAGTTGTACATAACACTTTGGTTTTTGGTGAATACCTGATCCAGCTCATCCATTAGAACTACAAGTGGTCTCTTGGCCTTTCCATTCACGAACCAATCCTCCAATAGTAAAGCAGCGTTTTCCGAAGAGATTCTGCGTCCATCGATCATCTTCCAAAGACTATCGTAGGTAGCCGACGGAGAAATCAGTTTGAGTCCATTGATTTCGGTAAAGTCGAACTGCAAATCTTCCTGGAGCTGTTTAACAACTTCCCTGACGGTGGCTGTTTTCCCCGTCCCTGGGGTTCCACTCACGTAGAGACAACATCCAGTTTGGGACTGAATGGCATCTTCCAGTGAGGTATAAATAGTAGCAAACTCTTCTTCCCTGCAAGGCAAGGCGTTAAGTTTGGCACCAGTATGCAAACGTTTCCTAGTTTGGATGAAACCTTCTAGTGTTGTGACTTTATCCACTTCATGCTTTTCACCAACAGGCTCTATTTGCTCGGTGCTTTCAAGCTTCGACATACGTGGTTGTTGAGGCAAGTGTGGCACGGCCATTTCCTCTTTGAATTTCAATGATTTTTGAAGAAGATCAGATATTCTCTGTTTATTCTCGCGCTCCCGATAGAATTCGTTCTCTTTGTTCCTTGGTCGTCCCCGAGGCTTCGGAGTTTCAGATTCGGAATCAGATTCTGCTTCCTCCTCCTCCGGTGTCTCACTCTTCTTTGGAGTCCTTCTAGGTCTTCCGCGGGGCTTTGGAGTTTCAGATTTGGGTGTGGGTTTTGGTGTGGCTGGCTTTGGCGTTTTGCTTGGAGTCTTGCTTGGTGTTTTGCTGAGGGCTTTCCTTGGTCGCCCACGTGGTTTTGGGGTGTCTGACTTGTCGGCGTCTGCTTGAATCTTTTTAGGCCTTCCAGGGCGCCTTTTCGTGGGATTTTCGGGAGCTTTAGTCTCTTTAAAATCGTCATCGCTACCTGAAATATTCTCTGGTTCAGACTCTGAATCCAGGTCGTCGGCTCCGCTTTCAAATTGTTCACTATCCCTATCATTCTCAGGTTCTCCTTCTGAACCTTCTTTGACAACTACAGACTTCTTGGAGGAAACAGTCTTCGGGGCCCTGCCCCTTCTCGTTTGTGGCGTTTTTGGGGTCTTGACTTGCACTTCGTTGTCGTCCTCTTTTCCATACAGCAGTGCACGCAGCTTTGCAAAAAAACCCACAGAATCACTTTGTAAATTAGGATAATACTCTGTCCAGTCGAACTCTGCGCAGGACTGTTCTCCGTCGTAGGCTCCAACGCACACAAAAACACCGGATCTCTGTTCAGCTGGAACCAAATCGAAATCACTCCGTGACACTACCCGAACAGTGTCAACAACATCTTTCAAAAGCAGTTGTCTCTTCAAGGGAACCACTAGCACCTCTGTCGGCTGTTGGGAAGCTGAGCTGGAAGACGTTCCAGAGACCTTTCTCTTCTTCGGGGACAGCAAGTCCTTTGGTATATCGGAGACTTTCACCAATTGCGCCACCAAAACCTCCAGGTAATCTTTAGTGCCCATTAACACGTCTGTGACGAGCAACAAGGAGTTATTTTGGTGAACAATTGCAACACCTACTTTGATCTCCATCTCTCCAGCCGTGTGCTTCACCGTCAGCTTGGTCTGGCTATTGGACTTCGTCGAGCCTCTTCTAGGTTTTCTGACTTCATCATCATCAAAGACAATTTGCCATTGACCCATCTGATGGGGGTTCGAAGCCATCTTTGCAGATATTCTTGGTACAACCAGAAGCAACTATCTATTGTTCTGGACGCGTGTTTGATCCCGTCACAAGAAGCACAGCCTTGGGTTTGCGTGCATTGATCAAACTTCCTGATTTGCCAAAACCCCTTCTGAGATCTGACACAAGACTGAAACCCCAAAACGTGGTGTATTTGTTGCTTTAGCTTTGCTGAAGTTTTTCGCCATGAGTACCTTCAAGTCACAGGTCAAGAAACCTTTTTTGAATCTCACGCCGCGAGCAAGGCTCTTACAGGTAATCCGGCTCGGTTCGGCTGCTTTGTCTGTCATCTTCCTACTCATCATCATATGTCTCGATCTTAAGAGCATGCCTGTAGCCAGGCTCGACTGTTCACATGTGGAGGTGGCTAATGGTTTGTTCTCTGCGTTGCAGTCGACTGTGAGCACCGGTGCTGTCGGAGTTTTCGAAGGCTCAGATGTTAGTCTTACCACCTCACAGGTATTGATCCTGACCGAGTACGTACAACAGCAGGTGGAAGACGCGCCTCAGTTCATTGACTCGAATATGATGAACTGGTGTTTTGGAAATTACAACTACACCAGTGAAGTTGTAAACGGCGAAACTTTTTACAAAAAGAAGCCTCTGTTCTACAAGTGTACGGATGTGGATAAGAACTATGTCTTTGATTACAGAGGAGAACTATCCACGATTGGGCTGAACATCATCCTGGCCTACGCTTATTCAGACTCGTCGTTCTCAGCTGAGTCACTCACTGACTCCGTGCAGTATCAGCCGGATGAGGCCTATCTTAAGACCTTGAATGAGAGAAGGAAGTCCACTAAGGCCGTTCCAGGCCTGTTCTATTCCACTGTCTGTTTGCAGACGTTATTACTGGTACTCGGCATAATATATTATGGGAAACGAAACTATGCCAAGGATGACACGGACATGCCCATGGTGATTCGCCAGTGCTTTGCAGTGTTGTCTTTGACAGCGTTTTTGACGTTTCTAGCAGGGCTTTGTCTCACTACCAAGATCTATTTTGAGATACAGACATCTGTTCGTCAGGAATTAGGGGCTTTCGGTCTCTCTGTGCATTTGGGGAAAAGCTGGTTTGGAATGACATGGACTAATATGGTGATATGTCTGCTTTCTATGCTGGGCTGGTGTGGTCCACTGTGGTGTGGAAATATCCAGCCAAAGAAGTCTCTCGCCGAAAATGATGTATATATGAGGGAAAGAGACTATATTGGAACACCACTCAGAAACAGAGCAGCTGGATTTGATACCTTCGCCTTCACACCTTCAAGTGACGAATACCTTGCGGAACACAAGCAGCTATCCTCTGAGAATACTGACCATGGGACGACCTATGACTTTAGCGAGCAGTCTACTGAATCTCCAGATCTAGGGCGCAGCTTAACTCTTGGAAAATCCAAATACACTCGCGAGAGATCACAGTCTCTGGGCAAACTACTCAATCCCAGCGGGATCCCGCGTTCCAATTCCCAAAAGTACAAAGGTGTGGTCAGCTTCAGAGATGGCGATTACGGTCGCGACATCTTTCTTGACGAAAACAACGGTCTCGTATTTGGAGATGCTGTTTCCTTCGAGGAACATTATATGCATGACGGAACGTAAGCTTCTGTCGTGTAACGAACCATTCACGAATTTTTTTTTAGCGCGCGCACTTATTGTGCGGCGTTTCTCATTTGGCGCGTCAACAAGCATGTCTTTGTTCATGCTTACATCGTGCTCCTGGCGTTATATTAGCTTTTCTTAAGTATCTAGTGGGACATACATAGCATAATTCACGAAGGTTGCATAATTACTACATCACTTCCTGACTTGTTTGTCACATCTTTAGGTGCATGTTTGCAAATAGGGTCTCCATATTACAGCCAGCGGAAGCGACTCATGAGGCATTGGCTCAAACCTTCGGCAGCAACTGTGCTTTTCCTTTTGGTGGTGACTTTGTTGGAGATGGAGCTCGGAGTGACAGGTTTGGTGAGACTGGATCCAGGACGGACGAAGTGAAGTCACACTCGTTCTCGGGCGTGAACACCGACATGAACACCAATTCCATGTTCGCCAAAGGCAACGTAGAAGGCGCCAATGTCTTTGGTCAAAAGTCCAGCGTGTTTGCAGGAGCTCCTCCACTGAATTCGGACACCAACGGCTTACCAGAAGAGTTTGGAAGAAGCAGTTTATCTGACAACAGGAGTTCGCCCTTTGGTAGCAGTGAAAGGATATCCACCAGCGTGAGTCCGTTTTCCAACCAAAGATCAGCCAGAACAGTCTTTTCCTCTGTATCTCCAACAAAGCAATTTCTTCTGGAGAAACCGCTCGAACAACCCAAAAAGTTTTCTTCTTCTCACAAGCAGATCATCGCGATTGGTATCCTCATCTGTGTGTTCTTCCTTGTGGTTCCACTGGGAACAGTCATAACGGTTCCGTCATGTCAATCCTCATCTTCTTACTGTATTCCTCAACTCTCCATGAGGTGGATGGACAGTGATTCAAACACGCATGCGGCATTTTCTTCAGCGAGAGATGCCGCCAGTCTTTTGGGATATCTTGCAGAAGATTTGAGCTCAGACAATGATGACGATACAAGCACGCTTCAAGAATTGATCAATGCAAACAAGGATGGTGATCCTGAAGGTCCACCTTCCTATTTGGGAACAATCGATACGTTCTCGTTGGACAATGTCTTTGAAATAGGCTACTGGGGTTACTGCAGGAAGAACTTGAAAACAGGAAAGTCGTTTTGCAACAAGTGCATGGGACTTGACATTCCTTCTGTGCTTGTACGTGATGCTGGAATACAACTTGGTGATGTTTCAAATCATTTCAACCCCTCGGTGCTCGGCAAATCGTTTGTGACGGCGTACTACGCAACTCTTAGAAGCTTGAAAGAGCTTCCAGGTGTTGCTGGAGAAGTCATCAGAAATGCTTTGTTAATCAGAAATACAGCCATAGCCATCGCCATTCTCATATCAGCTGAGTTTGTTCTTTCATCTCTGAATATGCTGATATTTTTGTTCTTGGTCGCCATGGTTTCGTTTGACAGGTCCTTTTACTTCATCAAGGCAAGACTTTTTGCTACTCTCAGTGTGACCGCGGGTATACAGTTCGTGGTGATGCTTTTAGGTTTTTCAATTGCTGCTGGTCAAACAGAATACACATACACTTTGTCGCAGGCAGTGGACACGTCTGGTTTTGCGTCTGTATCCTATGGTTATGGTAACTACATAGCATGGGCCAAGTTCTTCAGCAGCTGTGTGGTATTTGTGTCTATGCTCGCAATTCTTGTAAAGAAGCCCTGGAATCCAAAATATAGGGATATTGCGTACAAGAATTGAAAGTTTCAATCCAAAGTTTCACACAAAAAAAAGAGATTTAGTAGTATTCACGATAGTGTAAGTTCTTGAAAAATGTGAGATTCTTCAGAAATTTGGGAAGAAGCTGTGCAGGAAACTTGAACATGTGAAAAACAGATAGAGTAAAGGGTTAAAAAGAATCACAAAGAACAATATTTCGAATAATAACCTCCAGGAAGCTGTCATTAATTTTCGACCGCGTCTTTTCGTTACTCCAATTAAGCTCCACCCCAGGTTACGTGCGGCTCAACCTCTCTAGCTTTGAATGCATGCTGCGACCTGCAGTACTACGATTCAACTAAACGCATAAACAACATATTTTTACATAAAAAACTGCAAATTTTTCAACATCAGAGATAACCAACTTTTCTATTGCTCTCAAGTACTACAGGATGAGGCAAGTAGAAAAAAACTTTACGAGTACACAAGCAGCTTAAGTGTTCATGTAAGTGCTTGGGTCGACACCAGCCTCTGGGTACTCAGAGATCTTGACATCGAATCTCTCTTGGATCTTACTCAAGACTTCCTCGTCCTCCTCACTGGAGACAAAGGAGACAGACAGACCCTTGGTACCAAATCTACCAGCTCTACCAACACGGTGCAAGTATTGGTCAGCAACGCCTGGCAAATCATAGTTGATGGCGAGGTTGATTCTCTCAATATCGATACCTCTACCAAACACATCGGTAGAGACACAAATACGCTTTGAAAAGTCCTTGAACTGCTTGTAACGAGCAATTCTCTCCTCTTGAGGGATACCCGAGTGAACGACGATGGATGGGAAGTTGGATTCGCAAAGCAAGGCGTTCAAGGCGGTGGCTCTCTTGGTGGATTTGACGAAAATGATCACCTGGTTAAACTCCAAGGAATCCAAAAGCTCGGCCAGCTTGACATTCTTTTTGTCCTCGGACAATTTGATGTAGTACTGCTGCAAACCGTGCAAAGTCAACTTCTTCTCATCATCGACGTAGATCTCCAATGGGTTCTTCATGAACTTCTTGCAGATAGGCTTGATCTCTGGGGAGAGAGTGGCAGAAAACATCATAACTTGCTTCTGGAAGGGGGTAGCACGGAAAACTTCTTGAACGTCGCGACGCATGTCTGTATGATGTTAGTAACTCGCAATTCAGAGCGGCTTAAGGCATTGAGGTATACTTACCAACTTGCTCCATAACTTGATCACACTCGTCAACAACAAAGTGCTTGACGTTGTTCAAACGGATCAACTTGTCTCTGACCAAGGCGTTCAATCTACCTGGGGTACCAACAACGATGTGAGGACAGGTCTCCTTGTTCTTCAACTTCTCGGCATCCTGCTTGATGTTGACACCACCGTAGAAGACCTCGGTCTTGACATCTGGCATGTACTTGGAGAATCTGGCATACTCGTTCTTGATCTGGTATGCCAATTCTCTGGTGTGACAGATGACAATTGTGGAAATCTCACCTGGAGTTGGGTCCAATTGTTGCAACGTGGACAGGACGAAAACAGCGGTCTTACCGAGACCTGACTTGGCCTGACACAGAACATCGTTACCCAAAATGGACTGTGGAATACAGGACTGCTGGACTAGAAGGGTGTTAGTTTTGACTAGAAAGGCCAGTGCAATGAGGAAAGTCAAAATCCGTTGAGATGCTATCAGACATGTAGTCTTCACTTTGTACCACTTTGGGCGTCACTTTGTGAGCACTTTTGGTTCCTAAGAACGTATAGACATGTGAGATGGGACTCACGTCAATGGGCAGGAATGTCAGCCAACATCAGAAAACGGAGAGTACAACTAGGATATCTCCATAATCATATCAGGTCAGCTAAATCTAGCGCTTGAAGCCATCACGGACCCAGACACAAACTACTTAGCAGCACGGTCAAAAACACATCGGAATTGATGGCTCAGGTACAATTCCGTATCATTGTGTTCTGATGGTATCAGTGATGAGGCAATCGTGAACAATGTATAGTGTGTGATGAAGGCTTGCTCAAACGGACTGTTCTTTCCCCTGATTGGAGGAATACTAACCTTCTGAGGGATGCTCAAAACCACAGTCGGCAATGGCTCTCAAAAGCTCTGGCTTCAACAAGAAATCTCTGAAACCAGTGGTGTGGATTCCAACGTATGAACCCTTCTTCTGGGCCTCATCCTTGCCGTTGGAATCGGCAGCCTGTGCGGCAGATGGGGCCACGGAGATTTCTTCCGAGTCGGAGTAATCCAAAAGTTCTTCTTCACCTTCTGCAGACATTTTAATTGTAATCAATGATGTATTGTAGAAGCAAGTGTAACAGGATGTCAAGTGTTGGATGACACGAAATCTCGACGGTGGAGGTTTTGAGGAGAGGGGTTACCCTGTCTCACACGGGTTGACTTTCCAGACGCGTTGGACGTGGGCCATTCTACTTTAGCCTTTAACTCTGGACTATTATTTCTGGAACTCAACTTGATTTATTCATCACAATGTCGAGTGTGGAGTTTGAAAAGATCTACTTGAACTCGTCGAGGACTTCAGGGAAATTCCGTCTAGCTGATTTCGGTTTGGGATGGAAGGCTGGGCCAACTCCCAACGCACCAAATGTCAAGAACACCCCGTTCTTGTTGCCATCGGAGGAGATCCTGACAGCCAATTGGAGCAGAGGTTCGCGGGGCTGGGAATTGAGGGTTTACACAAAAAACAGAGGCGTGGCTATGTTAGATGGATTTGATCAGCAAGATTTCAACAGTTTGAAGAGCGAACTCCAGAGGACTTTCAGCATCCAGTTAGAGGTGAAAGAGCACTCTCTGCGTGGCTGGAATTGGGGAAAGACCCAGCTCGCCAGAAACGAATTGTTGTTCAACGTGAACAACCGTCCAGCGTTTGAGATTCCGTACTCGGAGATTGGAAACTCCAATTTGACGGGTAAGAACGAGGTGGCCGTTGAGTTGAATTTGGCGACCAAGGATGATGAAATCACCAAAGCAGGAGACGAACTAGTGGAGGTGCGTTTCTACGTTCCGGGCAACGTTGAGCTTGAAGATGAAGATGTGATGGAAGATTCTGAAGTAAAGAGCGCAGCAAGTGCCTTTTACGATCAGTTGAAGGATAAGGCTGATATCGGTCAGGTCTCGGGAGAAGCAGTTGTTTCTTTCAGTGACACCTTGTTCTTGACCCCAAGAGGTCGTTATGACATCGATATGTATCCTACCTCGTTGAGATTGCGTGGTAAGACGTACGATTACAAAATACAGTACAAACAGATACAGAGAATATTCTCGTTGCCCAAGGCAGATGAAGTGCACAATCTCATCATCTTACAGTGCGATCCGCCATTGAGACAAGGTCAGACCAGATATCCATATTTGACTATTCAGTTTGCCAAGGACGAAGAAACCGAAGTGGAATTGAATTTGAGCGAGGAGGAGTTCACCACTAAATACGCCGACAAGCTGAAAAAGAAGTACGATGCTCAGACTAACATAGTCATGGCCAGTTGTTTCAGAGGACTCACTGATCGCCGTGTCATTTCTGCTGGATCCTTCGTGTCCAAGTTCCAACAGGCTGCCATCTCATGTTCTCTGAAGGCAAGCGAGGGACATCTGTATCCGCTTGAGAAGAGTTTTCTGTTCGTCACAAAGCCTACAGTTTTCATCCCCTTTTCTGAAGTGCAAACCATCGTGATGTCGCGTGTGGGCACCTCTGCCACCTCGTCTCGTACTTTCGACATGGAAGTTGTGCTAAGAGGATCTGGGGGAACGCATAACTTCGGCAACATCTCGCGTGAAGAGCAGCCAGGTATCGAAGAGTACTGCAAGTCAAAGGGCTTGAAGGTGAGAAACGACGAGAAGGAGGCATTGGAGCTTATGGATGCTGCTCTTGATGAGGACGATTCAGACGACGAAGATGTGGTCATGCGTGGGTCTGCTGACGAAGACGGAGAGAGCGTGGACGAGGATTTTTCCGGTGACTCTGATTCTGACCCAGCCGAGGAGTTTGACTCTGATGCCAGTCTGAGTGGATCTGAAGATGATGAGACTCCAGACAAAAAGAAGCAGAAGACTTGAAGCAGGCTGTGTGTGTACGATAAAACTAAGAACTAAAGCAATTAGAGCAATTTCAAATGAATGAAAAATTCTTTGGGTCTCAAATAAATACAAATTCTCTGGATCGACACCCATCTGTAAACTAGGTCTCATCGATATCGAGAAAGTTGAAGTCGTCAAACTCAAAAATGTCCATGTTCTTGTCCACCCAATCACATCCGGTATCGGCAAATGGAGAAAGAGACGTCTTATTAACGGAACCAAACATGCTGCTATAGTCAGCTTCTTCAAGAAGGTTCACGGGCTTTGGCTTTTCGGGCGCAGGCCAGTTGGTTGGTGGTGCGTCATTGGAGATGATCTGCTCTATCGAGAAGCCACCACTGTTGCTGGCATATGAGGGTGCTTGGAAAGTCTTGAGACTTGATGATGGAGACGACTCGCTGAAAGGCATAGCTGGAGAATCAGAAGCAAACGTTGACGTGTCGTCCGAAATCGAGGACCATTTCTCACCCTGCGGCAGAGGGGTCATACTCAAATCATTCTTGACTGGGGGCTCGTCTTCGACCTTCACAGCAATCTGTTTGTTTTCCACAAAAGATGGCTTGACAGATGCATATAGCTGAGGAGAAACCTTGGCCAAAGTCTCTTTGATATGTGAGATCAGTTTTGCTGACAAGTTCCAATGCCTTGATATGGCATATATCCCATTGAGCTCCAGGGTAATGTACATAACATACACGTCCAGTTCATCTTTGGTAACGTTTCCTGCGAGGGATGAATTTTTGTTCTGGCTGACATAGCTCAGACTCGACTCAACCCAGGAGTAGGCACTCAGATGAACCAGAGTCGCGAACGCCAGAGAGCAGGCAAAGAAGGGTGTACGGGACGTCACTCGGGAAAGATTCGTCTCTATTAGCGTCTTTGCAACTGAATTTGCACTATCGATTGCCTTCCTTGTTTCTATGATTTTGGTGGACTCTTCCACCTTGCTCGCTGGAGAAGAGAACTTTTCGCTCTTCGTCTGATCGGGTCTCCAAAGGTAGGAGAATGGTCTATGCGTGAAAATTTTCGCATAACTCCCTAATATTATCGATTGGTGAACACCTTCGTTGACTTGGCCGCTTTTGGTTACCAACGACGGTGCGTTGAACATCTCGGGATTGTCGATCTTCATCTGCCATCTGTCAACAGCAGCTCGCATGTGAATGACATTGACACCAACATCGCCTTCCTTCGTGAGAACAGTGACATTGAGCTTGATGGCATCATTCACCAGCTTGCAGCTCTCAGCACGCGTTTTGTAGTCAAAAACTTCTCGCAGGGGAGAAGACGGGTAAAACGTGAGAAGCGTTTCTGATGCCAAAAGAGATGTGTCAAAGCCCGTAGCTGTTCCACTAAGAGTGTCGAAAAAATAGACGTCCCACAAGGTTCTTCTTGCAGTTTCCAGTAGAACGTCTTTGGGGACTCGTTCCAGCCTTCTTGCAGACCCCAGCTTATCCACTACCGAACCAGCAGCAGTTTTGGGCAGAGTGGCTCCATTGGTGAGAAAGCCATTGGCATCCACAAACTCCCCCTCTATTTTGTCTTGGTCCAAACGATGGAGCTGAAACTCGAACGCCATTCGCATGAGTTCTCGCCTTATAGCAACAGAGAAATCATGCAGCGAAGATATGTGTGTTACCATTGACAATAGCAGCATGGCCTGTAGAGATACCAGATCCTTTCCGACCGATCTGATATATTCCACCACGTTTTCCACCAGGAATTGGACCGTTTCGATATCTTTGGAGTACTTGTTTGTTGCCTGGCCAGTTCCCATGATCTTCATCGCCAGCAGCAGATCGTAGTTGTCCGGTATCCTGGACAGATAGCTGAAAATTTCGTTCTTGGGAGGCAGAAACGGATGCGCATTATGGAAGTGTTTGTAGTAATCCTCAACAATTTTTGTCACATTCAAATCTTTGGTCAATTTCGGTAGCATCACCGCGGGTCGCTCGGCGTTTCTGAAAAACTGATCCTGTTTCCAGTCAAAGGCCTGTTTCGAGGCATTGAACTTGGGATGGAACTCCATTCCTCCAGGAGGCTTGTTATCGTACCAACTCATACAAGAAGGGGTCTTAGTAGCATTTTCAGGTTTCAAACAATCTTTGCTGCAATTCTGGCTGAGATGGGCCTGTGGTGTTTTTGCACATGGGAGTTCCGTGTCTTCTATATCCACTGATCTGGTGGTGCTGGTGCTAGTGCTGGAGACCCTTTTTTCCGTTCCCTTTAATTTGGAGACTCCTTTTTTCCTGGACCCTCCCCTGTTGCTCTTCACATACGTACATTCTCTGTTCATGGACTCACATCTCGTGCAAACGGGGAGTTTGCCATCACATTTGCTGTGCCTGACTCTGCACTGTAGACAGGCCCTTGAGACATGTTTAGCGTTCGGCCTGATCGTTGTATCTGGCAGTGGAGGCTGCGGAGAATTCTGATCCATAACAATGAGACATGTAAATGGGATCCTATTCAACCAGAAATTGAAGTACCCAATACAATGGTCTGGAAATGTAACTTGTTGTTGTTTGGAGCCTTCAGCTGGAGAGGCTCTTACTAGCCACTAACGATGGCTGAGAGCATGACACCACCGGGGTTTGAAAACTGTGTAAGGCAGTGCAGGTGGGTTTAGACGGGGGGTTTAGTATCACGAATTTGGGTGCAATTTTAATGGCAAATGGCAACACCAGGATATTTTATATCGGGTTTTGTATTTTATGAATTTATAGCTACGAAAAAGGTTGTGGTGGGCGGTTATTGTGCTGTCAAGTTGATTACTTCAGCGAGACGAGATTGGCTAATGCATATCTGAATGGGATAACGGTTCCATTGCGAGATGTTTCAACGGGGTTTGTGCTCAGCAATCGGTTGCTTTATTTTTTATTGTATTTTGAAATATTACTCTCCCTTCTCGTAACAATCGGTATATATTCTTATTGCATCTGCTACGTTTTTTTCCTCCAATTTTTCGATAGAGTAGAGCAGCTTTCGTTCTGCTATTACCTAGTTATGCACCATACGCATTAGCATAGGGCTTTGATTACGAACCCCTTCTTCGGTGCAGCCCCTTCAAAACAGTCAAAATGCGTTTCATTGAATTTCCCGTAGAACTCCCAGTGGAAATTTCAGAGCTCTCTGTAGCGTTTCTACTTGAAAACGCCGATTCTGATGATATCTCAGTGGTTTCACCCTCCTCGGCTATCAGCTCTAGTCTAGCCTCCAGAGATCGAGATGTGTGTTCATGCGGATCCCTTCCCAAATACAGCCCATCCAGCAGATCGATCTCATCTCCCTCAAGGAGTACTGATTGACTTACATCGGCTTCTTCTCGCGTGTTGTTTGGAGTGGCAGCCTCTGCTTGCGTATCTGCAAGGTTGAATGTGTCATCTGCCGAGAGTATCGGGAAGGACTCGTACTCGCTATCAGCAGGGGCTTTTCTCTTAGTCCCAGATTTAGTTGAGACCGGGGTGTTTGGAGTGGACTTGTTCTTGGGCTTGAGTGTTTTCTTCAAAGCGTTCTCTGCTTCACGGATCCTTTTGGTAGTCTCGATCTCGCTCAAAAGGGCCTCTGAGTTGAATTCCAGCGGAGGCCTCAAATCATCAACACCTAGACTGTCGTCCTCAAAAGTAGGCAACTCATAGGCTGCTTTCAGCAAGTCGTACTGTCTTGCTTTTTCTTGCAACAACTTGACTTGTGGAGCAATAACGCGTCTCATCTCTATAGCTGTAGTCTTCACCAACAGCCTTGCCGTGGGTGTCAAGGGTAACGATAATTGGTCGTAGAGATATTCCAACGATTTTTCAGAATCCGTATCAGAGTCATAGTCCGCCTCAATTCCCTCGTGTTCTCTATTAAAGAGAATTTGACATTCGGGGTTGCCGGGCTCGAAGCTGGACTCCTCGTCTGAGCTCTCGCTGCTTAGCCTGAAGCTGCTATCTGATTGATTTGACACCATCGTGAACCAGAAAAAAAATCACGCTTTTGAAATTGGACTCTGTTCAGGGTGTTGCAACTTTGAGATTGTTTGGTGCCTGTTTGAGTTTTGTTTGGAGTCTCAGCGTGAGGTATCTACACCATTAGTCTGCGACGAGTCACAATGATATATCACAAAAGCACGAATGTCATAATCGCTATCTTCACAGGGTCTCTTCAGAATCTCATGTCATCTCTCTGGCTAATGGAGCAACTAGATCTCCTGCTCTGGTTAAAACACTCTCAATTCTACCTTTGAGTACTCCTGACTCACTAACCACAGACATGTCTGAAAAGTCCACCTCAGCCTTCTTTCCAGCAATATCCACGGTAACGCCTGTAATTTCGTCAGCGTCTGGAACTTGAAGGGAATCACCAAACTGTACTCTGAGTATTTCGACAATTCTTTTAATCCGGGTCTTCTCAGACGCGTCTGTGTGCAGAAGAATCGACTTGTCATCATCGGACTCAACCTTCAAATCATCATCTTCCTCTTCTTCTTTTTTCACCACAGGCTCTGTGGAGGACTTTTCACTGTCTTCTGGTTCCTCTTTGACCTTAGGTTCGTCATCTTCATGATCATGACTGTGGGTATGGGGTTTCGACGACATCTTCACTGAAACAGGCGAAGAGTCCACACTCATAAGGATGGCAATCACAGAGTCTGCAATTGCATCTGTCATCATTCCACTGCTCCATTGCACGGTACAAATATCTTTATCCTCTAGAGTAACAATGACAGAGTCCATAACTCTGACAGTGTACTCGTCTAGCTCATCGGCGAGCATCTCCACATAACCAAACATCTGAGACAAGTGCCAGTGGATCAGCTGTCTTCCTGCACAACATTTCATCACCTGTCTCTCCCTGACAATTGTGGTAGTCAACCCGGAATATTCACGAAGGTCCTCAAGCTTCAGAAGGTTTAGGTCAAAATCTTTCTGAACCAGCACACCACTAATTATCTTCTTCTCTTTCGGAATTTCCTCGGCCATTATTCCCATGGCATGAGCAATCTTCACACCTCTGAACTTCAGATTGACCTCTGCACCGTTCTTGGGGTTGTAAATCTTGACTTCTTCATCTGTATTCTTGAACTTCTGGTATTTTGAGAGCAAAGCTGACTTCAACCTTCCCATGGGCCGGGATTCGCCATGAACCAATATAATGGCTTTGGGGTTCACAAGCTCGATGAACTTTGCGTTTTGCTCATAATCCACATGGGCAGCAAACGAGATCTCCTCGACGTTCATTCTTCTAGGGATCATTACCTCTGAGTTGAACGCGGAGGGTATTTCCGAGGGCTCAGTGAGAATGTCCTTGGCCATGGTTCCCTCAACGGAATAACCCGTCATGATCAAGGAGTTGAGAGGATTGGGAGCCCATCTCTCCAGAATCTCTCTTGAGAACCCGCTCTGAAGCATACCGGGCGACGCCAGTATCACGCATGGATCCAGGTCATCAAATCTCTCCAAGTTGCTTATGCTTTTGATGTGCTTGAACTCAAATGGGTTTTTGTTTGTTTCTGTAAAGGCCTTTCTTATGTTCTCGTTCATCATATTCACGTATCTCTGGTACACCGCCATACATCTTTTTGCCAGATCTGAAGCGTAGAAAATAGGAACCCGCTCTAAGTCTTTGTGGGTTTCCCAGTACTCGTCCAAGATTAACAGAATCTCTTGAGCCCTCCCTAGAGCAAACACAGGCAAAAGACACCTTCCTCCTTGTGCTAATGTCGCATGGACTATGTTCATCAATCTGGTCTCTCTCTCGATTCTAGGCACATGGGTCGCAGTTCCAAAAGTAGACTCCGTGATCAGGAGATCCGGCCTCATCGGAGGAACTTCTGCAGATGCCAGATGTCTGTCTTCTTCTCTCGAGTAGTCTCCAGTGAACAGGAACTTGATTCCACCGATCTCCACAAAATACATGGCCGCACCCAAAACATGACCTGCATGGTACGCCGTGAATCTGATACCATCCACTTCTATCGTGGAGTGGAAGTCAATGGGCTCAATTCGGTCAAAGGACTCGTTCAAATCTGCATCAGTATATAGCGTCGAGTTCGTCTGGTCTGAGTCCTTGTCGTTATGTATACTCGTGACTCTCACGAAATCGTTCAGTAACCATCTATATATAGCCTTTGTAGGATAAGTCATGAACACTCGGCCCTTGAAGTTGGTATGCCTCATGACATAGGGCAAGGACGCGGCATGGTCCAAGTGGAAATGTGTGATGAGAAGAATGTCAACCTTTGATAGGTCAAACTCATCGTAAAACGGTAGAGATTCAAGACCGTTGTACGCAGGATGAACACCTGCATCCAACATAATTGTCTTGTCCTTGTATTGTACAATATGACATGAACGACCTACCTCGTTGCCTCCTCCGAGACACACGAATTTGACGGCCTCACCATCATCTGCCTGGATGATTCGACAATTGTTAGTAAAGCTTGGGTCTGACACAATCAAAAATCAATGAGTAGATGATTACATACTGCTGCTTCTCCTTCAGTAGCCATATTCTTCGAGTCAGGCCTGGATGTGCTCTCTTGTAGACGGATGAATGACATTCTTCACAAGGTGATGATGATACAACTGAGAAAAGATAGGTGTCTGTTTGGTGGATACACTACTAGAAAGTTGCGAGCTCGTCGATGGTATTCTCGAATGGAACCAAATGGTGAATAACACCGTTCTATGCAAAAGGTTTAATCAGCTTTATTGAATACGATAATTCAAACACGATGAGCGGAATAGCAGCACCTAATGAACCCCTGGATATGATCAGGCTGTCATTGGATGAGAAGGTGTATGTGAAGCTGAGAGGGGCCAGAGAGATGGTTGGAAAGCTACATGTAAGCACTTTATGAATACTTCTGAAAAACTGCTGAGTTGTTCTTAAACTAACATCACATTTTAGGGTTACGACTCGCACTGCAATGTCGTTCTTGGAGATGCTGTGGAGACAATCTACGAAGTTGATGATACTACGCTCGAAACCAAGGTAAGTACACTATGTGGGTGCTCCAAAAAACAGACGAGGACTAACAAATTACAGACTACCACCAAGAAATCAGATATGTTGTTCATTAGAGGTGACTCTGTGATTTTGATAAGTACGGTATCGGAATAAAAGCTGGAAAATGCTGTATATTGGCGGAATAATGCGAAATAATGACGCTCATGTGTAATAGTTGACCGACTCTCTTCAAATAGAATTGCGTCTCTGTATGGATCTGAACCCAGAGTTCTTCTTCTTGCCTTGTAGCCAGTCCAGTTGACCATCCTTGTCCAGTTTCTTCAATGCTGAGTGTGCGTAAGCCGAGCCAAGTCTATAGATCTCATCAAACTTGGAGAAATCAAGTGTAGCATAGGCATCTATAGGCGGCCTCATATAGAACACTCCTGGAGTGTTCTTGGCCTTTTCCAATGCGTTGACTGAAGCAACATAAGCCAAACGCATTTGAATTTCCGCCATGCTGGGAGCATTCGCGTACTTCGAGAAGGGGTTCCACCGGTTGAAAATGACCCAGGACCCACTCAAAGCATCACCGTAGTTCATAGGTGTTCTATCGTCCACAGAACCCACGTCCACAGCGAAAATGATTTGGGCTCCACGGTTTTTCATCTCCTGAACTGTCAGATTATCCACGTAGCCTCCGTCCATTAACATAGACCCGTTGTCCGTAATTGGCGGAAGCAGGCCTGCCAATGTCATGGATGCCCTGATATACCTCCATGCATAGCCCGACGAATGGATCTCCATCACTGAATTGGTGATATTTGTGGAATTGCAGTAATATTTCAACCAAAAGTCTTCGATTCTGCTATCACCAAATGCTTTCCATATACCGCGATTGAACTCATGACCCGTGGTGTACGAGGTGACTGGGTAAGTCAAATCAAAAGCCATTCTCCACAAACTTGACACTCTACCCGAGAATTTTTTTGCTCTACCATATATTGGAACCAGGTCATAATCCCTAGCATAAAGACCACCCACAAAAGCCCCAATCGAAGTGCCTCCAACCATATCAACAGGTATGCCTTGATCTTCCAATGCCTTGATGATGCCAATATGCGAAATGCCTCTTGCTCCACCACCACCAAGAACCAGTCCAATAGACTTGTCTGATAGTAGTCTTGCTAGCCTCAGGAAGTCGTTTTTGTGCTGTGCCATGGGCTGGAAATATGGCTGGGAAGGTCTCAGTCTGAGGAACTCGGTGTTACTGATCATGCTCTCGACTTTGGCCTTTATAGAGGTGATCCTAGCTTGAGAGGTGGTGAAGAGGTTCATCCTCGTGGGTGCTTGCATATTTCCGGTTTTGTTACCGTTTTTGTGCAAGTTCATCTGAATATGGTGATGCGAGTTGACCCAGATACGGTTTTTCAGCCATTTGGTAGTCGAGCCCGGCTCGACATATCTTTCAGGGTGGATCAATATGAGCTCTGTTCTGGCAGTGGTTCTCATTTTAACAAGTAATCTCTCGTACTCTCCAACTTCTGTCGATCCCTGAGCATCAGCGAGTAACAGAATGCAATCGCCGTGGGATATACATGTCCTAGTCCAAGACGAGTTCACCGGAGTGTCGATGACGTAAACGACAGTCTGGTATTTCTCTTCTAGTTCCGAGAAATAACCTGACTGTTTCATTTTAGACAGTTTGTCAAATGCGTATTTTCCCAGTTGGCTCAATGTTGAAGCCTGGTTGAGAGCAACCACGGACTGTCCAATTGACTTCAATGCACTAACAAGTTTCTCAGCAAAAGCCGTGGTCGGAATTCCATGTGTCATTGGCAATATTGTAATCGTGCGATAATTTTTAGCATTCACTGGGATTCCAGGTGGACCACCTAACATAATAGGTGACTGTCCAGGAGCAGTTAGTTCACTGGGAATGGACTGCTTGACCCTCTCTGCGACTATTCTCGAAACCTTAATCATTATGGATGGGTTTGAAAGAGATAACATTTCAAACAACCATCTTGGAATACGGGCAGACTCTGAGTCACGTACTGCCACTAGAGTGCTCTGTCTTCCGGTGGCAGTCAACACTTCGATTTCACCCAGCGATTCACCTTGGCCGTGTTCACCCAAGACAGTTGCCTCTTCGTCTTTGCTTCCTGTCTTGATGATAGACCTGAATCTGCCGTTCAACACAATGTATATACCATTGGCAGGCTCTTTTTGGTAGTACAAAGCAGACCCGGCTTGGGTGTGCACCCATTCAATAGCGTAATCGATCAAAAGAATTCTCCTGTTTAGATGCTTCAAAAGATGACTGGCCAACGCTAATTGCAAAGGAGGATACTTCTCGCAAAAATGGTTGAGACTATCCTTGGGAAGAAGCGCACAATAGACATCCGTCTCTGCAACAACATCCGTAAAAGATCTTGAAAGAACTGTAGAACCAAGATAACTGGCCAATTGACCTGGTTTGACAGAGTAAAGCGATTGCTCTTTTCCCTCGTTATCAACAAAATCCACCATACAAACACCGTCAATGATATAGAACAGTCCGGGTGAAGCTTCTCCCTGGTGGACTAACTTTGTACCCTTCTTTATGTATATGATTTTCAAAGAGTTTGAAATCTCAGACTTAATGCTATCGTAGTCGATCTCGTCTGTAGGACCACCTTCATCCCCATTGGTTAAAGATGCAGTGTCTAACGAGTATACTCCCCTCGAAGATGATGAGGAGAACGCTCTATTGTTGAACCTGGGAGACCCATTGAAAAAAGGACTCGATATGGTGCTCGATGGAAATGACGACCTCGAGTCCCCGCCATTTCTCCTTGGCTCGAAAGCAGACTTGTCCAACTCAACAATTTTGAAGATGTTGTCAATCAGACTTGACCGAAGAGCAATCTCTTCTGTTTCCTCCATGGTTGACGAAAACCCTCTTGATTGGTCATCCTTAGACTTGTTTTTCTTCTTGGATCCCAAGAAATTCTCACGGCCTGGAATTGGAACACTGGACAAAAGATCACCCGGATTCGAGGAAGGTGTGCTCTTCATCCTCATTCCCTTGGTGTCTCCAAATCCAGGTTCAGCAGTGTCTGCCGTATTCTCATATTCGAAAGATGTAGCATTCTTTGCAAGCGTAATGACATCATCGTGAAGATATGAAGGCAAATTATATGTAGACTTCTCGTTTACGCTCATCTCGGTGCTGAAGATCTCTCTGGTCATACCTAGGTATGAGTGGGCAGCTCTGAAGGTGACCCTGTGCAGACGAGTCAGGATCATCTGAATAATATGCGAAGTTGACTTTGGGTATTTCGATGCCACTCTCAAAAAAGACTCCTTTGGAATCACCGAAATGGTGGCATTCCCCTGAGGTATGGCCACCAGCTCTGGGAGACTTTCTGTGTTGCTTCCGTTTAGAACTGGAATATGGGGTATATCATCGATAACAGCCTGTTCATGAGAATTTTGCGATGGCCTTCGGTCAAGAAAAAACCCGTCGTTTGGAAAAGGCAATCCTCTCACAGCTGCAGCTGCCGTTGCCGTTGCCGCTGGCTCCGTGCTGTCTCTCGTAAGAAGCTTCAACACACCGATAAGAGAAGATAGTGGAGAGCCACTCTTCACAACGTTCAGCATTTGATATTTTACACCATTGATCATGATTGTTTCCTTTGGCTGATCAAAGGACGTGGGATCACCTGTCGAGGTGGGGTCAGCTCCGGTCTTACAGTAGATGGCCATAGACCCTTCCACCACTATGGCAAACCCAATCTTATCGTCATCCAGGAAAACCATCTCAGTCGACTCGAACTTTTGTGTATTCATGCTCTTCGTTAATTCCTGAAACACAGCTGTCTCTAGATATCCAAAAATTTTGATTGCCGACAAGAATTCGTCCAAGTAGCTTTGTCTTGCTTTCTGTGCCTCGTCTCTAGTCTCTAGAAAAAGATCCATCTTGAGGTGCTCCCTCTTCGGCTCCTCCGGTAGTCGCGAATAAACAGTCAGATACTTGTATCTAATGAAAGCATATGATATAATGGATATGACACTCAAAATGAGTATAAGCGAGGGAAACGACAAGGTTATCGAGAAGTTCCACGACAGTAACCTAATGATAGAGTTAGGCAGATGGTACAGCAATGCACGCAGGATCAAAGCGAAAAACCTGGTTACCAGCCACATCAGTGTCGTTAAAAACGAAGCCTCGGTGGTTTGGATATTTTGGTCCATTTTGCAAGCAAAACTTGTGTGACAACTGAAGGAATCGGTTGCTAATCCTCAGAACTTTCTGGGGTTTAACTTGATAGCTTTTTGGTATGCAACTACTTGATGAGCTCACGTGCTCACGTCAACGTGCGGATTTTTCAGATAACTATATGATAGATAGAGATTAGTTGACTTGGTGATATTCGACTGATTAGAATATTTAAGGGAGATTCCTCGAAGATGACTGTTTGTTTCTGATTTTTTTAAAGAGATTCAAAGAATTTTCAGTCATTTAACCCGCTGATCTTTTACAGTCTAATTGACTGTTCGAATTATTACCTAAACTCCTATACCCAATAATATACTACAATTGCTCCAGATCGCGGTCCACCACAAACTTGAAAAGCTTGTCCACCTTTGAATCTTCTAATTCCTCCACTTCCACGTTCAGATCCCTTAAAAACGACATCGAATCGTTGATGGACTCCACTGTATCGCTCAATTCCTTCTTCTTCTTGTTCAGCTCCCCATAGAGACCAATCACGTCTTTTTCCAGGGACTCCAGTAAGCGCTCCTGCTTCGCCTTCACTTCTAGTCTTGACTTTAACAGTTTTGCTTCCAAAATCTGGATAGGTGCCATTCCACTTAAAAACAACGGCTCGCTACCAGGCTCAACGGAGCGCGCTTTCGCTTTGTTAATGAGCTTATCCAGCGAATCCAGCTTGTTCTTCAAGTCACGCTCCTGGTATATCAGCTCAAACTCAGACATGCATGTGCTCCTGAAGTATTCCACTATCTGTTCTCTCGCCGTTTCCAATGCACTTCTTCCCTCATCTGCCTGATACATTGGATAGCACGAAACGAGCTTTTCCAGGGTCAATGTTTTGACGCACTGATCAAGCGCTTTTTCCACCACCTCCTTAAACCTGTCAAACCGTAATAGCTCTGTTTCAGCCATGGATAAAGTATTAGAATATAATCTAGGGCGTTGTGTCAAGGCATAAGTAAATGAAAGACTCGGTTTAGTTGATATTTGATCTTGGAGGCATAACAAAACACAGCGGTGCTCATAACCAGCGATGAGGTGCTGAAATTTTTTTAGAGTTTATCTATAATGAACCAATCTCCCCGTGATCAAGACCAATTTTTATCGCATAAGATTCTACAAAATGAGAGTTATTGCGGCTGCTGATGATTCGGGATCCATAAAAGGTGAGTTTTTGATTTTCACAGTTTAGGCCGAGGCCCCTCTGGATGAATTACTAACGGCAATGTTCCAGAGGTCATTTGCTCCAGAGGAACAGACACTTCTGTGCAAAAGGCCACACAGCCCCAATCTGTAGCCACTTTTGCCGAAAGCTCGAGGAAAGAAAGGATATTACAGATGTGCAGAGATGACACCCAAATATATGCAATGAGAGCCAATGGAGACTTGTGTATCTACGCGATTGACACATTGGAGGAGGTGAAGAGACTCAAGGGCTTGGGCAAGGGCAATTCCATATCTCTGTTTGTCGGTCTAGATGGTTATTGTTATACTTGCACCGATAAAGGAGAGGTCTCTGTTGCTGATCCAGAAAACATTTCCAAAGAACCAGTGAGGTTTCAGATCAAAGGTGATATCAGCTCGTTCGTTATGAACCAGTATCGTGAGGGAGTGTTTGCATTTGGAGGCAAAGAGACGGATCTACAAGTGATTAAGCTGCATGAGCCCAAAGAAGACATATTCAAGAATCTGAAAATCTCTGTGGTTTTCAAGGCTAAAAATCTGAAGAACGATCACCTGGATCTGAGACAGCCCGTCTGGCCCACTTGCATATCGTTCCTGGAGTCGCCAAAGGATATCGTTAGAGTGGTTCTGACCACAAGATATGGCCAAGTCAGGACATATGACTCTGAGAAGGGAAGAAAACCGGTAATCAACCATAAACTCAGTGAGCATCCGTTGATCACCATGAATGTGTTGAATTCAAGCGAAATCGTATGTTCTGATACGCATGTCACCACATCCAAGTTCGATTTTATTCGAGGAAAATTGCTTGGAAAATACGCTGGTGCAGTTGGTTCCATCCAATCAATATACAACTATGAAGACTCGCTACTGTGTACTGGTGGTTTGGACAGATACGTGCGTGTGTTTGATCTGGATTCTAGAGAACAAGTTGCAAAGGTCTACGTTGGGACACAGATAAGCTCGGTCATCCTATTAGAAGACGACGAAGACGATGATGATGAGCCCAGCCTGGATCCAGAATCCAAGAGAAAGCTGAACGATGATGAGAATGACGAGTTATGGGAGCAATTGGAGAAGAAGAAGTCAAAGAAATCAAAGGGCAAAACAGTGGTTTAGAGGACCTTTGCCGTGGCCGATGGACCTATCAGCATATTTGATTCCATTGTGCGTGTAATGTATAGCCAATTGAACCGAATCCCTCAGGGAATGTTTCAGAGCCAAATTCGACGCAATTGACGATGCTAAAGTGCATCCAGTTCCGTGGGTGCTCTGGGTGTTGTCGATGTAGGAGTTGTAGAAGACCGTGAACCTTTGTGGATTAGATTCATAGAGAACGTCGGTCAATAACCTGTTATCAGCCTCTGATTTTGCTTGAATACCAGCTTCATTCCACGGTATATGGCCTCCTTTTATCAAGGTCGCACTACAACCTATTTCCTCCTGGAGTCGTCTGGCCATCTTCTTCATAGCATCCAAAGTGGGAGGTAGGTCATCCGATGAGGGCTCAATGGCCCGATATAGCTTGCACGCCTCGACATAATTGGGCGTGATAATAGTAGCTAGGCGGTAAAGAGCTCCCATAGACCTCTTGAGAGTGTCGAGACTCGTGAGATTAAATCCTGAAGTCGAACTCAACAAAGTATCGATCACCAGAAATTTTCCACTGTGGTACCTCTCCAGAAGCGCAGGGAGAATGCGAGACACTTCCTCGGTAAGCATTCCGATTTTGATGGCGTCAATTTTCAAATCTTCAAAGTTTGCTACCAAAATTTGCTCCAAAAAGTGTTCGGGCGTGTTCAGCTTACTTTTCACGCCGGTGGTGTTTTGTACAGTAATAGAATCAATGCAGGTCATTCCATAGCAGCCATGAGCAGTTATTGTCTTGAGATCTGCTTCGATTCCCGCTCCACCCGAGCAATCTGATCCAGCAATTGTCATAACGCCGGGAATAAATGAGCTGGACATTTAAAAGTTTGTCATAGTAGGTGGGCGGATCCAACTGGGAAGATGGTTAAAGAGAGGGAGTCATATGGAGGCTACATGCGGTTAATACGGAGAGTTAGGATATGCACGTGACCGTGCGGCTCAATTTAAATGGTGATTGGAAAAACGACATCATATTAAACTTTTTCTCGTATCTCGTTATAAATAGTTTGTGATCATGGAAGCATAACCAATCTTCCATTGATCTTACCCTCCTCCAGTTTTTCAAGTGATTCAGGAAGGTTTTCAAGTTCGGTGGTGTGAACTTGAGGCTTGACCCTACCCGAGCTAACCAGCTCCATTGCTTCGATCTGTTCCTGAGAAGTACCCCAGAAGTTACCAACAATTTTTACTTCACGCAATGCCAGGTTTCCCAAGTCGAAAGTCAGCTTGCTCGAGCCCAGACCCACTGGGAAGATGGTACCGTGGGACTTGATATACTTCTGGCAGATGTCGAAGGTGACCTGCAGCGAAACGAAGTCAAAACAGTAATCAAACGAGGCTGGTTTCCAAGAAGATTGGCTGATATCGGTATAGAATTCATCCGCTTTGAATTCGTCGGCAATTGCTTTGGATGCGGGCTTGACATCAACGGCAACCACATAGGCTCCAAATGCCTTGAGGATCTGAAGTGCGTTCGATCCCAAACCACCCAGACCAAACATCAACACCTTAGAAGATGGAGTCACTCCGGAATTCTTGATAGCATGGTATGGAGTCAAGACAGCATCAGAGGTGGCAGCAGCAACTTCGTAGGACACGTTATCTGGAATAGGCAATAGATGGTGCGAATTTGGCACCAGCAGGTACTGCTGGTAACCACCACTAATTCCCAGACCGTACCATTTCGATTCATTTCCAGTACAGTCATTGTCATGACCGGTACGACACATCTCACAGGATCCACACGAATTCAGTCCATGAACAGCATAACGGCCTCCCACCTTAAAAACTTCAGGGTTGACCGAGTCTCCGATCTCCACCAATTCACCAGCAATTTCGTGACCGAGCACGTACCCATCGGTAGGGACCTCCAATGTTTCTCCAATGACGTGCAAGTCAGAGTGGCACATTCCTGCAGCCTTGACCCTAAGAAGAGATTGGGCACCAGTTGGCTTGGGGATTGGAACCTCGGCCTTGACGATGTGACCGGCACCCTTCTTGAAGATGTAACCGGCCTGGGTTTTGGAGAGAGCAGACATTGTAGTTGAGAAAGATCTTGCTAAATTTGCAACTTTTGACATCAGAAAAAATTATCAGCAGGAATGAACGTGGGGAAATTGATTATGCTTTATAGTTAGTTTTTCCCCCCACATATGAAAAAGCGGGGGTGATCAGGCAATTTATAAGCCGATAAGAGCACCAGTCCCAAAGATATCATCCCACATGCCAGCAGCCCAATCGCCTGACCATTGGATGGAATAAACGCGCAGAAACATTTATACTCCACAGAAGAGTCGGCTGATTGCTTCATTTGCTGCAGTTTCATAAAACCGAAACGCACCCCCCCCCTTCTTTTTGATCACCTGAGCGCTTAATCTGCGCGATTAACTGCGTATACGCGCCCCCTGAATTTTGTCTCTGCTGAAAGTTGTAGAAACTCCATAAGCACAGCTAGTTCCAGTTGTGTCTACTCGGTACCTTAGAATTAAACGGTTGGTATTAATTATTTGGTTAGAAGCGCCGCATTTGTCCAGAACTGTTAATTATTCAGGGGGAATGTGTTCCCGAGTAGTGTAGTCTCTAGTTATCGGGGTTTTGTTTATCCGAATCTGAGGTCTCGGTATCGGCATTTTCTTTGGGCGTAAATTCGGGTTTATTCTCCAGATTCTCTTCGGAATCATTGGAGGGTTGTTCCGTGTTTGGAGCAGTCTCTTCGGTTTTTTCTTCGGAAGGCTTTTCGGTAGCTTCCTCGGGCTTTTCCTCGGATTTGTCCTCAGGTTTCTCTTCGGGCTTTTCCTCGGGCTTTTCCTCAGACTTCTCCTCAGTCTTTTCCTCAGACTTCTCCTCAGTCTTTTCCTCAGACTTCTCCTCAGACTTCTCCTCAGTCTTTTCCTCAGACTTCTCCTCAGACTTCTCCTCAGTATTCTCCTCAGTCTTCTCCTCGGTCTTCTCCTCGGTCTTCTCCTCGGTCTTCTCCTCGGTCTTCTCATCTTCGAATTTGGTATTCAAAACCTCGGCAACCACTTCCGGTATCTCTTCAGGAACAGGGTTGGCCTCTGCATATGCTACAGCCAGCTGTCTGCTCAACTCCAACGCACACTGCGTCGTCCTAGCGGTCTTTCTCGACTTCTCACCATCCTCAAGGAATGGGTCTGTAATTGGCATCGAGCTGTACATGTTGGTCAAATACTCCATCACCCCCACAAGCACCATGCGTCTCACCTTCAGATCTCCGTCCGTAATCATGAGCCCCATGGCATCCCAACGAGTCTGAAACTGTGGTTCTTCAACGACTTCCCAGTACGAAACTGATGTAACTGTGTAGATGTTGTGTTTTCCCTTGCATACCGGTCCAGCCCCGTTATATGAAGTTGGTACGCTATTGAAATCCAGCGCCTGTGAGACCAAATCTACTCTAAACTGGCCCTGTGGGTCGGATACAAGCAAGAACATACCAGACCTTTGGACTGTTTGAGTGCATCCAACATCGTACTCTGTTATACGGGGGAAGCCAACCCAGGCTTCAACTCCCTTTGGTAACTTGTAGTCCCGTGGAATTGGCATCAGGTTGGTGCCGGACACAATTGAACCATCGTCAGCTGCATGGTCCGAATTGCTCTGAACCTTAAAACAGATTCCGTAATCCAAATTACACTTCAGCACAGTAAGGGGGTTGTGGTTGTAGATGAAATGGATCATACCTTTCGAGTGTTGGGAGTCATAAACTTGTTTGGTAAAGAACGGAGACCAGTCCTTTTCAACCTCCTTCTCGTCCTCGCCACTAATTCTGAACTTGACCAGATTGGATTTCTTTCTCAACGGGAAAAATGCGTGCATAGATCTACGCCCTTCAAAACGTGTGAGCATTGAAAATGTGATCACGGGTTCGGTGCCCATGTTACCCTTTTTCAGGGTCATTCTGGGGTCTTCTGGACCAGATGGAGTTCTCCTTTGGTAGTGGAAGGGAATATCCAGGATCATGGGAAAATTTACAAAATCAGAAGCTTCAGGTTCATCCCGGTAATCTTCCTCTGAGGTATCGACGTCGATATACCGTATTGAAGTTTTGACCTCCTTCCATGTCTTGTCAAAGGTCTGGGCTTTCAAGAATGAGATTTTTGGATTCTCGCGATCACCAGACGTCACATACATGATCCTACTAACAACCAAGTGCACTTGCTCACTCTCAAGCCACTGGGAGGCAGCAACGAATCTGTACCATCTCTCAGCCAGAACCTGTCTTGGGTCCATCTTCAGCTCATCCTTATCAGCGACATATCCATCCCAGGGGGACTTCAACAACTCCGCTCTAATATCTTTCATACTGTCTTTCAAAACGGCAGAGCGACTTCTCAACTCGCCGTTATACCGGATGTTATCGCAAGAGACCTCGGAGTAATCGCTGATTTGCATCTCGTTGATGTCAAGGTTGCCGGCAAAACTAGTGACATTCAGTTTATCATACTCTTGCAAGTGGTTCAATCTTTCGACAATAGGTGATAATTCGGGGTATCTTTTGAAAGACTTATCAATCTCGCCTATTCTGAAGAGGTGGCCTATTTCGGTCAACGGCCCGGCAGTCAACAAACCAGCATGAACCGAGTGAGTAGACACAATAATCAACCCCAAAATCGCCAAAGGCACCAGCATGACAAACAGTAGTCTTCTTGTAAATATGCTAGTGAGGACCCTGTGATGGGCCAAGGTCTGTTTCAGCACCAGTACGGGTTTGAAGCGGTCCATTGTGATGCTACTCAAGTATCGTGTTCCAGGTTTGACTGAAATGCAGCCAATATATGAGTTCAATAAAACGGGTTCAACAGCAAAATATCACTGCACTTGTCCGCAATAATGACCCGTGATATATGTGACGAAGTCCTCAAAAGCAAAACCGCTTCAGTGTTGTGATTGTTTTGTCTCCGCTCCTTTGAATCGGGCAAGATCTATTTTTGCGTCTATAATAGAAAATTAATTTACGTGCCGGAACCAATGTTTTCCTAAAAGGGCGTGGTTTGGGGCTGGGATCTGCACTTTAGACAACGATCTAAATTTTTTATACGCAGATGTTATGATCAAGAGTGCAAACCACAAATTGTTTATTCACCCGTTAAGTCATGGCAGAGAAAATAAATTTTTCCTCTCGCTTCTTATCTGATCTGATGTATACCGCACTACTGATAGAGTCCACATTCACGCACAGATATACACTCGTACACACAAAGATGGCAAGAAGTAAGTGACACCAGGGAATTTTAAAGCTTTCTGCTTGTTCAATTCGGTTGCTTTTCGGTGCCCAATACTAACCTACCAGGACTCAATGCTAAGCTGCTGCCTCCCAAGAGACTCGTGAAGTCCAAGGCCAAGTCTGAAATATTTCACGGTAAGATGAAGAGCAAGATCGAAAGGAGAAGAGACCAAAGTGAGAAGTTGGCCAAGCTGAGAAAGTCAGATTGGGAAACCATCAATAACGAGGTGATCGAGAGCAGAGAGGAAAGCCAGAAGTTTGAGATCGACTCCAAAACATTGACTTCGAGTGGGTACGAGGTTCTGGAGGACAATGTGGAAGCTTGATATTAGTTTTGGGGGCTTCAGGCTTGTGTATATTAAAATGGAAAAAACTTTGAGAATCCAATGGAGCCGTAGAAAGATGTGGGGATGGGAGCAGGACTTGGGGCAAGTTGCTTTTGCAATTTATTTGAGGCGAACTGGGATTTAGAATGCCGAGTGCTTGGGTTATGCCAAAACTAGAAAATCACATAGAATTTCTTTCCCCAACATACGGATATATACATTTACCATCTGCGATATCTGATAGCCAAAATCTAGGCCGGCCATACTCTGGTCGTGTCCGATCCACTTCTCCGCTATCTTGATTCTTGACATTGCTAGGCTATCCTCCGAATGTAATGATAATCAGCTTCGAGGACTCATTCATATTATCATTTATCCAGGCAAACTGTGCCTATGAATTGCTATTTGTGTTAAGGTGTACTAATCGGGTTTGCTGTATTCACTTGTTGCGTTGCTTTGGGGAACCCTCACTAGATTGATTCACAATGGATTACTACTCCAATCTCTCTGGGACCTTCGACTCCACTCCAACGCTGTTCGAGATAATATCCTCAAATGAGCTTCAGGATCTCTTATCACCCTCACTACGATATGTGTTGATTTATTACACGCATAGGTACCCTCACTTATTGCTGAAATTCACCAACAGATTTGACGAGCTGAACCTGCTGTTGAGGGGCCTCATAGAGTACAGGTTTCTGAAGAAATGGAACTCCACCTTTACAGAAAAATTCTATGGCTTGAAGAGACAAAACTCTAATGGAATCAAGCTGTCATTTGATCCAGGTCAAAGGCTCACCAAGAAACAAATATATGCCTCCTGGATCGAACTGATGCTTGCGCCGTACCTCAAAGAAAAGCTGGATGTTCTCCACGAATACCTGTATCCCCAGGCCCTCATGAGCAGAATCAAGAATGATAGTTGGCAGAACTGGTTGAGATTGAAATTTATCAAACTATATCCGATTGTCAAGGCTGCGGTAAAGCTGGTCAACCTGGTGCTCCAATTGCTGTATCTTAGCGGAGATGTCAAGTCGCCCAGTTTGATCATGTGGCTATTGAAGATCAACTATTCAAGGTTCAACTCTTTGGACTATGAAAGGGCAGAGTCCGGATCAGACTCGGGAAAGCTCAGCTCTCCCTCGCACAGGATCAGGCCTGTCACTTTGAACGAGTCCCTCTACAATTTCACTGCGCGTTCTTCAACGACTTTGCGCAGATCACTCATGATGGCAGGAAACTCAATATTCCCAGCAATGATATTTTCACTGAAGATCATGGAATGGTGGAACAGCTCGGATTTTGCAAAGCTGCTGCAGAATGATCAAAATCTCATGGGCTTGAAGTTGGCACCGCCAATGCTCAACACTGAGTACAGAACGACCGAGAAGGAGTGTCCTCTGTGTAAGAAGGAGCTTACCAACCCGTCAATTATCGAAACAGGCTACGTTTTTTGTCACTCTTGCATATTTCCATACCTACAGGAACATGGTAAATGTCCAATTACCGAGAAGCACTTGCACGGTTGCAAATGGAACGAATCTTCAAAGAACTGGGATGTCCTGGGAGTTAGGAAATTGATATTATGATCGTTAATGATACCAGGTTTTATTCTGAGTCAGATGATGCGTCATCATCGTCGCTCTCGTTTTCACTCGCCGTATCGTCCTCGGAATCATCGTCGTCGTTACTGTCGTCACTGTCGTCGTCTCCCTCGCTGTCGTCTGTCCAATCGATGTACAGGCTCTTGATTTTTTTCTGGCAGCTTTTGAGGATCAGCGGATCAAAGGGGAAGAAGGATTCCAGATCCGTGAACTCGCTGTCTAATCCCACCAGTGAGTTTTCACCAGACAGGCGAGACCGTTTGTTCTGCTCGATCACAGAAAAGCAGTAGCACACGTCGTGCTTCTGGGCAATTCTAGCGAAAATCAGCACCACCGTCTCGTTACAGTATCTCAGTGGGTTGAATTTGGAAACCACCATTCTCTGGAAGAATCTAGTCCAGTTGACGTTGGTCTCCATTAGGGCCTCGCATCTGAAGCAAAAGATGTACAGAACAGTCTGAAAAACACAGTAGAAAAGCTTGAAGTTGGTCAGAGAGATGGTATTGGCCTCTATTTCAGATTCTCTCTCAGCAACAAACTGTTCCAGCCATTCCATCAAATAATCCAGGACAAACATGATCTGTGCGGTGGTGACCTTGGCGGAACGTGCAACGTACGAAGAAACGTACTGGATCGACTTGATTCTGTTCGAAATCACCTCCCTCGGGTTGAAGGTAGTATCCAATAGCATCGCCAGAAATGAGTCGATCATCTCGTTGTTTTGCTGTGATAGGTGGAAGAGCAAGTATTGGATACATTTGGTGTAGTGTGTGGATAGTATATGCGACTTGAAAACCGTCATCAGATTCTGGAAATTCCTCAGTTTTTCGTCCTGTTCGGTCTCGAACCGTTCCAGTAGTATTAGCATTAGCGAGTCCAACTTGGCAGTGAAATTTGATACCTGATCGTTGGTCTCAATCTCTTCGTCCTCGTCGAGGTCATCCAGCTCGTTCTGGAGCTCAACATCCATCTTGATGCAATTTTCCACTATCAAACACCAGATCTGATAGTTTAACTCGGGTGAGTAGTCTATGACACAAAGCAAGTTTTCCACGTAGTTCACGAGCTGCGATTTGTCCATGTACCTGTTTGGAAAGGACCTCTGCAACTTCTCCAGCAAAATGCTTGTTCCTGTAGGCACGATTTTCAACAAAAACTTGATCAAACCATGATGTATAGATAACTGGGAAAATCTCGTGAACTCCGAGACTATCTTCTGGAAAACACTCCCACTCCACTTGGGGATGCTTGAAACGAGCACTTTGCAAAAGTTGGAGTACGCCTGAACATACCTACCCTCTGTAAGATGCTGTGACCAATCAAGTCTTAGCACAGCGTTTATCAGCTCAGTGCAATGTCTATTGTCTAGTCTTGACATCTCATTGCTGAGATAATTAAGCACCATGGTCAAATGCGGTATGGAGTATGATTCCGGGTGCGATTCTGGCAGGTTCAGCTTCTCGACCAAATTCTCGATAGAACTTGGGTCATTGCGATCCAACTGAGTCAATGCCGAATTGACAAAATTTATCTGCATTTTGGAGCTGAAGTCATGGTCCACGACTCGCTTGAACTTCTTGTTGCTAGATCGTATATCGTGTGAGGAGTCGTCATCAGCAGACCGTTTACCCGACACTGCTGTGGACTCCATATTTTGGAGAGAGATCATCTTCAAAAGCAGATATCTGTCGTCTCACCACGTGGTATAAAAAATTGCGAGGAAAATGGCACACGACGAAACTGGTGAGTGTAAAGTGCCTTAGTCTTATCACCTAAGGGGTTGGAAATTCTAAGAGAAAAAAATTCTTTTGTCGTGCTCTAAACATTTGTCGTGTCTCAACTGATTGATGCCCTATTTCCTGTTTGGGAAGTCCGATGGTGTGGCACGCGTCGAAAGTGGCAGCTGGGAAGGGACGCGCATTTTGAATCCAAAACACCCCTTTGGGGATCTGAAGACATTGACACACTTAGTGGTAGTTTGTTCGTGCCTTTTGTGTTGATCTTGAAAATTGCAACATCTCAGACGTACTTGTCTTGCTTACGCTAATTGTTCTTACTGCTTATTTGGTTGTTTGCTATTTTAAAGTGATCTCTTTGTGATCTTTCCCTTGTTCGCAACTTGGTGAAGAGCTCTTTTTTCTGTCTTCCTGTTTGCAATGGGTGCTGCCGTTTACTATTCTACTGAGGCGTTCGCCAATCCAGGACCGGCTCCTAGGCCTCCTCAGCATCATACTGGATCCTCCGAAATGGGTCCAATTCACACAACTATCAACCTCAAGAAGAGACAAGGCTGGGTCCAGGTGAAAGACGAAGGCCTGATTTCCTTCAGATGGCCCAAGAAGTATCTCGTATTGAACGAGTCAACTCTAGATTTCTACAAGAACGACACATACAATCACGACGACGTGTGGCTTTCGATGCCTCTGTTCAATATTTCATCCGTGGTGAAGAACCAGATGAAGCCTAATTGCTTTGAGATCGTGCTGAGAAGACAAAGCTCTTCCAACCAGAAGTCTGTTTTTGTTAGTGTGAAGTCCGAAAAGGATCTGAACACATGGATTGATAGCATTTTATCCAAGTGTCCATTGACCCTTGGATTCTCTAACCCTATCAACTTTACTCACAAAGTCCATGTGGGCTTCGACCCTGCTTCTGGGTCGTTTACTGGGCTACCGGCAACCTGGAAGTCACTTTTACAGCAGTCACACATCACCACGGAAGACTGGTCCAAGGACCCCCTTGCTGTGATTGAGGTTTTGGAGTTCTATTCCGATACGATGGCTAGTCCCAGCCTGGACCTCGATGACAGCTTCGACCAGAACACCAAGCTCGTGAACTCGAACTTGAATGAATGGACTAAACCACCCAAATCTCAGCCCCCCTCTGTTCCTGCCGCCTTCAAGCCTACCAGGAGGGCTCCTCCTCCGCCACAACAGTCCCAGCAATCGCGGCCGAAATCACAGTTGCAGTCACACCAGGCTCCTATCACCTCTACTCCTCCAAAACAGTCTCCTCAGCACCATGCCCAACAAACTCCAACTGCACAAATGCAGGAGATGAAGTTGACTCCTGTGAGACGTGCTCCCCCTCCGCCTTTTCAGACTCCTAGTGGTAGCTTCAAGTCCGGAAGGTACCCAACGGACATCAACCACAAACCCACTAGTAATAACAACACACCAGCTGTCGCCACGAGTGGAGTCAAGCCAATGCCAAATCCTTACCTGCAGTCATCACCAACCAAGGCCAAAACCCCAATGGCCCATTCTGCTGCCCATGCTGCTGCCAATGCCGCTGCTGCTTCTGCTTCTGCTTCTGCTTCGGCCTCTATTCAGCAACAAAACAACAACAAACTGATGGTTGGCACGCCTCAGCGCAAGCAGAATGCGGAAAAGAGAATATCTACCATGACTGAGGCGCAAATCATGGCCAGGCTGAGGTCTGTGGTTATCAATCAAGATCCTCACAGCAGGTTCCAGGTGCTGGAGAAAGCAGGTCAAGGGGCCTCTGGATCCGTTTACGTCGCGGCACCAACTCAAAATCATCCTAGATTATACCAACAGTTCTCTAAGATCGCAATCAAACAGATTGATCTGTCGAAGCAGGGTAGAAAGGAGCTCATAGTGAATGAGATTTTGGTGATGAAAGACTCGAGGCATGACAATATTGTGAACTTCCTGGAGGCCTATTTGAACGGTTCGTATGACTTGTGGGTTATCATGGAGTACATGGAGGGTGGTGCTTTGACGGATGTCATTGAGAACAATGAGGGTTTAATGAACGAGTCGCAGATCGCTAGAATATGTCTTGAAACTGTCAAAGGTCTACAGCATCTTCACAACAAGAACATCATACATCGTGATATCAAGTCTGATAACATTCTTTTGAACAAGAGAGGACAAGTTAAGATCACCGACTTTGGCTTCTGTGCCAAGTTGACCGAGCAGAAGAACAAGAGAGCCACCATGGTTGGAACTCCTTATTGGATGGCACCAGAGGTAGTCAAAGTTCGTGAATACGACTCTAAGGTGGATATCTGGTCTCTCGGTATTATGTGCATTGAGATGATCGAAGGAGAGCCTCCATACCTGAACGAAGAGCCTCTGAAAGCTCTCTATCTGATCGCTACAAATGGTACTCCCAAACTGAAGCATGCCGATCTCTTGTCTTTGGAGATCAAGAAGTTCTTGTCGATATGTCTATGTGTTGACGTCAAGTACAGGGCCACAACTGAGGAATTGTTGAAACATGAGTTTTTGGCCAAGTCTTGTCGGGTTGATGAGTTGGAGGTGTTGTTGAAATGGAAGCAGGGTGATCAACAACAATAAGCCGGCATGAAGAGCAAAATCGGGCCTGGTGCTTGTTTGAGCGATGCTTGCCGGAATCTTTCGTTTCTTTGAATTTAATCCTAATAGCGCTTATCGCTTTAATTGACATTATCTGATTTTGGTCTTGGTATAGTGTAGTCTTCCATTTTGCTTTGGAAATTGTGAGATATGCGGTGATCGGCCATATTTATGCAAGTTTATTTTCATCTGACTCGACTCGATGATCACCTTCTCTTTCGTTTCCTTAACTTGACCAAAGAGCTCAAATTGAACAGTACCGTTTTCAGTTATCATCCCAATCTACATTTGATACTTGGGCGTGCCTCGACTAAAACGGCCTTCCCCAGTTCTTCGGGCATATCTATCTAAGCCAGTTCATCTCCAGTGAGCTCCTGAATTGAGTTGACAGGCTGAGTGTTCCAATGAGTACTGTTATTCATCCATTGGTTCTGTTCACAATTGGCGAGACCTTGACGCGGAGAATCGACTCCAACGTTGGAGTCTTGTTAGCCAGGTCTGGTTCGAAATCGTGCGCCGTGGTCGCGAGCTTCCCCTTAGTGTTGAGTGGTGACTTTCAACTCTCCAAATTTGATGGATTGCTGAAAGACTGTAAGTTTGGACCAGGTGAGAATTAAATCTGCAGTTTGCACTTTTCATACTAACACTTCTGCAGTTTCTGTGGTTTACCCAGCATCGCAATTCTATGGGTTCTACTATATAACATCTGCTGATGCGACCTCCGAGACAGTGATCAAGACACAAATTGCTGAGCTCTATAATGGTGCGAACATATATCTGGCCGATGATTCAAAAAGACCAGTAATGAGATTTGACAGGAACGTATTTGAAAACGACGGCCAGAACGAGAATGGTTCGGAGATTCCATTCGTCAATCTGTATGATCTTGTCAGCAACGACCCGATCGAGTACTCCATGAGGTCATTTGCATCGGAAAAAATTGCAATTGATGGTATATCTCACCATTTGAAAGACAGCACTGCAGATGCCAAGTCTAGTGAATCGACTCTGGCGAAGCTGGATACGGCTGTTGCCGATATGGAGGCCTTTCTGGCCACAATGAGAGGAAACATCGAAGACACATTACAGTACTTGTACAAGGTGCAATTGGGAGAAACGCGAAAGGACGATTCTTTTTTGATCCAGCTGGAAACGATACTGGATAAGATTGACCGTTTGTCGCGTGAAGATCACGATATACCGCGTACCAATTCCCGCTTGGTGCAAAAACTAAAGGACGAGATCAGTTTGAACCTATCCTTGGTGCTGACTCAGGTTGAGTTAGTGGAAAGGCAGATATGAAGAGGGCGTGGACAAATCTAGCGAACGCATGCATACTGTGGACGTATTCTGAGCTATGCTATACGATGCCACGGCATAATGTACAATATACAGGAAAAAACGTCTGAAATCCGCGCGGCTCTAAATACATCTCAAATATATACGGACGTGTTCACCTCCATGGAGTGATATTTTTAGCGCGAATGGCTCGAAATTGGCGGGGTGTGCCAACCTCAAAATCCCACCTCGGCGGCAGATCCTACATAATTAGCTGTAAGCGGGGCTGAACCGGTCTTTTAGTCTGCGTCATGGTTTACAAAGGGGGCATGAATAGGTCTAAGATGCCTTAAAAATAGTCTACCGCTTAACTTCGATGGGCGGTTGTGGCTTAAAGAGAACACTTCGTTTAAACATATTGATAGCGAGACCCATGTAAATAATATTCACCCGTAGGGTTCAGCGCTTAAGGTTTATTTTTTCCAAGGTTCGGTAAATTAGCTGGAGTTACACGCCGTCATTAGACAGATGTACTACTCATCGAAAAAAGTTGCAGATCACGGCAACGCGGGATTTTGCTACTACTCTCTCTCTTTTTTCATTGAACCATCTTTTGCTGAATCTTACTTTTAGTGTACGAGCTCTAGGGAGATACATGAGTCTCTGCGTATATTTATAGTGTATTTGATTATATACACCACTACTCATATACTGCGCTTGGTACACTCTGTTGAAGGATGACTCGCTTCAAACCGAGTCCCATATCTCGATCGAAACTGTTGAACCACTTTCCGCGCTTGTCGAGAAACCTTTTACTGGCAATTGGGGTTTTGTGTATCGTGGCATATGTTTGGCATGATGGACAAGGTACGGTTCCTGCTAATGTGGCTGCTGTGGTGTATTCAAAGCAGTCTTCAGCTAGCGAGCCCACGGTTGGTGGCGATATCCAAGCCAAAGTTGGCCAGATTAATGATCTTTTAATTGACCAGGACTTGAGTGTGATTGAGAAAGAATTGGCCAATGGTGACCTGGAAAAAGTGAAGGAAAAGGTGGGCAAACTGAAGGAAAACAGACAGGACGCAAAGTCATTAAATGCCAGGGGTGGGTCTAGAACCCAGGAAGACCTGATGATCAAATTGGACGCGCTTTTAGATGCAAAATTGGCTGCTCTCAAGGAAAGCCTGTCTCCCACAGAAATTAAAATAAGATCGGATTCAGATACTATACTCAAAGCTCAAATCAAGCCCAGGCTGCAGACGCTGGTAGCAGACCTGGCCGTCACAGAATCCATGCCAACAATACAGAAGTTTTACATCAACCTGGTGAAGGTTATGCTGGAAAGTGAGCCTCTCACAAAGCTACACAAACGCAAATATGGATTGTCCAATGATAAGGTATTTACTGTGCCTATGGACAGAGACTACACTGGGCCCATGCTGACTGAGGCTTTCCTGGATGACTGTCTCAAATTTCCTAAAGACTTCATAGAAGAGATGAAGAATTCACATTCGAAATTTGTGAACGATATGCCCAAGTCATATCCGGATGAGATGTACTCTGGCAGTGGTATTGTGATCAATGGAGGTCGAGAGTTCTCGTGGTTGGCATTACTTAGTATAAAGATGATGCGCGATAATGGCGGAACCTTGCCTGTAGAGGTGGTGATGCCTTATCCTGAAGACTACGAACCTGAATTGTGTGAGGAGATATTGCCTGGTTTGAATGCGAAGTGTATTCAACTGGCAGATCTGTTTGGAGAGAAGCTGTTGAAAAAGCTCGACTTCAAAAAGTATCAATACAAGGCGTTGGTGTTGCTGGCTACAAGTTTCGAAAATGTGCTACTATTGGACAGTGATAACATCCCATTGTCGCCACTTACCGAAGACATGTTTGAAAAAGAGCCGTTCAAGTCTAATGGGCTGGTCCTGTGGCCTGACTACTGGAGACGGTTCACTTCCCCAAAGTTCTACGATATTGCAGGTATCAAAGTTGATGATTATCCAGACAGGGCAGGCATTGACCAATACGAGAACCTGCGGGAGTATCTTCCCCGTTCGTACAGTGCGAAGGAAGAACTGCCCTTGCACGATCGTAAAGGTGCCATTCCTGATCCTTCAACCGAATCAGGTCAGCTGATGATCTCCAAGAAGCAGCATTTCAAGACTTTGATGCTCTCATTCTACTACAACTTCTATGGTCCAGACCAGTTCTACCCTCTGCTTACTCAGTCAAGACCTGGTGAAGGTGATAAGGAGACTTTTGCGTCCGCTGCTACTGTGTTCAATCTTCCATTCTACACCGTTCATCAAAGGGTCATGGCCAATGGCTATTGGGGAGACGACGGTTTTCATGGTTCTGGAATGATGCAATTTGATCCCATCACCGACTATGCCAGTGTCCAGACCTATCTCGCCAAGATGAAGGCAGGCGAATTGGGCACGTGGACGGATTCCAGATTGTACAACTTCATCAACTCCAAGCCAAAAACGCCGTTGTTCATGCATGCCAACTTCCCCAAGCTAGAGCCTTTCTCGATGATCAAAAATGGAGATTTGAAGAACAAAATGGGTGAAAGAGTGAAGATGTTTACCGCCTACGACTTCATGCCTCCTGCCTTCGAAAGGCATATCTGGGAAACCATGGACTTGTACTTCTGTCAAGAGCAATTGCCTTTCAAATACATCAAAACAAACTTCCCCGAGAGCGTCGATAAACGCAAGGAGGAATGTGCGGAAATCCAAGAACATCTGAAGTTCCTCACGGAGTTTGAGAGTGATTGGCTTCTGGAGAATGCCCAAAAGAAGTTGAATGGGGAATCCATCAACCGCTTGTTGGCTGATGCGAAAGAGGAGGAACCAGTACAGAAGGCTAAGGCCCAAGGAGCCCAAGCAGATGCTGAACCGGAGGCCTAATAGCTTATGCGTTTTTCATTCACGCATCTTTATAATTGTCTATGCAACAAAATTTCAGTGTAACTTTAACCTATCTCCGTGCGCTTCTTTGAGCTGCTCCGTTGCTGCTATTCACTGGGTTGGTTTTGCTGCAAGAACAGGGGGTGCGTCTACCACCTGCAGATGGTCAGACCACGCTATCACCACGTGAGGTTGACCAAAGAGTATGGAGAGATAAACGCCTAAAACATGAGTGGTGCGTATAAAAGGAAAACTTATTGCCAGGACTCAACGCTCTATGATTGTGGAAATAACTATCAGTTATCAAAATTCAAACGAACAATCTAATGAAAGGATTACTTTATTACGGAAACAGAGATCTTCGGTACTCTGAAGACATCGAGACCCCACAGATAAGAAATGCAAATGAGGTGCAAATCGATGTCGCGTGGTGTGGAATTTGTGGCTCAGACTTGCACGAGTATCTAGAAGGCCCACTTTTCATGCCCACGGTTGCAGATCATATTTCTGGCAAAAAGATGCCGCTGTGTATTGGACATGAGTTCAGTGGGGTGGTGAAAACCATTGGAAAGGATGTCACCCATGTCAAGGTTGGTGACAACGTTGTTGTGGAAGCCACAACACATTGCTCTGATAGGCCAAGATTCTGTAACGATCACTCCAAGTGTCTGGCCTGTTCTCAGGGTTTTTTCAATTGCTGCAGTCGTCTGAGTTTCACGGGACTTGGAACGGACCACGGTGGGTTCAGCGACACCGTGGTCGTAGGTGCGGATCACGTCTTGAAAATCCCAGATAATATTCCCCTTGATATCGGTGCACTGGTTGAGCCCCTGAGTGTTGCGTGGCATGCAGTGGAGCGCTCTAACCTGAGAGAAGGTCAAAGTGCTTTAGTTCTTGGGGGTGGACCGATAGGTCTGGCTGTTGTGATGGCCTTACAAGGTCACAATGCGGGCAAAATTGTTGTCAGTGAACCTGCAGAGATTAGAAGACAGTTCGCGGCCAATCTGGGAGTCGAGGTTTTCAACCCTACCGAACATGACGATTGTGTGGGTGCACTTAGAGAGCTCATGGGCATCAAGGAAGGATTCGATGCTTCATACGACTGTTCTGGAGTTCCTGCTACCCTTCTCCAGTCGATTGAGGCGTTAGGCCCTAAAGGTATTGCTATTAACGTGGCGGTATGGCCCAACGTTCCAACCCCATATATGCCTATGGATCTGACATTCCAGGAAAAAACTGCTACCGGATCTATGTGCTACACAATAACGGACTTCGAGCAGGTGATTGAGGCGTTGCACACGGGCCAGATGTCCATGGAAAAGGTAAGAATGCTAATCACTGGTAAGATCAATCTCAAGGACGGAATAGAACAGGGCTTCGCCCGGTTGATCAGCCATAAAGAGCAGAATGTCAAGATCCTAGTCACTCCCCACGCAATCTAAAAATACAAGCCGCAACAATTGGATCAGCCCCATACAAGTTTCGAGGGCTTAAATGTCCAAGCCTCTGCTAATTACGTGCATGAATAAATCCGGTGACTGTGGAGAAAGCTGAACCCCCCACCAATGGCTGAGCGGTAACAATCCGATTGCAATGGCCAATATGACCTTGACTCTCACGTTGGCTCGGTGGAACGGTCCAAGACACTCTCGGAGTTTCAACCATCTTAAAACCCCACTATTTGCTTCACAATGGAATCATTTTCGCTAATTCTGGCCGTTAATCTAAAAATAAAACGATGCAGGCCTCATCGCCGAATCGGGTAATACCACATCACAGCCCCTTTTTATTTTTCTGCACAGCCCTGAAACTGTCTTCGCAAATTGTGCTGTTTAGGATCTACATCGAAGATTTAAGGATAACTCTTCTTCTCTCTTTCCTTCGTGGTTTTCTAGTTTTACTCTATTAAACTTCTAGGTAATCTCATCTTCCTGTCTGTTCTTCAATGGGTTGTTTAAGATTCTGTTTCATTCTGATCCCGTCATTCTTGACTCTATGTGCTCTTGTGCTGAGTGCGATCGCGTGTTCAGGAGCTTCTGGTAAGAACAAGCTGCTCACGTCGGTGTACGAGTTGAAACTTAACTTCGCAGATGCTGATGTTAGTCAGCTGTTGAACGTTAGTCTGGGTGACAGTGTCTCGCTTAGCGACGTGGGGATTTCGGACGTGTACATCTTTGGTATGTGGGGTCATTGCCAGGGAAATCTCAACTCTTCCGCAGATTCCGGGTCTACCACTCTGGATAAGGATCTGAACCTGAACAGTGGTGTTACATGGACTCATTGCTCGAAGCCCAAAGCCATGTATGTCTTTGATCCCGTGTCTTTCTTCAGCGACCAGCTGAACGTCTCTTCGTCCCTCTCCTCTACTGTTGAAGATTTGGCCGATGACATTGGAATTTCGCTGCCATCCAAGATTGATGACTACACAAAAACAGCCAAGATTCTCTCAAAGCTGATTTTCATCTGTACGATCATTGGTGTGGTGCTTGCGTTCGTCACTTTAGTCCTAGGATTCCTCACAGGGTGTTGCTGCGGCGGTGGTATGGGATGTTTTGTTACGTTTATCTCATTGCTGTCAACTGTCTCGCTCCTTTTGGCCTGTGGTGCCAGTACTGGAATGTACCAGTATATTGTGCACCAATTTTCCAACGCTTCCGCCTATGGGGTCGATGCAACCATGAGCAAGAACTACCTAGGCGCCTTCTGGGGTGGTCTGGGTGCCTCTTTACTGTCCACGGTGTTCTGGTTCCTGAGTTCATGTTGCTCTTGTTGCGGTAGCGCTCCTTCAGGAGGCTGTTGCGGCAGGCGTGGACCACTTCCGGATGACGAGAAGCCAATGCTTGTGTATTCTCATTGATCTGAAGGTGTTGGTGTGAGGGCGTGCGTTTTTGAAAGAATCACAAGCAAACAAAAATGAATAAAAAAAGGATAAAAAGAGAACAAAAAACAAAGTTCAGGAGTGGAGCCAATTCAAACTCCTGGCTCAGTTGCGAGCGGTGTACAATACTGGGGACTATTCGTGGATAGCATATATTTATACTACATTAACAAAAATTACAACGATTTTGAGGGACAAATATCAGAATTTAATCTGCTGTTCATATCGCGTTATTCGGATATCCGTAAGATCGCAGGTTTGACAAGTTTGATTGGCGTAGCTGCTGAAAAATATGCAGAGCCTAAATATTAAGTGATAAAAAGCTGTGCCATGGCTCACACGACAGGATGGGCTGGGCTGATGTGGGATGGGTGTAGTGTGCCGGTTCGCATAGTGGGATGGTGGGATATTGCCGGTTGTATAGTGCGCCGGTTCTGCCGGTTCTGTCGGAATTTGACCGGCACTGGCAGTTGAAATTGAAGTCGTGGTTGTGCTAATAAACTCCACGAAGATAATCATGTGAGATCATACCCTTGAATACGGCTTGTACTCTACGCTATTATTCGCGAATTCTTTCTCCTATTATTCCTTCGAACCCAATTCCAATAATGTCCATAGTCTTTACACTTGCTCCATATCACGTTCTCGGCTTCTCGCTGTTATACGGAACAACCACTTTCCACTCCTATATCTCCTCCCCTATTGCCTTCAAGGTGCTTCCAAGGAAGGAGTTTGGAGTACTCCAGAAGCATATTTTTCCCGGGTATTTTCTGGCTCAATCTGTTGGTCCCATCCTGATTGGCCTAACTGCGCCATACACTTTGGCTACTGCTGGAATCGCGAGTTTGGTTGTTAGTTCCCTTGGCGGATTGGTCAACTACGCTTACTTGCTACCAAAGACCCAGGGAATTAAGGAACAGAGACTGGCTCTTAACGAAGATGAAGCAGCTGAGCCAAGTGCCGAAATGAAGAAACTGACCAGTCAATTTGGAAAGTTTCACGGATTGAGTCTTTTGTTCAATTTGGTGAGTTTCCTGGGGTTGACAGTGTACGGGTTCCAGCTCACGAAGGGTCTGCTGAAGACGATTCCCAAATGAGGAAATATCATATTCTTCTATTTTTGATTAAGGCAGCAATTTAAAATTTGTCCGTTTCAACTATTCGTTCTTTCCTATGTACATATAAGGCATTTTATTACAAGTTTGGAGGAAGTAACATGGCTGCCACCTGTGTTGGGCTTCTCTCTGTTGCCAACAAATCGTAACTCTGGGCACCCGCTTTGGTGTCGCTGATCTCCAACTGTATTCCCAGTTCGTGGAACCTTTGCTTCGTCCTTGGATCGAGCATTCTGGAGCGTGAGCCGAGTCCTAACACCAGCAGCTCCGGCTTGGGAAAAACTGTTTTCAGCAAACTATAGCAAACATCATCTTTGAAATGAACCATGGACCCTTTCTGGGTAAATTCAAGACCAAACTTGTCGGGTTCGGTCTCTTTTCCTAGGTCCACCTCGAATATCTGGTTGTCCATAAGAAGAACTCCCAGTATGTTGCCCGTGTGTCTTTCGGGACTCTGAACAACCACCAGATTAGAGAAAACAATGGCATCTTGCGAGATCATCTCGATGTTGTTCTGGGGCGATTCCGTGAGCGCCAACATATCAAACTGGGAGAGATTCTTACCCAGGTTGGCAGGCTTGAATGCAGATACACCCATGTGGTGCGGTATACAGGTGCTAGAAAACAGCCTTTTCCCTGTTATACTCCTAAAGCTTCTGGATATGTGAAACATGTTTATGAGTGAATATATCAAGTGAATATGTTCTGGGAAGATCTGGAAGCACTTGAGTTCTCTTTCTTCTGCACTCCCCTTTAAACAGCGGGTCAGATATAGTAGTGTAAACCCCGATTCGGTGGTTCGTTACCCGGACATTTTACCAGAGACTTGGTGAACTTTTCAAGTGCATGACAACGTAGAAGCCTTCTTTATAATCCAACATCAAGCATGCCACCATATAACGGAGCTATCAAGGCGGTGTCCGTTGCCAGAAATGGTGTTGGCGCCTTTATCAGACCCTGCCGCAAAATAACGCTGCAGTACTGTAATGTCGGTGGATCATCGCAAGGTCTCAGAGACTTCTTGACGCAGAGGCTGACCAAGTTCGCAACCAAATATCCAGAGATCGAGTTTCAGGTTGCGCTGAAAAGAGGACATCCGATAGTGCGTGGTCTGTATAGCACAACTATGGCTTCGAACCCAGCCATTTTGACGAACGATTCCACCAAGTTGGCCGACGTCCACACCAACGTCAAGACGGTGTGTTTGAGAAACCTGAATATTGACAACGTTGAAAACAAGTTGAAGCTGATGGTGGAATCTTCCGGAAATAGGCTCTACAAGCCAAAACAAGCGGTTCAGTCGCTAAACCAGTCGGTTAGAGGCATATGGTCTCCATTCCACGTGGATAAAGACCACAGGTTCAAGATTTAAGAAGCAGAAGCATTGGAAAACCAGGAAGATAGGGGTCCGGAATTTTAGTTCCTGAGACTACAAATGTTACTGTGAGGTAAAAGCGGTAGTATTGTACATAGCTGACGAATAATATAATGTCGTTCGTCTTTGACATTTTCAGAACATGTCGTTCTCGTAAGGGCAATCGATACTTTCATGGCCTGTTCTCTCGCATAGACCGCACCATTTGTTCCTTCCGGCGGAGGCATCCACCGGTTCTGGAGGAATGTAGACTCTCAATTGTCCATCGACAACCTGCGATACCCGTCCCAGCACGGGACTGGATGCCGGAGAGTTTATCGAAGACGACGAGTTCGTCAATGATGGTACTTTCGAAACGAGAGATCCCGTCTCAAGACTGGCGATCCTAGCCTGTAAGTTCCTGATCTCCTCGTTCTTTTCGCGTTCAATGGAATCGCGCTGGTGCCTGACCAGGTCCATGGCATCTTTAGTGTACATCTGTGGAGATTTGGCCCGAGCCTTGTTGAGCTCTGTCTGGTGTGACTCCAACTGCTTGAGCTTATCCTGTAAGTCTCTGTTCTTCTGCGTCAATTGTTTTATGGTCTTTTCGTTAATCTGGAGTTCGTCTTCGAAGTTTCTAGGCTGGCTCTTTGAGGCGTCTTCCGACAGTTTTGTCAGTCTGGCAAGCTCTTTCTTATCTTCTTCGTGTCGTTTCGTCAAGTCGTTGGTCAACTCGTGTTGCTTGGCGATCTCGGCTGTCATATCTTTCATCTTTGCGTCTTTCTCCTGGAGAGTCTTCGTCAGTTGGGCTATTTGTTGCACGAGATTGGCCTTTGCAGATTCGTTATTGTTGAGCATCTTCCCTAGTTCCTCCACTCTCTTCTCCAGAGAGCTCATCGTTTGCGAATCGTTTTGATACTTCATAAGCTCTGCCTCGTACATCTCGGCACTCTCTGCAGCCTGTCTCTCCAAACTCTCAATAACCTCCATGAATTCCTGCCTCTGAGCCTCGGCATTCTTCTTCAACCTGACCATCTTGGAGTCCTTGTTGGCTAGCTCTTTTTCCATTTCCGCCAGAGCAGGCTCCAGATGGTCATGGATGGTGGATTGTAGATTCTTGAGAATGCGATTGCGCTCATCTAGTTCTTTGGAAAATCGCTCAACTTTCGAGCTCAAAGAGTTTCTTTCATCCTGCGATTTTTTCAGTTGAACTTGCAGAACCTGGATCTGAGATTCGAACTTTCTTTCCTTGGGAGACCCCGGGTGGCTGGAATGGTCTTCCGAGGAACCAGTCCTAGGCGCACTGGGCCGTCTCTGTGAACCGGTATTCTCAACATCTCCCTTGATAGGATGGATCTCCACCGGGGACTTGAGAGTTATTATTGGGAACTTCCCACCTCTGGGCTGTGGGGGCTTGTTGATGGGAGCAAAGCTCAGCGGTGATCTGTTGGGCAGCGACGTCACCATTGGAGGAGTGGCCAGCGCAGGAGTTGTATTTGCCCTTGGGGCCCTAACCGGGGTCTCAGACTCTATTATCTCTCCAGTGTATGGCGATTTGTTCTCCATTTGTGACAATTGAAGCTTCTTGTATGGCAAAAAGAGTCCCGAGTTAGGTACTCGGGTGTTGAAATATTTCCTCCCTTTGAAATCTCCAGAGTTCCTTCCCATGCTGACAGAATCGCCAACAAGCTCAACTCCAGCAAATAGCCCTGTCTTTCCTTCAACCTGGCCTTTGAACCGTAACACTCCCAAACCACCTCCGGGCAAGTCCACAGTGGTTCCAATGCTCAACTCCATTGTGTAGCGGTGTATGATGGGGAGATATAGTAGCACAGCTCACAGATGTGTGTGTGTGTGTTAACAACAAGTCGTGAACAAGATTTCGGGGATTCAAGCAGTTAAAAAATAAGGTTGAACAGAGAACAAAGGTAAACAAACAACAGAGGGCGTCTGAAGTCTATCCAAGAAACGGAGTTGGATCAAGAAAGTCTAAAGATATTGCTTAGAAAAATCAGGCTGATCGCTGGCCAAATATCCATTTTGGGACGCTGCAGTACTAAAGACGTTTGAAGGCAATATGGAGTCTAAATAGATTAGGTGCCAAAAAAAGGCAGCGCACCCGCCGAAAGTGAACACGGAAAATGTAAACAAAGCATCATGCACGAGTAAATGGGTGGTGCACTATACGCTAAACGCTGAGCCGACCGCTCGCGCCGACAATAGGATGATCCGACTTAGTTACAAGTATGAGCAAAAAATTCGGCCTTATTCTCTAGGATTTGTCCCCGGAACATTATATCTAAACCCTAATTGTATTTGGCCCGTGGAGAGTGGTTGATGTAGAAGCAACACCAGGTGTTTAGATTGGCATCTCTGCCCAGATCAGTGCTAACGTAGGCCCAATTGGATTAGTTTGCTAAAGTAGTTTGAGAATCTGGTTGTCGTTGCTCTTTCTGCCGGGCATTGAGCATTGACCTTCAGTGGTTTGCCTTGCAGACCAGGGTTATCGTGCCGCTTATGGTGTTTGGCACCCTCAAAAACAGGAGACGCCGACCAGATCTAACGCAGAACCCACATCAGTGAATATCCATCGATCAGGCTCTCGTACATGCAAAGAGCAAAGCCGTGTACGAACTGGGAGATCTATTCTGCACGCCTTGTCAATTCTGCAATTGAGAAATAAGAGCTTGAATACTATTGTCACTTGCATCAAACAGGATGACGCGCGTGTGCTTCCGGCCAATGAGCGTCTACCTGGTGTTGTTTTGATTTGTATACACTTTGACTACTTTGCCTAGTAGATATAGATTGCTAACTTGTAAAGCTTGAAAATGTTGTTATTTCGTGCTAAAAGTAATTGTCAAGCTAGCGCCCAATTTCTACAATAAAAACTGACCACCAAAATTCCACACAAATACAAAAATCCAGTGCTAATTTTTACATCGTGCATTGGCAAGATCCCGTTTACAAGAAAAAACCCTGATCCGGACCCTTCTGATCGATATCCAAAATAAATGATGCAATGCACTGCACCATGCTATTTCCTAGTGGCTTGGAAAATGTTGCGAGGAAGCCTGATACTCCAGTATTCTTTCCCTGTTGGAGACGGCCGCAAGAACAACACTCTGCATGGTCTTCAAACGGGTCTCTCTTACCCCAAACCCGTAATCTTCCCTTGCACAGGGGTATAGTACATGCTTCTCTTCTAACATTCCAGAAACGTTTTCCAGCGAACGCATACGCTTCATCTGGTTGGTCACCTTGACCATATCCACTGCCTGACGCATCTTGCCAACAGCATCGAATCCGGACTTGACCTGGGGAAGCAGATCGACGAAATGGGCCTCATGCCTGTTTTGAGCAACTCTGTTGGGGTTTTTCCAATCCGAAGTGTTGATCCATGGATGTCGCTGTAGCTCTTCAACAGAGGGCCGTCTAGAAGGGTTTACATTCAACATGCTTCCAATGAAGTGCTTCGCCATGTTGGAGATGTTTTTGAAATAAACGTTTTGAAAAAGAGGTTTTTCAGAAGCAACATCTTTCAGGAAGGCCTCTCTACTTTCCGTAGGAAAGGGAAACCGGCCCGAGAGTAAAACATAAGTAATGATTCCCAGAGACCAGATGTCACACTGCTTGGTGTATCCTCTTCTGGACGATGACGATCTGTACACTTCGGGTGCTGTATAGCCTGGGGTCCCTGCGGTTGAGTATATGAGCTCGTCGGTATGGGTCAACTTTTCAGCTATGCCAAAGTCAGCCAGCACTATGGGCGAATCTGGTTTGTGGTCCAAATACAGTATGTTTTCGGGCTTCAGGTCTCTGTGAACTATTCCCCTCGCATGTAAGTAGGAGACTGCAGAAAGAACCTGCTTTATCAGAAGCACGGCATCTGGCTCGCTAAACCTTTTTCTCTGACATACCCTTTCCAGTAGCTCCCCGCCAGTGGCCAGCTGGGTGACTATGTAGTACTCGGAATCGCTCTCAAACCAGTCTTTGAATGCCACAATATGCTTGTGGTGCATGTTCTGAAGCATGTTGATCTCCTGAAGTACCCTGTCCTGATCTGCCTTGCGGTCTGCATTC